AAACGGGAAAATAGTGTACCTGAGCCGATTTGACCGCCCAACAGACGCGGGTCCGACCAGGCACCTCGGTACATATGTACCATGATGCAATGTATGCAATGTACGAGGATTGCTAACCCCCGATGGAAGGTTCCTTGCCTCAGAGTGACGTGGTGGATTGACTATGTAAGCTCACTGCAAACCCCTTAGAAAGAGGAAAAGAGTTATTGAAACAAAAAACCCCATAAGGCTACCAGGCCGACGGGTTTCCTGGAGGCTCACTGCAGCTACCGCATTCGAGGTCTTTTCTTATTTCTTACCCCTAGAATAAGCTTACCACGGCTTAAATACCTGGGGTCGTGGATTTTTACCATTGGACAGGGCCAAAGATAAGTCTAAAGACTATCCTGGCTCGTCCATCCCTGTCAGCCCAACGTGGGGAAGGCCCGCGATTGGGAGACTAAATGTCTGGGTCGCGCCGTACGCCGACGCCAACGCCAACGCCAACTCAAAAATAGGATACATTGTTCTCGATTGCTTACCGTCGATCCTTTGCATACAACTTAGCTTATGTAGAATAATGCGAGAAGTGGACGCTAATTACTTGGGAGCCCGCTTCTCCCATACTAGTCTCTTGACCGCTTCGCCAACCAAGCTTACCATGATAAGCAGTGCTCGGCCTCGGTGGCAAGACCTAACTCTATCTAGAGTACGAAAGTCGCAATTCATCTCGGAAGGAGTGGCATGACTTTGAACCTAAGCTTGATCATCCCGCGATCATCATGGCAGGTTTGCGAGAGAAAAGCCATAGGGAAAAGCGAGCGGCGAAGTATCCTGCAAAAGATTCCGCATATTTGCACATATCAAGTCGTTAATGCTTCAGGAAACAAATTGAAAACATGCCTTTCAACCATCACTTTAAGAACCGTATAAGACATTTTGCATATCAAGCCTCTCGTGATAGTGTCCATACATTTGTCATGGCCAAAATCGAATGCTGTAGCGGATTGACCCTTGCGGCGATTAGAGACATTTCACCGCTCTATATACCGCTTAGTAACGCACCTGATGTTATTCAGCTTTATTTAGTTCAAACTTGATCTGTAAAATTCGTTAAATTGCTGCATAGAACTTTGGAAACAGCTTCATGTCATGACCAAAGGGAAATTTAGTATAGAGTAATCCATATCTGATCAACATGCAGTAGCCTCATCAGAAAGTCAATGAGTGTAAACTGATTTCTGCCGCTGGAAAATTAGCAAACAACGCCGCCCTGCCCCTCGTGTCCCCTTATCGCGCCGCGCGCAAACACCCAACTTCTCTTAGCGCGACACTGGCCTGGAGCCGACATTTCATCTCAGTCTTTGCATCGTGATCCATTGCTCACTCAGCTATCTTTTCGGCGCATCATCATCGCCTGGAGACAACTCTCACGTTCATCTTGCCCAGTGATCCATCGATACATTACTCATCATGGAGCAAGAGCTCTTGTCGCTCCTGGCAGACACCCAGTCCGCCAGGGCTGATACCAGAAAGGCCGCAGAGCTTCAACTAAAAAGCTTGTATTCAAACGAGTCCTTCCCGATCTCCCTCACAGCAATTGCCTCCCATGAGTCGGTCCCCGTCAACCTCCGCCAGTCCTCCCTGTCAGTGCTTCGCACCTTCATCGCCGCCTCCTGGTCCCCGGTTCTTGACGAGTTCAAAGGCCAGATTCTCGTGAACGATGCAAACAAAACTCAGATTCGGCGTGCACTGCTCGAGCTGGCGACCACTACCGAGACTCCCGAGCGCAAGGTCAAATCCTCTGCCAGTTACGCCGTTAGCAAGATTGCCAGTGCTGATTTCCCCGATGACTGGCCAGAACTTTTGCCTTCGTTGTTGCAAATTATCAATGACCCCGCCACCACTGATAATGCGTTGCACGGCGCCTTGAAGGTTTTGCTGGATTTGGTCGATACAGGTTTCGGCGAAGAGCAGTTTTTCAATGTTGCTCGTGATCTGGTTTCGTCTCTATTTGCCGTCGCTACTTCTGAATCCCGGCGACCGATGCTGCGTGCTCTCTCTGTCGCAGTCTTCCGGTCGTGCTTTGATACCCTGGAGATGGTTTTGGAACAACACAAGGTTGCGATTAAGCAGTTTGTGGATGAATTGCTAGGTGGATGGTCGCCATTCTTTGTTGAAACTCTGAAGGCCCCCCTTCCTCAACAGCCCAGTGAGGAAGAAGCTAACAAGGGGGGTGAAATCCCGTCGCAATGGCGTGGAACTATTGGCCTGAAACTTCAGATTGTCAAGGTATGAATTTGATATTTTGGGGGTTGAGCTTGTCCAAATTTGAGGAATTTGGCTAATAGACCGACTCTCGAAAACAGACCCTTATGAAGATCCGTATGGTATTCCCCGGTCTTCTGACAGCCCAGAGCCCGAATTATTTTTCAACAATTTGGACCGAGCTTACCAATGCCTTGCCGATCTACCAAAACTTCTTCATTGAGGAAGAGCGTCAAGGTCGTCTGGAAGATGTTGATGGGCTCCCCTACTCACTTGATTTCCTTGTTTTGGAGGAACTAGACCTTATTCAGACCTTATTGAAGGCGCCTCCTGTGAAGGCTGAGCTGCAACAGCAACTTCAGAATGCTGGCGCGGCTGCAAGCTCCTCCGGCTGGTTGCCTGAGATCATGAAGCTTGCTAGCTCCTACGCTCAGATTACCACAGAAGAAGAAGGCCTCTGGGAGATCGATGTGAACCTATTTTTGTCCGAAGAAACATCCCTCACTGCTAACTACACTCCTCGCACCTGCAGTGGTGATCTGGTGATCAAAACAGGTGAATGGCTAAAGGGAACAGCGGTAGAGGGGCTCCTGAGCCATATGAACACTGTATTTGCGGATCCGTCTGCCTCGTAAGTTCCATATTGTGAACCGACCCTGAGAAACCAGTCTAACTTTGACAGTTGGAAATCTCGCGAAGCATCTCTTTACATTCTTAATTGTCTCCTTCGGGACTTCTCTGAGGTGTCTCAGCAAATCTCCCCGGAACTGGCCCTTCATTTCAACCAATTTGTCCACTATGCAATTCAGCAAGAGCAAGAGCTTTTACGTGCGCGGGGTTACCTTGTGGCCGGTGCCTTGGCTAAGGTTTCAGGCGATGCATTCCAGCAAACTACTTCCTCGTACTTGGAGGCTACATTGAAGGCCATTGCTGAAGACCCCGCCGAGGTGGTCAAAGTTGCCGGCATTCGAGTCCTGCAGGACCTCATGCCGTCGCTACCCACCTCTGCGGCACGTCCATTCCAGACCCTTGTCATCTCGGCCATCTCAGAATTCGTTTCGGCACATGATCTGCGTGAAGATGTCGAAAGTGACGACCTCAAAGTTACCCTTGCCGAAACTCTTCGAGACACCATCATGACAGACCCGGCCATCGTCCTGTCATCGATTGCCATCGATGTCCTTTTCAACATTGCCAGCAGTGGGGCTGAAAACTTTCAGCTGACTATGACCATTACAGAAGCCTTTGAGGACATTGTGGACCAAATTGCTGAGCATGGCGCCGAGGCTTACATGCGCCTTTGTGAGAAGGTTCTACCCTCCTTGATGGGTGCTATTGACGTGGGTAATCTCACCGAAGAAAATGCCTTGACCAACTTCGCGGCCGACCTTCTTCGGGCACTGGCCGAACGGAGCTTGGAGCCTCTCCCTGCTGGATTTGTGGAGACCGTGATGCCCAAGCTTAACCGTCTGCTATTGGACTCTGATGAGGCCGAGCTCATTCGACCTGCGACGGAGGCAGTCCGCCACATGCTTGCCCATGACTTTGCCCAGTTCATCGCCTGGCGGGATCCACAGACCGGCAAGGAGGCGATCGAGGTTGTGCTCGTGATTATTGATCGACTACTTGGTCCCGCAGTAGACGACAATGCCGCTACCGAGGTTGGTCAACTAGCCGCGGAGCTGGTGGAGCGGGCTGGCTCGGAGCGCCTGGGCCCCTACCTCCCCCAGTTGCTCCAGGCCGTGGCTCAACGACTTGCGACTGCCCAGCAGGCACAGTTTATTCAAAGCCTGATCCTGGTATTTGCACGGCTGACGCTCATCAGCGCACGCGAAGTCGTGGACTTCCTCGCCCAGATTGATCTGGGCGGCTCCAGTGGACTCGTTGTGGTCCTGAGCAAGTGGCTGGAGAACTCAGTCAACTTTGCAGGCTATGACGAGATCAAGCAGAACATCTTCGCGCTAGCGCATCTGTACGAACTCTCCGACCCGCGACTATCAGAGGTGCCGGTGAAGGGCGACCTTATCGTCCAGGATACCGGTCGCATCAAGACCCGGTCGCAGGCTCGTCGCAATCCGGACAAGTACACGACGGTTGCGGCGCCGTTGAAGATCATCAAGGTACTGGTGGAAGAGTTGGCAGCGGCCTCGGGCAACACGGAAATCGATGCGGCTGCAGCTCGCGCACTTGAGGATGCCGATAGTGACGATGGAGATGATGACTGGGAGGATGAGCCCGGTCAGATTTTGGATCTCGGCCTTGGCATGACCAAGCAGGATTTGATGAGCTTTGGCGAAGGCGGCTCGGAGAGTGTCTTTGGGGTGCGACGCCGGGACGATGAAACACAGAGCTTCCTGGCAGACTTCTTCCGACGAGCATCGCAGCAACCTGGATTCCAAGAGATTTATGGAGCCTTGACAGTGGATGAGCAGGTCAAGCTACAAAGCTTGAATTGATGGATCTCGCACAAATGCAACTAGAAGAAAAGTGGGGATCTGATGTCGGCATGAAGAGCGAGTTATATTACGAAGACAATCCCGTAAAAAGGTGGATCCTTCAAGCTCCAATATGATGTGTCTGTAAATTCCAGTCCGAACTGCGGGGGTTTGATAGATCAACCCGGTATCCTGTATCTCGGTATGGGCTTCACGCTCTGACCTTTTCTTTTGGATAGCTTCATTACCGCCTTCCCTTCTTCATTCTTCACCCTTTCTCTGCCCCCCCCCCCCCCCCCCCCCCCTTTTCCCCTGATTATGCCCCAACCAAATCCCTACGAGCGAATCCAAGTCGATGTAAGCGAATTTCCCTTTGATTTCTCCAGTCATGTTCAGGCTGTTCTTCCCTTGTGTAAACAGGAAAAAAAGATGTCATGACCATGTATACACACTCGGTTCCAAAACCCCCTTGTTGTTTTTCTTTCAGTCAACAAACTATTCCACTATCACCTATAGTCCCCTACTCGACAATTCCCCGAAACCGTCTCACCTTTTCCACCAACAGACAAGCGACGAAGATTCTCTCGACGGCCAATCCCTCTTCGGCGGCCAATCCCTAATAGACTCCAACCTCTCCTTCGCCTCCTCCGTCCGCGACTACTGCTACGAAAATGGCCGTCGCTACCATGCCTACCGCCATGGCCAATATCCGATCCCGAACGACCAAGAAGAACAAGACCGTCTAGCCCTCCTCCACCATCTCTTCAAACTAGTAGTCGGCGGCGACCTCTACCGCGCCCCGATTCAACCTCGCGAAGGCCCCACTCCACCCCACCGCATCCTAGACATAGGCACTGGAACCGCCGAATGGGCCTTCGAAATCGCTGAGGATTTCCCCAACGCGGAAGTAATCGGTACAGATCTAAGTCCCATCCAACCAAGCTGGGCACCGCCGAATTGTCGCTTCTATATCGATGATGCGGAGAGTGATTGGGCGTTTACGCCTGAAGAGCAGTTTGATTTTATTCATATGCGGAGCATGGGCGGTGGGATTGGGGATTGGCCGAGGTTGATGAAGCAGGCGTATCAGCATTTAAGACCCGGTGGGTGGATTGAGGTTCAGGAGTTTGAGACTGCTATTTCGTCGGATGATGACTCGCATCTACTTGCTCCTACGATGGTTGAATGGGTTGAAAAGGTCAATGACGCGGCGAGGCTGTTTGGGAAACCAATGAAGATTGCCTCGCAGATTCATTCTTGGATGGAGAATGGGGGGTTTGTGAACGTGACCGATGATATCTACAAGGTTTGTTTCTGGTTTTCCTTAGACGCTTGGCTTGGTTTATGCAGCATACTCATTTGTTTTTGCAGTGCCCTGTTGGAGGATGGGCGAAGGATCGACAGCTTAAGGAGATCGGTCGTCTTGGAAAAGTCCTTGTGTTGAAGGTGGTGGAGCCGTACAGCCTTGCACTATTTACGCGGGTCCTTGGGTACACCTATCAAGAGGCGCAGAGCTATCTGGAGAAAGTGCGAGCGGAGATGATGAACTCAAAGTGTCATCTTTACTTCTTCTTCCATTTTGTTTATGGGCAGCGGCCTTTGGAGATGAATGGTGAACCTCTGACATGAAAACTTTGTCCTGAAACCAAGGACGGCGACCTACCATGATCACCTCTCTCCCTTTACGACTTACGGTTTGACGAACTCGGAATTAATGTATTTAGGCTTTTGCCTTTTCTCATTATGTATTAGACATGGACATGGGCATGGGCATGGGTATGAGCATCACAGGCATCTATTTTTGAGAGCGAATCACGACCAGCGTTCATCGCGCCCCGATCCCGAGGACCTGACAGATCCCTGAGACAGCTTCTTCAGGCGTCGCACTGGTCCTCACAACCTGCACGACCTGCGCCACCTGCGCCTCATCACAACTCCCAATCGTCTCAAGCAGAGTTTCCAGAAGCTCCTGCTTCCCTTTACCCGTCCATGAGCTTGGCATAGTAAACAGAGGATGCCGCGAGAGTGTTTCAGGACTGGAAAATTGTTGTGAATCCGGGCTGTGCGACGTTTGCGACGAATGGCCATTCAGTGGATCCGTGTTTGCATGAGCGAAAGCATCAATAGATGCCGAAGAATAGAATGGGTTCGAGTATGGGTGTACGGGCGCAAATTGCCCTTGTAACCATTGCGGATTATGATAAATGTGAGGCTCGTAGCCAGATGTACTCGCATGTGGGGCTGGGGCTGGTTCTCGGACGTAGTTTGGATAATCCTGCATGTATGGTGCATTGCCCCAGTTTTCCACTGCATAGGGGCTGCCACCTCGGTACTGTGACTGTGACGCAGGCATCGGTATCCCCGAAAGCTGCGGCTGTAAACTCTGCACAGGGATCGAGGCAGGGGTCTCGCCTGCAAAAGCCATGCCTCCTTGGCCATGTGCTTGAGTCTCGTTCATGAAATCTTCTCAGGTCAGCTCTGTAACATCGCAAAATAGTAAGAAGTAACAAAAGTACACATCCCAGAAATAAAGAAATATCCAACTTACTAGCTCCTATAAACGCGGCACTGGGAGTCGTCATATCTTCAATATTCCCCCCAAGCGACCCTGGATACTGCGTCTGACTCGTCCCACTCGCCGTCCCACTCCCCGTACTATCAGGACTATTGATAGACATAGAATGCGTCATAACCGACGAGGAAGGCGATGAGCCATCCCAGCTTCCCTCTCTCATATCTGTGCCAGCGCCTGCGCCGATGCCCGCACCAGCTCCGACCGCATACCCGCCACCCACACCCTCAGACCCTGACCCCGAACTCTTCCCTGACTTCGGCGGGCGCGCATACGGCGCACGATCCCGACTCTTTGCACGCTCACTAAGCGCTCTCGGGTGTGGTCTTGGTCGCGGACCCTGAGATAACTGCGTACGCAGCTGTGCGACCTCGCGACGTAATCGGTCAATAATCTCCGCTTGACTGATATGCTCGCGGTCTTCGGGGGTAGTTAGGTATGTGCATTCCGATTCAATACCGCGAATGATACAGGCGTGACAAGGGATTGAGCGATCGCACTAGGATGGCACAAATCAATATATTAGATCGAATGCGAATCGGGGTTGGGCCGTGGTGGAGCGATCCCAAGCTCGAGGTTTTCAGGGTCTGGAATCTAGGGGGCGGGGCATACCTTGACTTTGCGCTCGCGACATCTTAAGCAGGATTGCTGCGGGCGAATCTTTGTTTTGGAGTCGGGGGGCATTTTTCTTCCCTGCAATGGGAGGTTGGTCGAGAGGAACCCGCGATTTAACTGACCCCCACTAGCCGTTGAACCTCGGGCGATCACTTCGATTAACTATCCACAAGGGTCCGATTAGATCAGCTGGAAATTCGTTGCTTATTTGCATTGAATATTGAATTTAATCGAAAATAAACTTGGTCATGCAAGATCTTTCCCTATTTTCTTTTTCTTTTCTTGTGGGCTCCGGTATGCACGATAGCGATGTGATGCATCTAACGGCGACCCCGATCTCCACCTCTGCACACCATTGGTAGGGACTGTTCGGAGAGACAGGCATGGTATTCTGCAGTGTCAAGGAGCAACTGTGGCTCAGCTCTTGCGCCACTCTGTTGGGGCTTCAGCTCTTCGCAGATCACCGGCTGGACCACTCTCGCGTCAAATCCCGACTCCTGATCGCAATCAAGTTGGCTTGTTTGATATCTATTGAGATCATTATCGAAAATACCACCGTCACAGTCCTCGGTACCACGTTCCCCGCTGCAGACGATGGTAGCTGCAGATCTTCAACGGAGCTCCGGTGCGGGGAACAGAGCTTGAACGTCGAAGACCAGGGCTTAAATGCATGGATGAAGCCTGGAGAAGAAAAATTTCATTTTTGCTGATTGGTTGCAAGAACTGCATTGTGAAGTTAAACTATTTCTGCAAAGCCTTAGACCATGAGACGACCATCCAATTGGGCTATAGCAAGCATGGCGAATCTATTAATGATTCCATTGCTTCCAGTCCAGGCTTCAGTCGCAAACCCAGGTCTTCTTCCGAGCCCACCAATGGGATTCAACAACTGGGCTCGATTCGAATGCGAACTTAATGAGACGCTCTTCACAGAAACCGCGCAGTCTATGGTAAGCCGCGGCTTACTGGATGCAGGCTACAATCGTCTCAATCTTGACGATTGCTGGATGTCAACTGCCCGTTCCGACAATGGTTCGCTGCAGTGGAATACTACCAAGTTCCCACATGGTATCCCCTGGCTAGCGAAATATGCCCAGGAACGCGGGTTTCATTTGGGAATCTACGAAGATGCTGGTAATGAGACTTGTGGTGGCTACCCGGGCTCATTCCAACATGAGGAGCAGGACGCCGAGACGTTCGCCAGCTGGGGCATTGACTACCTGAAGCTAGACGGATGCAATGTCTATGCCGAGGATGGAAAGCCTCTACGAGACGAATACAAGTATCTTTATAGCAAGTGGCATAAGATCCTGAGCGGGATGGCGCAGCCGCTTATCTTCTCCGAGTCTGCGCCTGCATACTTCTGTACCAGTGAAACTGAGTGGACTAGAGTCATGGACTGGGTCCCTTTCAATGGAGAGCTTGCGCGCCATTCAGATGACGTCCTTGTTTATGTCGGTGAAGGTAGTGCGTGGGATAGTATCATGGTGAACTACGAGTATCAGATACAGCTTGTGCGGTACCAGCAGCCGGGCTACTATAACGACCCCGATTTCCTAATCCCCGATCACCCGGGTCTGACGGAGAATGAGAAGAAATCCCATTTTGCACTGTGGGCGTCGTTCGGTGCGCCGCTCATTATCAGTGCTTACATCCCCACTCTTCCGGAGGAAGTAATCACTTTCCTCAAGAACAAGGATCTGATTGCTGTTGATCAAGATCCACTGGCTGAACAGGCTGCTTTGGTTACCCGTGATGCCAATTTCGATGTTCTTACCCGCTCATTGGCAAACGGAGACAGACTTCTCACCGTGTTGAACCGTGGAAATAGCACTGAGAAGATCACGATTCCGGTTGCGCAGCTTGGTTTTGAGTCCAGCTGCCAGTACAATGCCCGGGATCTGTGGACTGGTATTGTTGAAAGTATTCAAGGCTCTGTGGAGGTCACTCTTGATTCCCATGCTACTAGTGTCCATCGCATTACACCCCCGCGTGGATGCACAAAGATCACTCCAACGGGTATGGTCTTCAACACGGCGTCTGGGAAGTGCTTGACTGCTTCTTTGGGCACCATCACGTTCAAGACTTGTGAGGCAGCTGATTCCCAGGTCTGGTCTGTCTCTGGATCTGGTAGTCATCTTACTTTGAGCCCATTGTCGGATATCTCCAAGTGCCTTGCGGTCAAGGATGGGTTCATCTCACTTGTGGCATGTGGAGCTGGCTCTGGGACTAGCTGGTCTCATTTCATTACGGGTCATTTGAAGAGTAGTAGTGGGGGCTGCTTGGTTGACTCTTCAGGGGCTAGTCTGGGAACCTGTGATCAGAGTGTGGCTGGGCAGATTATGGGATTGCCGAGTGGTGTTAAGTTAGTTGCTGGTACTGATTGATGGCATAGAATGAGACGGACTAGACGGTAGATTATACAGATCCCATTTTTGGTATGCTTTCGTTGTCATCTATTGCAAGCCGGCATGGCTAGAAGAGCAATATAAATATTTTACTTTATACTTTTACGTTAGATAGTAGAGCGTAAGCCCTGGAGGAAGAAGCGAAATGAAGTTGAAATCTAAATAGACATGCTAGAAATCGCACGTGGGATCTTTGAAACCCCATGTCCTCGCAGCCAATTTGAACTCCTTGGTATAAGAAGTCTCATACAAAACAAGTTCTACAGAGTGCAGACCTAGCATGACCTTTTCGACCGCAAATTACGCAAACCTGAACAAATAGAAAACGACATAGATGAAGGTCATGGGTCACCGATCATTTCACACTAGTTAAAAGCATAAATCTCGTAAGAATGTACATAAAGTCTCAAGATTATACAAGAACGAGACTGCTACCCCTGTAACGAATACCCAATTCCCTCCCCAGTTCCCATCGCCACCAAGTTAGCCCTCATCTTCTCTGGTCGCTCCCCAATCCCAAAAGCAGCATCATCTCGATGCACCCAAGCCCCAACCCCATGTTGCAACACCGCAGTAGCACGCACCTTCTTCTTCTCTTCATCTCCACCAGCCTTAACTCCCAGACTACCATGCAGCGTCAACCTCGTCTCCTCCGCCCCCTCATCCTTAGCCTTATAAACCCCCCGATGCAAGATATTACTATCATAGAATACCGCATCACCCGGCTGAAGCTGCACAACCAACTGATCGGGCAAAAAGGGTTCATAAGGCTTCGCATTCCGCTCGATATCCGTACGCGCCCGTCGGTGTGACCCAGGCACCACAATCAACGACGCATCAGGACACAACGCAAGATTGTATTGTGCATGCGACTGTCTTCCACCCGGTGACTTTGCAGCTAACTGTGCAAGCTCTTCTTCGGCTGTAGCAGTCTCAGGAATATCATCCCTATGCCAGCGGAGCTCAAAATCTTTGGTTTCCGGCGCAACGAGTAAATTGAATAATTCCATGACGAGTGGTTCGGATTCAGTGGAGCTGTCCACGCCGACGAGTTCCTCAACAACTTTCAGGATTTGCTCGGAGAAGTAGCACTTCGCGAATGATTGTCTGTGTTTCATTTCTGGATGTAGGAGGTGCTGGACGCCCCAGATTCCGCCTTCTGAGGCTGGGGGTGGTGTTGTGGGCCATGGAGGGAATTGTTTAGGGACGGTGCGGAAGTGTGGCCAGCCTCCGGTGCGGGTTTTGGTTGTGACTTCGGTCGCGATGGTGCGGTAGTGAGTTATTTCGGATGGGGTGAGGAGGTTGCGGATGACGACGAAGCCGTCGCGTTGGAGGGCATCGAGGTGGGGTGTTGAAGACATTTTGAGGTGTGTTGGAGGGGAGTTTGAGGTTCCGAGCTTGTTGTTTTATAGAAGTGTGGGGTTATCGCTGCGGGGTATTCAATGCTACCTACTACAGTGACATTATTCGTCTCTATTCCCACTATCGATGCTACTGTGGATCCACAATGTGAGTCTCTACAAACCATGTGGCTTCAATAGTGGTGTTCTTCAGATCGGGGTTTATTCAAATTCCGAGTGGACGTGGTTCATTCTACCCCGCGATATCAGCATGTTACACCTGCTAGGGTCACAGTTGCCGTGCCCCGATATGTGTTCCTTGAAACATTGGAGCTAAATCGGCTGGTCGATAAATACACGGAGATCCTTGGACCCGTAGATCGTCAGGCTCACCATTTGTACACGGGTAAATCCGGCGACAATACAGCTTCGTCTAGGAAACGCGTACGGAGACAGTTGGGTATACTTCGAATGTGCTTATGCGTGCAAAGTGTACCTCAGGTGTCCACACCGTGATTGGGCCACGAGGGACGTCATCGCGATCTACGGTCTCATTGCCAAGATCGAGCTGAGACACAGCCTCTGTGCGATTCTGTTTCTTTGAGCTTAACATACCCAACTTTTGGGACACCGACCTGAACTGCAAAGCACAATCTTACATACACCGATCCAAGCATCCACTAATCCTCCACCATGTCCCTGCAAACGGGCGTCCCCATACTGCTCGTGTGCCTGGTGCTACTGCCACAAGCCCACGCCTTCGGTGCTGGCAGTAGGTATTCAGACACCCACTTTACCAATAATTATTAACAATTCGCCAGACATCGCATCTATCTCCGCCGTCGAGGGCAAGAACTGGCGCCATGGTGACATCGAGGATGTTCTCAAAACAATCGCATGCATCGCGGGGCACAAATGGACCTCTACCATGATCAAGCGTGTGTATTTTGGAAACTGGTTACGTGATTAGTGAGTTTGTGGGAAGAGCTATCAACGAGCCCCACTAACTGTGGCGCAGTTCACAGGCGATGGACGTTGGGACCCTGAAAAACCTCCAGGCCGAGACGATCCGTATCTTGGTGTGGGTCCTCTCGTTCCTAAGCTTCGGCTATGCAACAGGTGAATTTGAGGTCACGTCCGAACGTCTTGGTGTTTACCGTCCTGAGGAGCATATCGAGTAAGTGGGTCCTAGTTGAATACACTACTGAGTGCATGTGCTGACTCTTCCCCAGCAACCCCAAGGACTATGCCGATAATGAGGATGCGCGCCAATATGACGAGCGTCTGCGTGGACCGATTCGTCAAGTCGAGCTGGATATTGATATGGAAACCGGCATGAAAAATTATATCGCCAATGAGAAGGGTGATTGGGCAACCAGTGCTGCCTATGTCAAGTACAGCTTGAGTCGCAGCATCCACTACGGACGCATGTATACCCATGGTGGAGAGCGCAAGGGTAACGAAGAGGATCTCTGTGAGGCGTTGCGGTGTCTTGGACAGGGTCTTCACACGCTGGAAGATTTCGCGGCACACACTAACTACTGTGAGCTGGCTCTACGAGAGATGGGCTTCCACAATGTCTTTCCACACACCGGTACGGCTACCCAGGTCAATGTCCGTGGTCATCATATCTTTCCGCTGGTGACTGGTACCTTTGGTATGGTCGACTTTTTCCACTCTGTCTTGGGTGAGGCTACCGATCATTTCACCCAGTCGGAGGTCAATGAGATGGACATTGCCCTTGGGGATGCTGAGAACAATGCCCACTCCAACAACTCCCTCAATGCTCTTACAGGGCTATTGGGCAAGGTTCCAGGAACCCGAGATCTGGTCCACGAGGCCGAGCATTTGAGACAGCTTTCAGATGCACAGGAGGTTACCAACCGATCTCGAGGCTCACACATGGGCTATGCAACGAATGACTACCTTGTGAGCGAACAATCTCGCGCCGGTCCATCGCCCGGGCCCGGTCTCCAGGGAATGCCAGATTTCAACGCACAAGATACAGTGAAAAAGATCTACCCGATCCTCGCCTTCCGAGACAAAGTTGTCCGAAAACTGAATTCGATTATTGAAAAGGTCCCAGGCCTGGAAGCCATCATGGAAAAGATCTCCGAAACACTGACCGTGTTCATCATGTCTTTGCTTGCTCCATTCATCCGTCCTCTCATCAACGCCGCATCCAAGTCTCTGCAGACTGGTTCCTCTGGTGTTGTAGCCGCCTCTGGCAAACATCAGTTCGAACCGTGGACAGATCCTCACTGCACTGATCCCACTCACTCGCTTCTTTCTAAAGACCACTTCGCCAATATCTTGAACGAGCCCGCTGGTCAAGTCGCCTCTGCCATCGTAAAGTACATTGCTCCTCGCGTCCTCTACGCCTGGCAGCACATCAACGTCCCAGAGCACGAGGTATTGAATGATTGCATTCGGATCTTCCATCACCCCACCTTCCGAGACATGAACAATGAAGCGCACCGCACGATGTTCGAAGCTGTGCAGAATTGGGTCCATTCCCGTCCAGACCGTGGCTCCAATTTGAACGACGTTCTCAGTTCTGAAGGAGTCAGAGCAGGCCGGAACACCGGTGGTGTGCCACATACCCATGGCGGCGGTGGTGGTGGATTTGCCGCGCTTGGTTCCCACGGCCATGGCCACAGTCAGCAAAGTCAGGGCCAAAGCCACTCTTCGGGTGGAATGGGTGGGTTGACCTCGTTTTTCTCGTCGCAACAACAGCACCCTAGCTCGCAGCAGTCTCATTCGTCTGGAATGCCTTGGGATAAGATTTCTCATCTGCCTATCCCCGGTATGTCCAACCTGAATAAGCTGGAGAGTACCATTTCCAATTTCATTCCTGGTGGTTTTTCACATGGCTCGAGGGGACTGGACGAAGATGAGACTAGAAATCAGACTGAGTTTCACCAGGAACAGCAGTATCATGGGCACAGTTCCGATGGTCGGTCAGGATACGGTAGATATTGATACTATAGGCTGATCCATGTTGAACATTGGTCTTTGATTTGTTTCACCTTTTTATGAAATAAGATTATGAGTTTCATTATCATGCCGATTTGTTTGGCTTTATACAGATGATAGAGTTATTCGTGTTAATTATTGTTCAAATTTCCAAGACCCGATTCCAAGTTCCAGCGCCTATCACGTTTATCACCAACCATGACCATCAAATTAAACGCAGACCTCTCAATATCTAACCGCATATGAAGAAGAGAGTCCGGCCTCACCCAAGGCGAGTAAGTAACAATCCTCGAAATCCTCATCCTCCCCCTCTCAAAATTCCCCAGCACCAGATCAGCCACTATCTTCCCGAACTGTAGACCTTCGGTGTCAATAGCTAATACTAAAGGTTGGTTGGCTCCAGGTTTAGGTTCTTTTATATCTTGGATGCGACTGGATATGTATGATCGAAGTCAAATGCAAGTCATTTACATGTTGATGGTTCCTGAGTTCATTCACCCAGCTATCCTCTCTAGCTTCAATATCGAGTATTGTTACCAACTTAGACTAGGGCGACAATGACTGCAGTGACGCTTGATCTACTTTACATCTGTCCTATGTTATTGACATTCTAGCTTGAGTGCATTTATAGAGAGGAAATCTGTCAATTGAACTGTTCTATTATTCACGGGGCATGAATAGTATAGGCCATGTTCTTAGTTAATCCATGGTCGTGAAGGTGAATTGTCCTGACTCATCTTGTCTCCATGTAATGAAGTTTGGCTCCCTCTCTCCCATCCTCTCATATTCTACGTGCTATCTCGACGTTACTTGAGATGTCAACAACCTTTCTCTCTTAGCATGACTACGTACCAGCACAAGAGCTCGACATTCGTCTCACAGTCTTAATATCTGATTGCCTGCTGCTTGGTACAGACAGTGTATCCCCCTATTGTTTACTCTCTCACTGACATATTATCGTTGAAGACTTTTGGAGCCTTGTCTTGTGTGAGTAGTCGCCTTTCGTCACGTCCAGCGGACCGGACAGACTCCAATCCCAAGTCCCTTTGTTCTCGACCTCGACAACGGTCGTATTCCCGGTCAAAGGCTTCACATCTCCAAACAAAGCTTCAATTCACAAGACTCAGTCTATTATTCAACCAGCAGGGATCCGAGAAAGCGCTGGCTTGAGTTTGTCTCTGCTCTCACAACGCCTAATCGGGCCACTCCAGGAATAATCTCTACAAGCAAGTAACATCCCAACCATCAACGCGCAATGTCACACGACACCCTCAAGAGTCCCTCCTGGCTCCGTGCCCAAGGAGCAAAAGTAACTCGCTGGATCAACAGCCCCACCGAACCAGGCTGTCCAATCCTAAAGAACACACTATCCTACGAAGAAATCGAAGAGAAAACCACCAAGTTCGAACGAAATGCAAATATCGACATCGAAATCACTGGACATACCCTCCTCTTACCACCATGGGTAGTCGCACCCCCCACAGAAAGAGGAGGATATGTGTACTACACAATGCGATTCGACAGAGATCAATGGACCGGGTTCTTTGCACCCGGTATCCTTGTTATCCAAAGCATGCGTCGAGTCATACCCGGTACCCCCCATCCCTCCGATATTGCATTGACTCTTTACGCCAGAGAGCAAGGCCGGCTTGACAATTTGCGATACGTTTTTGCCACAACCATCCTCAATTGGCAGACTAAGCACTTTATTTCGCAGGAGTTGTATGATTCTTGGCCGGGTGTTGAGCCGCGATGCTGGGAGTATGGGACGAAGGAGTATGAAGGAATTATGGGGACGAGGATTGGACGTACGGTGGCTTATCTTGTTTTGGGTGGGTTTGAACGGGGAACGCGTCGGATTGTGCGGATTGTGACTTACAATAAGGCTGATGAGTTAGATATTCGGTTTGATATTCGACCGGTTACTAACTAGGTAGTCGCCTGAGCTGTAAAGTACAGTATTTCTTTAGTTCAGGGTTCTGTGGTAGAGAGAGTTCCGATGCATTGACTAAATCTGTGATATATTTCTCGGCTCTGAAGATGTAGGTTGAACCTTCTTTCTTTTTTGATTAAACGGGCCGAAGAGTTAAATATGAAGGATAAATCTCGGGGCATTCAGATTCAATCAGCTGGAAGAGAACAAAAACTCATGGATATAGACTAGTCAAATTAAGGGCGGTTCATTGAAGGCAAAGCGCATGTCCACTAGACTACATATGATCGAAGCAGTATGACTTAGGAACTTTTGAATTCAGTTTATGTAGCATCAAACTAAAATGCCTCCAACAAGCCCGGCCGGGCTAGCTCAATCGGTAGAGCGTGAGACTCTTAATCTCAAGGTTGCGGGTTCGACCCCCGCGTTCGGTTCTTCTTTTTGTTTTTGTTTTCCCTCCATCTTTCTCACAGAAATGAACATGCAAATCATTTCGACACCCGGATAAATATATTTTTTCCTGCATGCACATGACCACATACCTACCAAGGCCGCTGCAAATGCACCAGACATAACACATAACGAACATGATGCATCACAACCCTAAGGCGGGGGAGCCCATCTTACAGGTACCAAGCGCCATTACCCAGCTCCTAGCAGGCTGAAAAAGGTGATATTTCTGAAAATAGCTTAGCTACCCGATAAAGACTAGTACCCAGTGCTTTTGATCAAACTTGCACGCAACTTATAGCGTGGTTCCATGATTGGCTCTCAATAACCCCCGTGATCTAACTCCACAACCGACCCTTGAACCAAATAGCAGCTCCAATTGCAGCACATGTTCCTAGAAACTTGAAAGTATCCTGTGTCAAAAGCGGCCATCCTTCATAATGGCCGATCGGTTCGGTCCTAAAGCCTTGATTCTGACACGAACGCTGCAGCAGTGTTGCAGTCTGCCGCCCATAGGTCATCTTAATGACATCGAATAGATTGATCCTCGTTCCCCCACGTTCCAGACGTAGATCCGTGCCTGGACAACTCATATAGAGGTCTGAGCGGCCGTATCCAGCGGTTAGGATCTGCTGTAAGGGAAATAGGCCAATCATGGTTGTTTCTTCCGAGTAGCGTTTGATAAATTTGGTTGCGCGGTTGAATATCCGACATTCCGCCGTGTCGTCGAGGAAGATGATAAGTCTTTCGCCGTGGGCTTCTTGTGGGTTTCCATTTGTTGGAGATTGCGCCAGGGCATATTTCACGGCTTCGAAAACATACATCAGTTTTCCGAGGTCTGTCCCAGTAGAAGGTTGTTCCCCGGCCTCGAGGTGCGTGAGGAATTCGCCCCATTGGGCTGAGTGAGTACCCTGTGTTTGTATGGCAGATAGAAGTTCCTCCAGGGAGGGGACGACCCCAGATAGAGATCGCTCTTGGAGTAGTTCCACCGCTGCACCCGTTGAAGAGGCGAGATTCACCTTTATATCACCGATTCCCCGATCCAATAACAATTTATAAATGGTAGAAACCATTATGTTCTGGAGTTGACTCCGCCGCCTCTTGATAGCAGACATCCAATCTTGAACATATCTCATCGTAACTAACTTTTTCTCGAAGAGCTCCCAAACAGTCCAATAGTACTGGAAATCAGGGACATCAAGACTGACACTAATTGCAGTGTGTGGGTCACTGCAGCCTCCAAAGAGGGCAGCGGCATCTGCAATCCCGGTAGCAAGCCGGGCGATCGTCTCCAGCTCATACAGAGTCGGGTCTTCGTTTTCGGGTACCTTGGGGATAACGCAGTCGTCACCTTGGCCATGACCGGGTGACATTGCCAAGGCAGCCTTGGAGCCCAAACACATGCCCGAGTTAATGTGAATGCTCTTGAACCGTATCGGGGAGGGGCCTTTCAAGAGCTTGGGCTTAATTGCCGAGAAACGCGCGTTGAAGTATTGGGTTGATTTGACGCCATTGTTGTACTGGAGCTGAACTTCATTGAAGACTTCTGACATGTTGAAACAGTGATTCTCCTCTGACATCTGTGGACTACAGATGAAAGCTGATTTTCCAATGTTGACGGCTGGACTGCCCTCGGGAGAGACTCTCTGAAGAAGACGCTCTAAAGTCTCAATGGCAGTAGTACCTTTCCGCATATGTTTCTTTAGGTGTGCATCCTCAATTGCATCGATGGAATTCAGGAGCCTATAGCTCATAGCTCCCGGAAGGACCTGGGGATGTTTGATCTCATCACTAAGGGAGTGTTGCGCGACTACTGCCGGACCGACATCGTTGCAATGAACCACCGACAGGGCAGTCTTAGAGCTAGGAAGGTCTGGATTAGGAGATTCGAGAGAAAGAGGCTTGCTAGGCTTGCCATTTTCAGCACGGAATGCAGCGTATAGGATTTGAAACATGATCAGTTTATGAGAAGAGTATGCTCATTTTCCAGTCCTGTGAGACGCAAACGATCCTTTTATGTACTGCAGAATCCATGTTGCTCAGCCAAACCTGCTCTGAAGAGTACGTATTATCCTGGGCTCGTCAGTACAAAAAGTACGTCTTGCTCGGTTATTATTGCAAATTTACGGTAACTGATTTTCTATGCGTCGGGGCTCTCAGGCTTCATTGGATGATGGCTGTAACACTCATCGAGCGGATAAATACCGCATGCTAATGCGGGTGGAATGTGATGGCGGTTTCGTGGCCAGGGTCTGGACCGATGATGCCACACGTTTGCTAGCTTTAGGAGCCCGGACGCTTGGGTGCCGCAGTAGGATGCTATGAATGACAAGCGGGGGTGACAGGGATTAAGGGGCTAACTCCTCTTTAGCGTGGTGCCGCTGCTTCTGCGTGGCTGCCGAGTTGCATAATTCATGCATGTAAATCATCTTGCCTTGGATTCCGTCTCAGCTTGTACGTAACGATTAAATTGAGGTTGAATAATCTGAGATATCCAGCTGTCTTACACAATCGAATTGGTCGTGGAATGTCATTGATTCGTACGCCATACCTTCCGCGTACTTAACCATCGTGAGTTGTCCCTAGATTTCCTGATTCTTGGCTTCTGCCTGAGAATTTTTGTTTTTCTTAAGACTCTTGTATTAGGACCATTTCCTCCGAGATTAAGCATTCCTTCTCAACGACATTCCTGAATCGCTTTGTCAGCCACCTGGGCAGAACTTCATCTGGGGCCGTTGCACCTTACGCTTACTAGACACAATTCATGCAGATCGGGCTCCGCTTTTGTGTTCTGGGGTGAGTGATCGTACAGGCGCTACGGGAAATCACTTAAGGTTCCAGGACGCATTGTGCATTGAGATACAGAGAATTGCTCATTAATAGATATCTAACCAGACAGGTAGGACAAGAACCTGGGGAATTCACCCAAGTCAAGTACCGTGACCGTCTATGCTATTATTAGAAGAATGAAATCCGTCCAGATCCGACCCAGCCCGATCATCAGTCATAAAACATATGAGGTGTAACAAAAGACAGTCAAAATCCCGAGACTCCCTTATCCACCACCATTGAGAAAATGCAACGCTTATAAACACATCCGGGGCGCAAAGGAACCTCAGAGTTTGGTTCCCTCGCGCCCACTATCGCTGGGTCGTCTTGGTCGGAGCGGACCTAGGGAAGGGCCTGCAACATTGCCGGGACCAGGTGCAGACGCCACTTGAGACCGAGTATCGTTTCCGGTGTTTGCGTTGGGGCGGACGCCTCCTGCTCTTGTACCGTTGTGAAGCCGAGGATTCATGAGCCACTGGACTTGCATGCGGACGCTATTCACGGCGGCATTCGTGTGTGCCATGTCTTCTTTGATCCGAAGACACTCGTTCATAATGGTCATGCTAGCTCGGGCATCAAGGTCCGTAAGGGCATGTGACATCTGGCTGACCTCCTCACGCAGGGACTCATGGAGAGACAGTAGGTACGTGGTGGCGTTGGAAGAGAAGACATTTGAAGAACGGTCGGCAGATTCTTCTGTATCATCGGCAATACTTGAACTATTGCGGTCGTCAAGGCGTGATGACTCTACCAGGGTGGTTCGAATGTTGGCCATGCCGTCCTCGAAAATCTCATTTCGTTGTTGTAAGTGCCGCATTGTGAGCTCGAGAGAGTTCAATCGAGTATTTTGTGCCTCGAAGTATGGACCTATCGCAACAAGAGGACACTGCTGCTCATGCGTCGCAATTTCTGCCCGTCGAATCTTGACCGCACATCCATATTTCGATGCGGCGCAAGAGCTAACAACCTCAGGGCATGCTTCAGTATGATTCTTCATTGTACGCTGTAAAACAATAGTCCCGCAGCCGATACAAGTTATCTCCAGGCTAGGGCATAGCTCCTTGTCGTGTTCCTAACGCGGCTCAAGTTAGCACGGACTCTCTGAAGGCGTCTTCAAGCTTTATGATAGAACAAACCTCGTAGTCTTGCTCCATCACATCCTCTTCACATCGCGAGCATCGGCAGTAGCTATGCCTGCATCTATTTTCTGCCTGCAGATCTTTTCTCCGTGTCTTCTTATCGCACGATTCATCCGGGCATGGTACCAATCGATACCCACAGTACTTATCCACATGCGACTGGATATGGCCCCTCGGAACAAGCTCCTGACAACCTTCTGCAGCCAGTGGACATCGTACTTGGATTTCGTCGCACATGTTGATCAGTAGGCGGGGCACGCTCATCGAGACCTGGCTGGTGGGGGTTCGGCATGACGGACACGGGAACTCGTCTGACTCGGCCGAGCGGAATGTGGTGATCGCCGATCGCAAACATTTCTCACAGAAGACATGATCACACTGTAAGCGCACAGGTTGGATGAAAGGGCAGTGGCATATCGGGCACATCAGGTGGGAATCGTAGCTGGAGACGAATTCAAGAGCGCGCAGGTCGACTTGGTCTTCGGTGTCGCAGTCGGCCTCGAGGGCTAAGAAATCCTGTAGATCCATCATGGTTTTTTTTTCCGCTTGCGCAGGCTCAGGAAATATGTTGATGCTTGTTCTGCAGGGCAGTGCGGAGGCGGGTCTGAATGCAGGTGAATGATCGGATCTAGATACCGAGGTCGAACTAAGAACACAAGGGATCCATGAGAGTGACACCGGGCCGTAAGGGAATTAGTTTGTAGTCAACATGCAAGGAAGATGAGCAGCGACTGAGCAACAACGCCCTTCCAAGGGGATGTAAAGAAGAAGAATGCGGTGGGTTGAATTATTGCGGGGAGAGCAGCAGGGGCGAAAGGCGGAAAGCGGCTGAGCGCAGACCCGTGAACTTGACATTGGTGCCTTCACCTCTCTAACCCATAACATCCTTCATCCATCCACGATTTCTCCCGATATTGATCGGCTGGTCTTCAGTCTCCACAACTGACCCTCTTCTATTCCGTATCGATCCAGCTCCCGGGGCGGAAAACCTCCCGTCCAGACCCCGTAACCATGACGAACCCATCCCAGCTCTTCCTCCTCGCCGACCACATCAAACTCTCTCTTCTGGAGCGACGGCGCGCCATTTCCCTCGACCTGGAACCTAACGCCCAAGATGGCGAGATCTCCCGTTCCCTCGAGTCCTTCCAAGAAGGCATCCAAGCCGTTGAAGCCGAGCAGGCCCGGCTAGCGGATTCGCACGATAGCACCGGCGCCGCGGCGCTAAAGGACCAACTGGTTTCTCTCCATGAACAGTACCGTGATCTCGCATCACAATTCTATGGCGAATCGGCGCAGGCGTCGAATTCCATAACTCCCGACCTCAAACAGCCCGTCCCCCAACACCCGCCGTCTAAATCCGTGCGATTCATGGATAACTCCGCCGCGGCAGCAGCTGTCCAGGAAGAGATCGATGAAGAGGAGGATCGCAACCGACAGAATCTCTTCCGCCCATATCGCGATCAGCCCTCACCGCCAGGCCCTGACATGTCGACCATGGACAATGAACAAATCTACCTGCATCACGACCGAGTGATGCGCGATCAGGATGACCAGCTTGACCGATTGGGAGAGTCGATCGGAAGACAGCACCAACTGAGTATCCAGATCGGGGATGAACTCGAAGGTCATGTCCAGTTGTTAGATGGTATGGATGGCGACGTGGAACGCCATCAGGGCCGACTGGATACTGCGCGCCGACGGCTGGACCGGTTCCGGCGCAAGGCGGGCGAGAACTGGAGTATGATGACCATTATCGGTTTGATTATTGTCCTGGTTATCTTAATTGTCATATTGAAATAGGTTTGGCCTTTTTGCTTTGTTCCTGGCTTCCTGTTACAAGCGGGCGTTTTGGATTTGATAGGATCGACCACGGCGTTTATGATTATTTACGACGTTAAACCGAGTCCCGTTCTAGACTCTGTCTTTTGCTTTCCATACATCTACCAGCAAGCGTACCCTTCGAAATGAAACCTTTCGTAAGCTCAATGCATTATCAAATTTCTCAAGCTCCTAGACGCCACCACCAAATTCGATCCTGCTCGATCGATCATTGTGACTTCCCAGCCGCTTTGCCCTTCTTTATTTGTTCCTGCATCTGTTGGAAATCCTTGCTTTCAGTGTCGAGATCACCTCGATCCGCCTTGACCTGTTTACAGTGTCAGTCCCGATCATTGGAAAATGAAAAATTGTCTCATACACCAGCTTCACTGTTGCTCGCCAAACCTTCTGTCCACTTTCCCGTGCCGTCCTTGGCCTTCTTCATCTGGGCATGCTTTTCGGACTCGTAGTGTTGCGCAAGGTCATCATCACGGTCTAGGTGACCAGTTAGCTCGTTCGATTTTGATAGGAATAAGAGAGTGCTGACTATGATCATTTTCTTTCAAGCCTCTCTGCATTGCCGTCGTGTGGAATGCCGAGGTTGCCGGGATAGCGTAGCTAGATTGCACGAGACGGCCGGAGCTCATACGGAGCGAAGTGAGGAAAGACATTTCGATGGTATGCAGAGGGTGGATTGTTTAGTAGAGTGTATACTATGAGTCCTCAGGAAAGGTATCGGGGTTGATGTAGGTCTTGAAGTGAAGGGGAAGAACAAAGGAGGAAAGAAGGAAACCCCGCGTCATTATACGGGAGAAAATAGCTGTGATTGCTCGCCAATCACTTTCCCTTGATTTGAACCTTGGGTGGCCGAGCTAAGTACCGCATATGACGTCAGTGATACTTCAACACAGAGTGGGCAGAGATTACTCGGCGGAGAAGGCCGTGGAATAGAAATAGGTTTCATTCACTTCACGCCTTGCTACTATATAACTCTATACTGTGAATTATCCTTTGTGGGAGATCGACGCTGTCAAGACTACATACACCATGCAATATGGCGGTTCATTGAGATGACATCATGGAATATGCGAGACAAATTAGACTTCAACGTCCAAGTTTAAAAGTCTGAGACTTGAAAATATCTTGTCCTCTGTGTGATTTACTTGATCATATCGAATTTACGACCCACTCGCGCCGTCAGATGCGGGTTCACGCTTCAGAGTCGCCTGCGATGCAAGCACAGATGCTATACTAAAAGCCATTTCTCAAAGAAACACCAGCCGGAAATTCTTGGCACAGGCATACCCCAAGGCCGTCTGAATAGCGTCCTTGATTGCAAATGTGATTCCCGGAATAGGCGCCTGGGCAGCCTCTGTCCCCGCCGCTGCTGCGTCGAGAGCAGCAGCTTCAGCAGCAGCGATATTTTTCATTTCAGCATTTACAGCGGCCCGCACAACATACCGAGGTACATCGGCACTGCTCTGATTGGACAGGACAAAGGGAAGAATAGTCGTCACAGTCGATCCCGTAGCTCCACGACACGATGCTTGAAAGCCCGATGCGAGGCCAATGCGTTCCAGTGTACAAGTGAGTGGACGAGGACCATCAAAGAGGTAGCTAGAAGAGGAATAGGTAAATCAGTCTATACATGTAAATTCAAGATCAAAGCGATATGCCAGGATCGATCGTTGGATCTTGGAGCCCGTGCGCAGGTCGTTGTAAGTTTGAAAAATCTCAATTATACACAAACTCTCATACATGATAGGTTGCCCAGGTTACGAACCTTGCCACGACCCTTTCGATCCTAACGTAAAGTTAATCTCACCAAACACCTAAAACCCGAGATAGCTAAAACAGACTATGCCCAGATGGCGTAGTGACCTGTCAAACCAGGTGATTCTGAGGCGACACCAACGCTAACCATAATCACCAGTGGATCTACAGTGTCTAGGATTTCTGGCTTGTTCGTTGCCATGAGTGATCTAGTTGAAGTTGGAGGTCACCTGGCTCATGCCAACGCAGATATCTGCCCTTTTTCTTTGGCTTTTACTATTTAGACTTTGCCTTGTTGGTCTTTCCATACGTGCCACAATAATACCATTAAGCCGAATGTTTTGGTAATATATAGCAGGTAGGTAGATACAGTACAATAAATTAGCAGGTGCGACCGATGTCAAGGACGCTTACAGATTCTTCAATCCAGATATGATATTCACAATTAATAAATCCAAGCGCCCACTTCACCAGTTATGACAGCTAAAGTTCATGGCTCAATCACTTCTCAAATCGAGGAATCAAACATGACTTCCGGATTGGTCCCCGATGACTTGCTCAAGGCTTTCCTCGAATCATGCTACGATCCATAACATGATATTGCATCGTGCTAGCCTGACATCAAATGAATGCATAGACACTATATCTATAGAGACAGCATTTGCAACAACCTTTCCGATTATTAGAACATCTACAATGCCCGACCAAAGAACACTAGTCGGCGGCAATAAGCCAGATGGAACAGTAGAACTAATCGAAACATGATTCACTCATCTTGGAGTACTTGTCAATGCCGAAACTCATTGGTCCTCCAGGAACGGGAACGTATGGCTTGATTCGCCTGAATAACAGTTTGGATAATGCCACCCATAAAGAAGTTGGACGATATGATACCAAGGATAACACTTACTTTAAGATTGACAGTGTTGATTTTTGGTAGGATGACCCCGGGCAAGCGGAGAACCTGCTAAATAATTTTGACTTTAACGCTGGCTACAAGATTCTAGGCGAAAGACTACTGAGATTGCTGATTTGATACGCTCTAGACGGTGAAAATTTGTATCGGCTGTCATGCTGGGATCCATGGAAACATTGCATCTCCATTATGCTTTCAAGTTTATCTGATGCGCTGAGCTAATTCTATGATTTGTCCAACTTTATGATGCAGCCGAAAGTGAGTTTTACATGTCCGTTCAAGTATCTTGTTGCGTGAGAAGATGGGCGGCTGGTGTGGCAGTCAAATATTTGGGACTGATTTACTTGGGCGTCAGCAGCCGACGAGGATTGATCTGGATTGGAATCTCTGGACGTGAGGATGATACTGTATTATTCCCATATGCAGGACGTAAGGGATTGGAAATGCCAAGTGAGGAGATTGCGATCTGGATGGGCGAACGGGATCGGAGAATTTGGATCTACAGTATGTGGAACACAATCAAGTTGCCACTTCATCTTTTTGTGAACGTTCGAGACAAATTCGATCTTCCCTTGACCCGGGATTTGTCGTCATATGAATATCAATTCCTAGATAAAACATCGTTCCACTTTCGCCCCTTCGGCAATGCAGAGTCCAGGGGTGACATCATGAACATGACGTAGAGTGTCGTGTTCAGGGGAGTATGAAGGATATCAAGGTAAGGATTACAAGAATGTAGAGAAGAGAATCACATCGATTTGTCCAAGAATTATCAGCTATAGATCAATTGAAATATGAACAAAAGAGATGCATTTGAAATGACAGTGTGCAAGGAATAAAGAGATCATATAGCGTAACTCCCCGGGAGTTGGAGTTCGCAAAAACAAGCGAAAGGAAAACCAAAAAAGCCATTTTCAACGCATATGGTCTATGACTCGCCCAACCTGCGAGAGACCCCCAGGATATCGATCTCAAATGAAAACAACTCCGCATCCCATGGTTTCGCTATCCCTACCAGCCACTGGTAAGGAAGCAATGAGTATCGCATATCACCCATCCCCAAACCGATATACAGGAACCAAGATAATAAGAGATGTGCAAACCAGCAATAAAAACAACAAAAAACAAACCCAGGTATTTCAACAGTGCCCAAGCAATGCAGACGTGTATCGTTTCCGCCTCTAGATCCTTGAAAAAATGTGATATCCATCCCGCCCAGAATAATAACCCCAGTGAAAAAAAAAAAAACAAATCCAAAGAAGCAAGAAGTCGTCGAATAAGTCACAGCGTAGGTGAGGAGGGCCCAACAAACATGCTTTGCAAGCAACCCTTCTCCCTGAAAGAAAGAAAAATTTCAACTCCTGTCCCCAGGGACATGCACGTCGAGAATAAAAAGCAAGTCACCACACATTCTATACATCATCGGTGGCCCAACCGAAAGACACATAGGCCAAAGAAAATAGTCCCTCCCGAGAGACATGATCGTTTGGAGAAAAAAGAAAAAAAAGATGCAAGGAATCAAAATCGCAGGCGCCGTCGCTCGCAACAAGCTGAAAGCATCACAAAGGATCTAAGATGCATGGCGAAAGAGTCGTAAATCGGCGGATGGTCCAGAAGCCCTGGTATGTACAAAGCCAGATTTTGTCGAGTTTTTTGATTTTTTTTTGAAGCAAGATTTTCGTTGTTTCGCCGTTCGTAAGATTTTTTTTCCGATGTGAGTCGTGTCGAATGCAAATAGTCGTATCGAACAAGGATGCGGTAAAAGGGATAAAAGTAATTAATACCTGCGATTAGGTGGGACCGATGATGCAGATAGACGCAGGTGACGTGCAATAGAACATGCCGCTAGGGCAGAAGGGGCGCAAGCGCCGCATATTTTCAGGCGAAATGTCCTCACCATCGACGCTGAGCCTGCATCATCGCTGGGGAGATGGATGATGGCGGGCTGGCCAAGGACATTCCCGTGTTGGGGTTGACGATGGGAATGACCTTGCGAGTCCGGCTGGCAGGTTGCTGTTGGTAGTTGAGGTGATTAGGATTGGCGACTCCGTGAACATAGGAGTTGGCGGAGGCCGGAGAGAGGGAGATGGCGGGAGTGACCTGCTGCACGGGCTGGATCTGGTGCTGCAGTGGCGAAGTATCGGGAGAGCCACTAGACAGGGAAGAACGGTCGGAACCAGCGGAGTGGATGGAGTGCAGCTGGAAGATCGTTAATACAGGCTGTTCGGATAGTTCATCCTGGTCCACAGCAAAGGGACGGAAGAAAATGCAGGGAGAGTGACATCGGACGGATTCCGATCACAGCAAAACTTACATCTTCATCAGTCAGGAGGTTGGGGCAGAACTCCAAGTCATCATCGAGATCAAAAGACCGACCGGCCTCGAAACGAGCCCGGAAGGCAGTGACGGCGGGAGCTTCGGCCAACTCCCGCATGCTCTTGACACCTCGGAACTGACGCTGGGCATTCTGGGCGGCCATCTTGGGAGCCCGACGAGACCGGCCGTGGTGGTTATTTGAGGGCATGTGAGCACCGTGGTGTGCGTGGTGTTGTTGTTGCTGGTGGTGGGTGTACATGAAGGCAGACATGGCGAAAGTAATTGACAAAGGGTGGTAATCCAGCACCGTATAATCAAAGATGGTATATAAGTTGAGAGGGAATAAAAGAAAAGAAATTGGAGAACTGATATGAGAAGGTGAAGAATTGACTGAGGTGTGTGGGAAGGAGAAGAGAAAAAAGAGGGGTGTTATGGGGCTGAGACTGAGAAGGGTGAGGTATGGTCATGTATTGTCACCAACAGCCACAGAGCAAGGGCTGCAACGTGCGGGACTAACGTGGGTGAATGATGGAAATTTTCGAAAGATTGGTATGAGCAGTGACACCACCTTGTTGGTGGACACACGGCGCTAGCGAGGGTCACGCACCAACGAAGGTGGCGAGGAACGAGGATTGCAACCAATGAACGGCGATGGTGGTAACTCTATTGACTCCACTCTCCAAATGCCGGGTCAATCACTGGTACCATTGGGTAAAACGTGACGTCGACGACCAATGAAGGCTAAGCCGGATGAAGCAAAAGAGTGACGAGATCTACTGGGTTTGTCTCTCCCCTTTGTGTAGACCTCCACACTCGGTATCTTTCTGGAATTTTATTCACATAGGGCTTTCTGACAATGCCATCTCCACATACCACCCCTATTCTTCTGCCCTCCGGATGAGAATCCCTGCATGTTCTGCATTTGACGTTATGGAGGCTGGGGAATAGGGGCGACCTTTCCATACTTATCCGTCATCTTGTTTCCTCTGTTCTGCGTTTCTGCACAGCCTTTCGACCAGGCACAGGTCGGTTGTGGCTGCGGATCGGCGATCGACAATTTGGGGGACATTCCCCAATTCTTCGACCTGCAGCGCCTTGACCACCGAACAGAAGTTTTCCTTCCCAACCCATGAGCTGCAGGCGGTCTCCCTCATTATTGGTGGCCCCGAGATCTGACCTGATCCATCGCCTTCCCGATCTCCCGAAACGGATAAGCCCATGCCTACGAGATCCGGACTAGGAATAGCATCGAAGCAAAAGAAAAAGTAATTGATTTTCCTCGTAAGCGCTACGAGGACCGTTTGGGTGGTATCTTGACTTTCTGCGACCCAACCGACTCCGGTCGGACACTTGTCACTGCAGGGCTCCACACCATGGCGCCGAATAGGGAATCTTCTCAGGTTTCAAGTCTTCGTCTCCATACCTTTGGCCTAAGGGGTACCTGGATGCGAGCGCCTACTGCAACAAATTCCAACCCGTCCCTAGAAATAGATAGGGGACTCAGACTTTCCCGTGCACCGGATGGCCCGGTTCGTGGAACACTCTAAATTCAAACTCACCGCTTCTTTGGAAGGCCAACTACGAAGTGGCCACACGTTATCCTCGATGATCCGCAATACGATATGATATAACCCACGGGCGCAATGGCCAGGTGGAGGCACCGTTACTCCGAAGCTTGAACCATGCAGCTGACAGATCGAAACCCATGCGTGCATGACATGATAGCCCCTGGGTTCGATCTGACTGTGAGGGGGAACTGGGTCTCTCCCAGGACTACGCAAGGGACTGCAGTCTGGTTGGCCCGGGCGGTTTCTCAAGCGGCCTTGTTTACTACAAATTGTTTGACAAGGTGGGATGTCAATGCTAATGCGGGGGTTACGAGTAGCTCCCAATCTTGGTAGACGTAACAAATGTAAGGACCAGGGCGTGTTCCGTCGATTCTCGGACGAACTCGAGTCGTGTCACTCCGTGTAACGTGGCCGACCGCAGCGACGCCGATGTTAGCGCTTGACTGCCGCTTTGTTTCTCGGTGACACCTAATAACACTGCTCAGACTAAAATCCCAGCTTAGATCAATTTGAGGGACTCGACAGAGCTAAGTCTTTGTCACTGAAATGGGAAGTTCCGGACTATGACGTTCCGAGATTCCCGCTCAACAAAGCGCAGTGTAGATTGATAAGAGTCACAGCCACATCACTCAGCCTTCGAATCCATATCCTTAATTATGAATTCCAGATTGCCGCAGCCTGATTACATAAATATATCTGATGAAGATTATGTCAATTATTTGTGATTCCCAATAATATTCGCTTTGGCCAATACACCTGTAACTCCCAAGGCTTGGCTCCACTAAGCATGTACTTCTTCCAAGGTTGTTTGGTCATGGTGAATAAGAACCACATGCCCAGATGAGCAGCTAGATTATCCAAGTTGGCATTTGGCAGTGCTCAGCAATGGCAGTCCCGGGCTTATATTTGCGGAAACATCCTCCGGATTGCAAAAAGAATGTAATTGCAAGTGGAATGTAATGAGTCGCCAACATGCAAAATATATCAATGGGGAATGAATGTACATAGCCGACATGCATGCCCTCAACTCCAGATAACCAATGCTTATGAAGGGTGTACCCTAAAGAAACGAAACAATCCATAGCTCCGTTATTTATCCAAATTTTTGGTCTTGACCATGCGGCCAATCAACTCCTTACAATTCTTTTCGCTGTACTGCTCCCACACCTCATATAGTGAGAGCAGTTCCTGCGTACATTCAATGACGGCCTTGATATCTACCTCACTCTCAGCTAGCCAAAGAACCAGTTTTTGAATGCGCGGAGGTCCATGGCCAGTCTTATCGGATAGAGCTGCAAGCATGTTCATCCCACTTCCATCACGCATGGCACCTGACAAGGTCGACTGGGCTGACCCGCCAAAGGTGCTGGAGTGCGCGGGCTTGAAGACGACTGAAATAATGATGGCCATGATCGCAACTACGTGTGGTGGATGCAGCAGCGGGAGGTCAGTCAGGTAGTGGTCATTGATCACGGACCAGGCTAGTGCAACCTCATCAGAGCTGAGAGGCAGCTCGTCCTGCAGCTCTGTTAAGGTTCGGTAGGGATGGTGCACGATAAGTTGCGAACTCATCTCGGAAATTAGTGCAAATTCACACTCTCCCAGCTTGGCCACATCTGGAGTAATGAATTCTGACCAAAGATATCAGCATGTGGGTTTCACTATTGAATTAGGAAAATGTATCCTACCTGGCCAGAGCCCGCGGGCCTCTCCGACCACGAAGCGGATATGCTGAGGGCACTCTTCCATCTTACAGGCCAAATAGAAGGCGGTGGTGAGCACAAGATACGGGTTTGTTTGGCGGATCTCATTTTTGGTATAAAACCGCTTGAGATAGACTTGGGCTGTAGCAATGGCTTGTTGTCGGGTGGACATGCGTTTCCCCAGCTTGATGAGCTCTAAGGGTGGGTTAGCGGATATGGTCAGAGCAAAGGACAAGTAATCTCACGTTGATTACAATATATATTCAACAGGCGCTGATCCGGCAGCGGAAACTGTGAATGGGAGACCTTATCTTGTTCACGTAGTTTCTCCCGAATATCGGCGAGTCTCTCTCTTGAGAAAAGCCAATGACGACGCTGAGTCGAGGCCCAATAATTGGCGGCCATGATAGAACATGGGATTTTTCGAAATCATTCAGTCATTCAGTCATGGTGTATATATAGGGGTTCCCCGGTTAGATTGAAGTCATCTTGGATAAGGCCAGAGGGAAGCTGGCCCAATCGGGTTTAGGGTCCAACCCTGGTCCCGTGCTCGGTGATGGCGTCAAGCGTCGAACTTGGAGCAATGATCGGGCCCCGATTAATCATTCACCTCTCAACTTGAACCCCACTCCGTTAACTGTCAACCTTCAGGCTTTTCACGATCTTCAAAGGGTGACCGGTTTATTACGACTCCTCACCTCCTCGCACAACCCTCAGAATATGCTCCCTTGAATGATGCCGGGTGCTCGATAACAATTTCCCTCCCGAAATATGGCACCCGGCGAGTCGAAAGATGAGCGCGACGAACGTGTTGCTCGGCTCTGGGAAACGTTAGATACGCGCAAAGAGGGTCACATCGATCTTAACGGCTTGAAGAAAGGGCTAAAGAAGATCGACCACCGTGAGTTGTTGACCCGATTTGATGCCGAAAGCTTCCGACTGACGCGGTCCATAGCGTTGAAAAATGCAGATGGCATGCTCCGCAGCATCTTGCGCGAAGTCGATACCAACGGCGATGGCCGTATAGACTTTGACGGTATGATTCATCTTTTTACAAGCGTGGGCTGCGACGGCGCTTACGCGCCGTCTATTTGAGCACTCCTAATCCTTGTTCCAGAGTTCCAAGCTTTCATCAACCAGACCGAGTCGGGCCTATGGCAGATGTTCCAGTCTATCGACCACAACCATAACGGCGAAATTGACAAAACTGAGTTGCGCAATGCGTTTGCGAAATCGGGCGTGACGGTATCGACCTCGAACCTGGACGAATTTTTCGCTGATGTGGACAAAAACAACGACGGGGTGATCTCTTACGCGGAATGGAGGTTCGAATACCCACGTTTCACTGCTCAGATTCACTGCTTCCATTCACTGCCCCCGAATCAAGTGAATGAGCTACATAAACCGCATTGTGACTAACATGTATGCTTTTACGCTCCAGGGACTTCCTCCTCTTCCTGCCCCTCCATTCCTCCGCCGACCTTCGCGCTGTTCTCTCTTACTACACTGCTACGGGCAATCTAAACCCGGAAGGAGATGTGCACATCAATGACCTGCAGGGTTTAGGTACAGACCTCTCATTTCTTAACTATCTTCCTGTCGCTAAGACCCTTTTGTACAATTTCCTTTCCCTGCCTCTCCTGGCCTCCCTCCTTTCGTCAGCCGATGCGCAAAGCAGCCCAGCCACAGAGTTCTCCCCAATCCTCGGGAAGGACTTGGCTTTGTTAGACGCTGACTCAGAATTGGAGTGGTTGCCAATTCCCAAGACTACCGCCATGTGGATGTCGTTCAGCTATTATAAACGGAGGTTGACCGAGAATACCCCTCAACTAGGTTACTTCGTTGCAGGCGGTATCGCTGGCGTTGTGTCCAGGACGGCCACCGCACCTCTTGACCGTCTCAAAGTTTATCTCATTGCAAAGACCGGAGTGAAGAAACACGCCGTCCGCGCCGCAAAGGATGGTGCCCCTCTGATTGCTGCGGGGAACGCTTCGAAAACCCTGGTAGATGCGCTGAAGGAACTATGGAGAGCCGGTGGAATTCGCAGCTTGTTTGCAGGTTCGTTGATCTTTCTGTTACGTCTCTTGAATGACGACTCTAACCTCTTATAGGAAATGGCCTGAATGTTGTGAAGGTCATGCCAGAGTCCGCCATCAAGTTTGGAGCCTACGAGGTAATATTATTCCACCCTGAATGAAGATATGCAGAGCTGACATGATACAGTCTGCCAAACGTACATTTGCCCATCTTGAAGGGCATGACGATCCCAAGCGACTCAGGCCAACCTCGCAATTTTTGTCTGGTGGAATCGGAGGAATGGTAGCTCAGTATGATTTGCTCTGATGTATTGACAGTTCCGTTTTCTAACCGTTCTTTAGATGCTTCGTTTACCCGCTTGATACTTTGAAATTGTGAGCAAACCTCCGTCGACCCTGGTGAGATAATAACTAATAGCCACAATAGTCGCATGCAATGCTCGACCGTCGAAGGTGGCTTGAAAGGAAATAAGCTTATCGCCGCAACTGCGAAGAAAGTGTGGAATGCCAATGGTTTGCTCGGGTTCTTCCGCGGTCTCCCTCTCGGCTTGATTGGCATGTTCCCCTATGCCGCAATCGACCTTTCAACTTTTGAATACCTCAAACGGGCCCTCCTCGCTCGACAAGCGCGGTTGAACAACTGTCACGAAGACGACATCCCCCTCAACAACTTCGTCACTGGCGCCATCGGTGCTCTCAGTGGAGGTCTGAGTGCCTCGGTCGTTTATCCCCTGAATGTTCTTCGGACTCGCCTACAAGCCCAAGGCACTGTCTTACATCCTGCTACCTACAATGGCATCGGCGACGTCTTGCGCAGAACCCTCGAAACCGAGGGACCTCGCGGTCTCTACAAGGGACTTACCCCTAACCTCCTTAAAGTCGCCCCGGCAGTGTCCATCAGCTACGTGGTCTACGAGAACTCGAAGCGAATCCTCGCCTTAAAATAAGCGACAACTATGTACCACCACAGCTCCAACTGCACCCAGGCCTCCTATTCCCCCACCACTTTCTCGCCCTCAACCTCCAACGGCCTTGACTCGTTTTTGCTTCTGAACTTCCCCCAGTCTCTGATTTAGAGCTATTTGATCCAAGATACCCCTCCAAAAGGTCAACATACAGCATGGCACGGTTCTGTGTGCATGCCGCCCGTACATCTCATTTCGATTTTGCTTCCCATTTAACCTCTGGCCTTAAAATTACAGAAACCTATCGTCTGAACATTTGCATTTGCTTTCGGCCTCATTTTTTGTTCTCTGAACATGCTACCTCTCAGAGGTTCTTTGCTGCAGCTAAATTGGGACAAACCCATTCACCAACCATAAGCATGGCAAGGCGTCGAGGCATGTGGATTCAATGCAATACCACGGGGTTCTTTATCTTTATTTGTCCTTTCATTCCGTTCTATTGTGTCAATATTGGAAATTAAGTTTCACCTTCCGGTTATCCCACTAGCTTTGGGCAAACTAGATAGGTCAGATAGAGGTCATACATAATACATCCCATCTATGGATGGATCTAGCGCGCGAAGTAGCCTTCCTTTCTAGTATCGTACCGTGTCCAGAAGCACAGGAAAAAGGTTATATCATTTTAACTTGAGATTTCAATTAAACCAAATTAAGATTCACCAAAATTAATCTCAACCTAAGCCCCCTTCACAGCATTAACCTCCTCATCTTTAGGCAGCACATCCGGCACCGGCCCAACAGGCGTGATGGCAAACGGATTAATCTGCTTATGACTCTTGGTATAATGCTTCTTAATATGTTCGAAATTCGTCGTTTCCTTGAAAGCCGGCAGATCCCAATACAAACCTCTAACCCAACGATGAATAGCCGGGTATCCAGAACGAATATCCCGAATATTGCACTTGAAGTGCTGCACATACACAGGATCAAACCGGATAATAGTAGTGAAAAGCCGAATATCAGCTTCGGTAACGGAGTGACCGAAGAAGTACGGCGAGACAGATGCCTGCGTTGTGAGGTGGGATTCGATCTTGTCCAGGGAATTGAAGAGCGTAGTCACGGCTTTCTCGTAGGCTTCCTGGGTGGTTGCGAAACCGGATTTGTAGACGCCGTTGTTTACGTCATTGTAGATCCATTCGTTGCTACTATCGATTTTTTCACGGAGCGCGGTTGGGTAGAGGTTGAGGTTTTTGTAGGTCTCTGGGAGGAGGTCGTCAAATTCATAGTAGAGCATTCGGATGATTTCGGCGCTCTGGGATTTGTTAGTTTGTGGTTTTGTGGGTGGTTGGGCGTGAAATTACCTCATTGCTGACGATTTGCTTGGTCTTCTTGTCGAAAAGAACGGGAACGGTGAACCGTCCTGTGTAATCTGGGTCGTTGGAGAAGTAGACCTCGCGGATATGGGTAAATTCTGGGTGCAATGGATCAGGGATGGTATTTTCACCCGGGATATCCTCGTCCGCCGTAGCGAAGCGCCATCCTAGTAGGGATCAATATAAATATAATGATGCATTGTAGCAACAAGGCATAACGTCTGACTTACCTTTCTCACCGAGGTGCCAGTGTACCGACGAAAAGGAAATGATATCTTCCAGGCCCTTCAGCTTACGAGTAATCAAGGTCCGGTGAGCTTGAAAATGTTAGCACAGAATTGACTATTGAAAAGACACTTTCTTACCCCAAGGACAAGCATAGGAAACATAGAGATGGTAACGGCCCTTCTCTGGCGGGAATTGCGCGCCAGTTTCACGCGAGATAAAGCTGCGGAAGACGGATTGCTGGCGCTTGAACTCGCCAGACTTGTCATTGGGATTCACCCAATCGGTAATTTTACCCGAGTTTCCGGTCTGGATATGGTATTAGAATATCAAGAGTCGTAGATAACAAAAATGCAGGGATGTTGGTTCTCATACGGCCATAGTTCGTGATGCTGCGGAGAAGCACGGATGAGAAGCTTTGGAGTACCCCGCGCGGATGATTGTAGATCGCGAAACAAATTGCAACGCTGGTGAGCGAAGAAACTTCAAGAGCATCAGCAGGACAGAGAGCTTTATAGTCTACCACTAGAAGCGAGGGGAATACGAGAGAGAAATTCAAGAGCTGCGGGGATGACGTGCATGGTCTAGAGGCTTACTCAGCTCTTATCGGTCAGCTTTGACAAAGCATCAACTCATCGGGAAATAATCCATCACGAAAGCATTTGGAAGCAATTGTAGCGAAAGTGGAATTTGATGGAATTCTAGTGCTCATTGAAACATTCGTTAAGTCTACTTCTGCTAATTCATCTGCTAGCTGACTTTTGTAAGGATTTTAGATCCTTATTTATTTCGTCCGCTTGACCATCACATAAGGAATCTCCACATCCTCCTCGGTCTGGTCCTCGGCGGTCACCTCAAAGATAATGTTCTTTTGGTGCTCCGGCACAGGCTTCTTGCTCACAAACTCGACTAGCTGGCTCATCCTGTGAAGTGTTAGTATTGTTCGAAATGACTAGAGGTGGGTAGGGTATATCATCAAAAACTTACGGTAGAGGAAGGCGGTCCTTCACCTTAGAAGGAGGATAGAAGCTTGCATACAGCAAGCTCACACCCGAGCTGACCATGGTGATATCCAAGCCCCGGCTCTCAAAGTAAGCCAGGAAATCTTTAAGGGGAATATCTTCGAGCTCAAAGCGGTCCCAGAGCTGGTCAATGATAACCTCGCCCTCTTTGCCTTGGTACTTGCCCTTGGGACTAGGCATCGGCTCGCTAAAGCCGAAGAATGGAAGCGCAAGGTTGATAAAGCCGTTCTTATACTGCTCAGGATCATCCTTGCCATCGACCACCTTGTACAGCTCCAAGGCCACGAGACCAGTAACCAGAGCAGTAGCAGTGGCAATGGCAGGAATAATCTTTCCAGCAATGAACTTGGTCTTGTGTCGGTCCGCCTGGGGGATTTCGTAGTTGTCAGCGCGCAGGTTACTGGCCGCGGCGATGAAGTCGATGTGGTGGTTGGTGTCATCATCCTTCTCGAACTCGACTGGCTGCAGGCGGAAGCCAGCGAGAGACTTGGGCGACGGGAGGGTGTCCACCAGACGCTGAATCTCTTCATTATCATTAGCACCTCCAGCTGGCTGAGCGTTCGGATCAGGCTCTTTGTCATCAGCCTGAATCTTCACACTAGAGCTAGGCGTGAACTCAGGGATGATCATATCATCGACAACCTTGCAGTAGTAGGCTTTGTCCGCACCAGGGTTTTTGATTCCATAGTTGAAGGCATGCAGGTTGGCGCCAGCAATCACGAATCCAATATGAGTAGGATTGCTGCTGTCAAATTTCAGGGGAGTCGGGGCACGTTTAGGGCCGGACCAGAAGGGCTGACCAGAGGAGGTCTTGGAGTCGCGAGGGAAGTTGTAGAGTAGCTGCTGAATGGCATTGTTGTACTGCGCCTCAAACTGCTGGCGGGCCCAGACAATGCAGTCATCAAAAGTGAGCGGCTTCTCGGTCACCAAAAAATCACGGAGATGTTGCAATGTTTGCTTCTCTTGGCCTGCCTGCTTGAGGGTTTGCTCAATGTAGTCGGGCTGCGAGAGATACATGTTGACAGACTCTGGCGGACCGACGAAGTAGGTTTGGAAAAGATCCCGAGCCCAAGCAATAGTGTGCTCAATGCGGTTAGGGAAACTCTTCAAGGTACACATGGGGAAGGACTTCTCAGGAGGATCCTGAGAGCTGGAGTAAGACTCAGTAATGAACGGCAAGATAACTTGGACGTTACCCTTGGTACCGAGAGTACCGCTCTCAAGAAGAGGCTTGCGGAAGAAGACGCAGCGTCGGTCCACATATGTTCTGGCATCAACATTGTCCAAAGCGTTGGTAACGCCATCCAGCCGATTCCAAAACTCTTCGTCGAAAATGTGCTCGGTGTCTTGGCCAACACGGTCGCGGAGAGTCACGATCTTATCATTCAAGTCAGGGTTCATCGCCTGCACAGCAGCAGAAGCGCAGTCACTCTTCAGGCGACCAACATCCTTGGATCGGAAAAGGAATTGGCGGTTCAGGTTACTCTTCTCAATCTGGTCCATGTCGGTGACGTAGATTTTGCCCTTGGGGCCCGTACCCAGACCGATCATAGCCCAGTTCTTCAGAGTTTCGCAACCAATGGCTCCAGCACCGACCAGGAACTGGGTGACATTGGAGAGCTTCTCCTGGTACTCCTTACCGAAAACAGCAATCTGGCCATCGTAACGAGTTCCGAGAGGCTTGCAGCTCTCCTCGGACCGAGTGGTTGAGGACGGCAGAGACTCCAGGGAGTCGAAGTACATCCACTGGTGCACAGGGCTGAACTTTCCAGAGACAGCCTTGAGGACTTCCTGCGCAGCGATACCTCCAAAGAAAGCGGCCAATGGGTTCAAATCACCGCGTGCCTGGTAACTCAGCTCCTTAATGATTTTCTCATCTAATTCAACCTTCTCCTCTCCGGCCGCAGCGAGCTCACCAGCAAGCTTGAGGATCTCCTGGGCATCACTGTCATTGTGCGGGCGGGGCATTTGACCGTCATGAGTCTCCGCGAACTTGTGAAGCGCCTGGATACCAACGTGAAGTTGCGCTGGTCGGTCGAACTTGGCGAAATCGGAGATGAGGAACTCGGGCTTCTTAATCTGCTCCGACAAGGGCTGGAAATCGATAAACTTAGGCATTTTGACCTGAGTGTAGATACCACCACCCTTGTAGGAGCCAAGACCCGACACATCGCCAATAGTGAAGGTGTAAGGTCCCTTGACCGTGACTTTGCGGGGGGCGCTGTCATTCAATTCGTCCATACCTTTAACCTCGGTGAAAGTCACGAAATCGCCATCCTCGAGTCCATGCCGAGTCTCATCCAGAGCAGACACGAGGCCATCCTCGGCGATATCAGCAACGATTCCGCTCACTGGCTCCTCGCCGGTAGGATCGCCGACTGTGAAGTTCTTTCCGAAGTCGTTGAAGAGGTAGCCGAAAAGGCCAAAGGTATCCGTAATTGTCACATAAATTCCGTTTTTATGGCAGAAGTCTGCAATCGCCAGCTGCTCCTTCAAGGGCGTAAGTGTCAGTACAACTGCTTGATAGCGCTTCAGTTGCTCCAGATCGTCCACTAGATTCTTGCCCTCGTGGATTGTAACAGGGACGTAAGAGTTGAGCTCCGCGACTCGGGGAGCGGTGACTTCAGCGCGGGGCTTGCCAACGTCTTTTGGTTGGAGGAAAAATTGGGAAGACAGATCGGAGATAGCGACGGGGGCGGGGTCGTAGAGGGTGAGGGACTTGACACCGGCGAGGGCAATGTTCTTGGCTGGAGAAGTTCAATAGACATTAGTTGGGCTGGGCGCTGCCATTTCATGTTTTAATACTTACCAATTTCCACACCAAGACCCTTGAGACCGACAACAAGCACGTTGGATGAACCCATACGCTTCATAGCCTCGTGGCCAAGCACATATCTGAGAGCGAGTCGTTAAGCCCAGGCTTCAGCCCATGCGGGATGCCATGTAAAACTCACAGTTGACGACTGTACAGGGACTCATCGATTTCGCCCTGCTTAATCAACTCCACTGTCTCCTGTGGGTTGTCCACCTGCATCTTGACGTCCTAGTGTAGTTCGAGTTAGTGGCGATGCCTCAATTTCTCGAACAAAAGGCATAAATACCGGCATAGTTTTCTTCTGGGGCCGAGCGGCGATGTCGTCTTCGGACGCTCTGCGCTTCACCGGCTTAGCCGCTTCACGTACAGCAAGATCGGAAGGAATGATGGTAAATGGAGGGTGAAAGTCTTGCCCCACGAGCAAGACCTTCAATAGTGCGGAGTAAAAACAAAGTAACTTCTAGCGTACCAGGTACCTAGCTAATCAAACCGAATCAGAAAAAAGAGCCAGCGACGGGAGGAAGGCGTAAAACTGTACAACAAAGAACAAGTATGAAGTAGAGGTAAGGGAGGAAGGGACAGTTGAAGCGGGACCATCGACGTAAGAGGGAGCTACTGGGATGACTAATTGACCCGCCCCGCGTCCAGAACGCGATTAGATGATTAGGTGATTTGGTGATCACAAGGTTATTCTATCCTGCTGCTTCATTCTCCATAAGATATTGGTGATTGGAAGGGGAGACATCGAGACAGAATGAAATTGTTCTAGTCTCACTGAGGGACTTTGGACACTTCGACGCGTCCTGACACAAGCCCAACTCTCCCATACCCAACTCATGTGTCGCTTGGAGCTTCTTGGGCGTGGTTTACTATACTGGCAGCGGCACAACTCTGAAGAGGACAGTCAGCATTCTAGGTGCGTGTAATGTCTTTAAAACCTATTCGACCCCCAGCTGCGCGGACTGGATTACTGACGCCTACCAGGCACCCCAAGCCAGGATGCTACACGAGATCCTCCTCTCCCTCTCTGGTCAGCCCTCCCCCCCTCTTCGCTGATGTCGGGAAAGAGACGAGCTCTCAAGATGATTTTGCCCTTCTTTCTCCTCCGGAAAAAGCCCTCCTCGGATCAATTGCCCACCTAAGCCAACTTCATGCTCATCTCCGCGAGCAAACCTCCCAAATATCCTCCTCCCATGTTTCCGTCATCTGCCGCTCGGTCTCGACGACTATAGTCACTGTTCAGTTGGGTGAATTTCAGAAAAAAATCCTGGAAGTGGAGAGGGCGATTCTCGCCGAGGACAGCTTATATGTTGGTGGTTACGGAATTGTCCCTTTATCGACTATCGTGGGGGAGTTTGCGCCGTGGACTCGGCGTATGGAGTGGCTATTGGAAGTGGTCCAATTTATTCAACCCGAATACGAAGACTCAAGGCGCCGCCATGGCTGTACTGGCGCAAAACTCATTGACTTCTTGCGAGCTGGGCTACAAACAGGATACACGGACATTAAAGAAATGGGGGTACAACTGGTGACTGTCGCCGAGACAGCCTGGATGAAACAGCTCTCCATGTGGCTACTATATGGCAATCTGCCCATATATGGCAAAAAAGACTTTTTCATCCAGGAAGCTTTTGACAGCGAGGAAGATGATGCCCAGTTCAGCATGCATATGGATTTACTCCCGAAATTCGTAGCCGAGCAAACTGCAGGATCCATCCTGTTCATTGGAAAGTCGCTCAACCACGTCCGTTCTAAGCGCAAGACCTCTGCGGGAGTCTCGACTGCACCGGTCACGCTGTATCAGGAGCATATCGAGCACCTGGCCGGACTCAAATCACCCATATTGTCCTCTAAGTTGACCACAGCTGTGGATTGGATCCGTCTCTCACTGTCCCAGTCCACATTATCAAGATTGCTACCACTTCCTAAGATCCTGGAAATGCTTACACTACTACACGATTTCCTGCTATTAGGGCGTGGTGAGTTTGCCGTGGCCCTGGTAGTGCATGCAGATGACCGCATCGAAGAAACCCGGCGACGGGTAGCCGGAGCTCGGGGTCCCGGCCTTGATGGCCTTCTCATGAAAGAAGGAGATGTCATGGCCTCTCTGGCACATGCCTGGGTGGAGCTCTTCTCTTTGCAAAAAGAAGAAGACCCGGCCGACGAAGAGCTGGAACTGGCTCGCGAGCTCCTAAGACTGTCTATTAGCGACCGAAAAAGTAGCCGAGCGATGACCCCATCACATGGCTCCAACGCGATGTCCAGGATCTCGAGAGTCCCATTTGACGACTTGCTTTTCCCAATGCCGACAAGCCTGACTGCGCAAGTTCGTGCTCCTCTTGATCTATTCCTCTCCAGCTCCGACATCGCTATCTACTCGAAAATACATTCATATTTATTGGGCATTCGCAGAGCACAAATACGGCTCGGGAATCTATGGAAGCGAACTTCTTTACGAAGGAACCACCCTACTCCATGGGGACCCCCACGCAGTAATAAACCGTTTGGCCAGCAGCGGCTGAAAGCTAGCCGCGAGAGGGACAATGCTCGCACTAAACAGATGCGCTCTATCTGGGCTACTGCTAGCGCCTGTTTGTTTGTTCTTTCAGAGATTGGCAGTTTCTTCCAAGGAGAAGTTGTCCACGAGTCCTGGCAGCATCTTCGCGAGTGGATCCAGGGTCGTCCGTCCTCTAGCGCCTCGGTTTCTGGCTCTCGGCCGGGAACGGCATCGTCTGCAAAGACACGACAATCTCGAGCTGCCTCGCCCGACCGTGCGTCGAGCCGGCCGACCTCTCAAGCTGGGCCGACCCTTGGGCGAACCGATCCCGAAACATTGACTACAGCCCACCGTCGCCATCTATCAATGCTCATCCAGTCTTTATTCATGACTGATGTCTCCTTCACCAGTGCCCTGCGCGCGCTGCTCACTAGTGTCGACCGCTTCGTGGCTCTCGTAGTCCGCCTTGAGACAATCCAGCGAAATATGGATCTGGAGACGGATGAGGGCGTAGTGGACGCGCTCGTCGACTATGCTCAAGAAGAGAGTGAAGTGTGGCACATGTTGCGAGCAGCACGCGATGATGTGAAGAACGACATCAAAGGAGTCGTTACGAGTCTTCGTGAGATTGACGATCAAAGATCTAGTGAGGGGCTTGGCTTTGCCACCAACCCCAGTCACGGCTTTACCGGGGCAATGAATCGGGCAGATTCAGGCACAGGGCATGCGGGTCGCTATGTGCCGCGCCAACCAGCCGGTGTGGACCGACTCTTGATGAAGCTGGACTTCGGGAGCTTACGCAGTGATGGCGAAGTGGCCATTGCACCGGGATTCACGGATTAGGAGTAGTGTAATACCTATCCGGGAACCATTGCGGAGTTTAAACGGTTGCTTTTTTATTCTTAATTCCTCTACCAGGAATTCTTTCGATTCTGTGCTTCCCATATTATTGTTCCATGGATTCTTTCCACCCAGTTTTGCTCTCTTGGACGCCCTCAGGGGTACCAGAACGGATATCCCGCGGATTTGGCGCTTCTATAGGAAACTTGCTAGACCGGGCCTGCGTCGAATATGGATGTACGGCAATTGAGTTTTGTACATCCCCGGCTGCATGATAGGGTCATGTGTACTTGCACAAACCAAGTAAAAAGAGAAAAAACAAATCAAAAGAAAATTTGAATCTCCAAATCTGACCGGCAACTACAATGCATCTAGCAATCCAACCCGGAATCCCGAATTGAGTATAGAAATCCTTACATCTCAACATGCACAGGTGACCAGCGCGCGCCATCTACTGCGTTCGAGATCGTTTGGCCCCTGCCAATACCATGAGCTGTCAGCACGTTTACAGAATACTCGCGCAGGTGTACTACGCAGTAGCTATGCATATTGATCTCTAAATCCAATTAGGTGCTGTGGGTCAGTCGGAATAATCGAATCTAGGAGAAATGTTCCGTTTTAGGTCGGAGCCGTGGTAATCCTGGGGTAATTATAGCTCCTGGAGACATTCGGGGACGAGATTCGACATCATGGACTACCACAAACCAGGCCCATCAAACCCCGATCAAACCCCTGATCCAAGGCTAATTAAGCTCACTCATTTCATTCGAATGACTCATAATCCAATCATTATCAGGGCCAGAGCGAAAATGAAAACGTAGCCGTAAGGGCACAAGCCCGGCATTACCCAATTAGGCGATCCCGCCCTGCATCCGTCTTGCCTCCCACTACAGAACAGGAAACAGAGGTTAATGACAAAATGTCTTCCGACCCTGATTTCGGGACCACGTACCGGCAATAGGAGAGTAGGAAAGAAAGAATGGAGCTGCCATTCCAGTCAACTGACCTCATCTGTCAGATTTTTCCAGTGGAGACATTGCAGTCTACTCTACGAAAATACTCATGCTGGTCCGGCGGTTAGATCATCGCCTACAAAAATCCACCATTGGCTCATCGAAATTGCATCGTATTCGAACAGCTCTAGAACCGCGCAATGATAACGAGAGGGGAAGATACACCCTTCCAGGTGTATACATCCCGAGCATATCGTTGGCTGAAAGCAAGCCCGAGAGCTTGGGGTCGATCCCGGCGCTATAGTTCGGACCCGCCCGAGTGGGCCATTCCAGCCCGATGGTCACGATGCTTCTATACGAACAGATTTCTGTAGCTGATGTGGCAATGGACCCCTTTATCCGTGGATGCCGTGCATCTGGACCATAGAAGGCTGGTGAAAGCAGGGATTATTGAGTGTTCACTTCTGGCTTTTTATGATCACGAGGCCTGCTTTTTGCACCTTTGTGCTTGATCTACTTCGCCTCCTAGAATCACATATAAACCCATCCGCCGTTCTTCTCTCCCAGTGTCCAGTGTCTCCTTCCATTGCATTTCTGCCAATTGTCCTAGGGAAATCATATACATAGTAGAATACCTCCCTGACACAGTTGATTTTATCCATTGGATTTTTTTCTTTAACCGCATTTTACCTAATATCGTCATGTCGTTCTCACTGTCCCGAGTGCTGGCACCCGCTCGCACTCGTTTCACTGCTACTATTGCTCCAAGGGTATTAGTAGCTTCCTCAACCCGCCTCTACTCAACTAAGAACACATTCGACTCCCGCGAGATCCACAACTTCCCCTCCAAATCCGACCACATCCAAAACAAACTACCCTCCTCAAAAGACCTCCGCAATGCCAAACGCTTCCGCGAGTTTGACATGGAAGGCCGTGTCTACGCGATCACAGGCGGGGCCCGCGGCTTAGGTCTATCAATGGCCGAAGCTCTAATTGAAGCCGGCGCAAAAGGTATGCGAACTCCCCCATTTCCACAAACCTAGCTAACATCCAACTTTCCAAGTCTACTGCCTCGACCGTCTAGAATCACCGAGTACAGAATTCCTCGCCGCAAAAGATAAAGCGGAAAATGAATACGGCGGGCTTCTGGAATACATCCAGATCGACGTACGGGACCACAAGCAAGTCGAGAACACATTCGCCATGATAGCCGCACAACATGAGCGGTTAGACGGCCTCATCGCCGCAGCCGGAATAAACCATCTTCAAAGCGCGTTGGAGTACGACCGTGCCGCCCTAGACGATGTAATGAGCATTAATTACAACGGCGTGTTCAACTCTGCTACTGCGGCCGCGCGCCAGATGTTCAATTACCAGGGCAAAGGCTCCATTTTACTTGTTGCGTCCATGTCCGGTCTTATCGCTAATAAGGGCATGACGTCCCCTGTATACAACAGCTCCAAGGCTGCTGTTATCCAGCTAGCAAGATCGCTCGCGATGGAGTGGGGTCGGCATGGGATTCGGGTGAATTCATTGTGTCCTGGTCATATTATTACGCCCATGGTTGAAGCTGTTTTTCAGCAGAATCCTGCTGCGCGTGCTACATGGGAAGCGGAGAATATGCTTGGGAGGTTGGCGCTTCCGGAGGAGTTTCGGGGTTGTGCGCTTTTCGCGTTGTCTGATGCTTCGAGTTTCATGACCGGTAGTACTTTGTTGATTGATGGTGGTCATACTGCCTGGTGAATGACTTGATGTTTGTGAATACCCTGCTTTGTGTGCTTTTTGGTCATCCGCTGTGTTATAGAGATGCTGTGGCGTTCTACCAGGCATTATTTCTTGGTTCAATTTCTTTAGGGCCGTACTGATAAAGATAAACATCCTCGAATGGGACTTCATACACGGAATCACGTTCCACAATATAAAGAGCTTTAATTTCATACCTACCTCTATTTCAAAGCGCTTCTATAGCCCGCTGGGTATTTCGGGATCATGACCTCAAAACTTCAATTAATTCGATTGCTGAGCCGGGGAATAAAACGGAGAAAACAATCTTTAATAAAATCAGCAAAGAGAAGCTGATCAACAAGTCAAAGTTTGATAAACTCAAAACCAACGCTAAAAAATAAGCCAAGTCCATGCTAGTCTCGGAAATTTCAGAATAAATACCACCCAGATAATTGACCCAGCTAAATGATGTAAATAAACTTCTGATCCCCAGTATCACACTCCAAGTCCTCTCTTCGCCCACCACCCATAAGCTCATCCCGCTCCTCTCCATGACCAGCCCCAGACCCACTAGCCTGAGAGGAATCAAACAGCGGCCCACCAGCAGAAGCCCTATTAGCTCTCTGCAAAAGCATTCTTAGAGCAATCGCAAGGATGGCGACCAGCACCATAAAAACGGAACAAACCGCCATTCCCCGTGCGTACCACGGCCCATCCGCCTCGGGGTACAGTCTCGTACCCAGAAGAGGACCACACTGCCCAATGATATTTAAGATGGCGATGCTCGCTCCCTTGCCTTCTTTCTCAACTCGGTTATCCATTGACCAGGTGATGATCAGTGTGATTGCGGAAAAGAAACCAGATATGGCGGGATAGACGCAGACGTAGCGGATGAATGTGTGTAGGGTGGGAGAAAGGTGGGTGTGGAAATACCCTGCTGCGGCGATGGCGGCGTATGAAAGGGATGAGATCAGTGCATGTGCGATTAGGTATGAGCTGCGGGTGCGGGTGCGGTCTGAAGCCCAGGCTGTTACTAGGACGACGACGAAGGCTATCAAGTAGGGTGGAGCTGAGAGGGCCTGTGCAGAGAGGGAGGAGAAGCCCATGCTATATGAGATTAGATTTCAAAGACTCAAACGGCTTCCTTTGTTAGGGCTAACACACTCTTTGATAATGGTGGGGAGGAACACTGGCATGGAGCTAAAGGCAACATTACAGCTAAAGAACATAAACTGTGATTGTCAGATTTAGAACATGCAGGCTGTGAAAGGGTACTTACAGCTGCCATGTAAGCCTTGGGATCGGAAGCTGTCTTCAAAATCTCACGCCAGTTGAAGCCCTGTTCCTGCGATTGCTCGAAGTTCGATTTGGTATTATTCTCTTCCAGTCGCCGTTGAGCCACGGCACGTTGTCGGCGGGTAAGGAATCGGGCTTTACCGGGGGAATCAGGAATCAGGACCCAAGCAAAGACCGCAACAACCACGCTTGGAAACCCTTCTACCAAGAAAAGGGTACGCCATGGGGAGATAGGTCCATCGCTACTAAGTTTCACAATCACCCAGGCGAGACTGCTAGCAATAGTGGTTGCTAGCGGTGCAGCTGAAATGAAAAGCCCATTTCTGAAAGCCAACTCATCACGTCGGTAGAATAGCGACAAATAGAATGGCACGCCAGGACCGAATGCAGCTTCTGTGATACCGAGCAAGAGGCGGAGTACGACCAGGCCCCCAAATGAGGTTGCAAGACATTGGAACGAGGCTACCAGACCCCAGCCACCAACACAGAGAGAGATGTAAATGTGTGGTGGAACGACACGGTACATCAGTGTCATCCATTCGAAAAGGATATATGTGATGTAGAACGCGGTCAGCAGCCATTCATACTGCGAAGAGGAGAGTTGCAGATCTTCTTGAAGCCCGGCTATCCTGGCATTCCCGATGTCTGGCCAGGTGGTCAGCATAAACTTTCCCTCGCACATCAAGCCTGTATTTTTCTTTTTTTCATAATAGCACAAGCTTAGCCTCGAGTATCGAAAAACATACTGGATCGGTCCAAGAAAGCAAGGAGATACAAAAAAGCGAGAAAGGGTACAAGTCTCTTATCAAAGATCCTTACCACCTCCTTTTCATCCTTTAAAGTATACTTCGGTCCGCGTGTCCTTTTCCCCTTCAATTCGCCCCTAGGTTCAAATTCATCCCCGTCCTCGATGTCGGAAACAGGATCCCCAACGTCACCCTCTGTGCCCCCAAAATCAGTCTGGAGTCGCAACTGCCCAACAGGCGATGGCTTCGGTCTATTAATAGAATCGGAGTATTCGTCACCTTCAGATCCCTTGGAGACAGGCGTATATTGCGCATTCGAGGACGTGCTGGAATCGGAGGAGGGCGCGTTCCCCGCAGCGGACGGGGGGAGATGAAACGCCATTTTGGCCACAGCGGGAGGGGGTTGAATTCGCTGGAGCTCACTGGGGGGTTAGTCCTGAGCGTTCATCCATGTAAAGCAAGGTTTGATTTGCTCAGGTATCACGAGGGGCTCGCTGGGAGCTTGAATAATCGGTTTGCAGGCCCTTGAGATGATTAGGTAAGGGATGCACGTGGGTAACTTTTGGGGTCAGCGACTCGGATTAAATAAGAACCGAACTATATCTAAGATTGACATTGGTTAACTTGTCGGTTCTCTTGTCGCATAGGCACTCTTTTCGTTATTCGCAAGATAGTGATCCCCAAGCGCTTTAAGATAAAATAGAAGGGGGTTTGCGCCTGAGACATATCCTCCGTTGATCAGGATTGGAGCTCAGGAGGACGAGGACTTCGACTGGCTTTATCACTGAACAGAGCTCGAAGACCATTGTCGATTCATATTCCTGGCTTTATCCCCCGAATGGCCTAGGGTAAAAAACGTCTTCCTGGAATAATGGACGTCATCTCAGAAGCGAGAGCAATTGAGAGCCTGTCATATTGGTTCTTTCGAAGATCCTTTTGAATGTCTTGGAGGATTTGAAACTTCAAAGGATAGAAAGATTTTACTCGCTGGAAGCCGCGAGAAATGTATTTCTAATCCGTTGAGGAGGCGAAAAGAAAACGAACAAAGGAAGTTTGTGTCGGGGTGACAAAGTAGAGGGGCTGTGTGAATGAGGTAGATGTAAAAACATTCAGTAAAAATCAAGAGCAGTACTTTAAGCGAGAGGAGTCTGGTGAAGCGCTCAGAATCCACATAGTGCACCTGTCCTAGTCATAGAAGGGAAAAATAAATATAACAGAAGTGATAAGTGAATGTAATAGAAGTAACAAGTAGATAGTAGATACTCTCCGTACCTTAGGATAATCAAGGATCGTCTTTGGACTCTACCTACAAAGTCAATCCGTGCCAAACTTCTGCCACCTAAGGACATAGAAAAGAAAATCGGACTTATACTCTGTAGAATGGCTAATTCTAGGCGTATGTAAAGCATACTTTGTTAAGAAGCACTGTAATCGTCTGATGATAGGATAAATTCAGATTATCAATAGCATATTACTTCTCATTAGGTATCGTCACGGGTTTGTTCCATGTACTCAGTTCCTCTCTTGCCAGAGTCTCTTGATCTCGTCAGCTAAGACCTGAGGTTTACTGCCCTCGCCATTCTGAGCGCAGTTTTTCCAATCTCCACCATCATGGATGCACCAGACAGTATCGTCCAACCGGACAGTACAGCTCGTTTGTACGTTAAGCCGTTCACTATGCAGAGCATTCTGTCGTAGAAGGGCAATTCCGCTAAGCGGGCTTTTCCCACGTTGGCCATCGTCCGGGGCATCGCTTTGCTGGCTTGCGCATTGGTTCAAGGCGTCGAAGTCAATGCCATGTTCCAGAGCACACTGGTGGACAAGACCACGGTCTGGGATGCGGGTATAATCGTTAATCAGGCAGTTCGCAAAGCCCAGAGATCGAATGATAGGAGTTCGAGGGTAATCTTGTGGGAGAAGCGATCTGTCCGACGTAGGAGGAAAGGGCAGGTTCGCAGCACATAGCATGAGCATGTTACCGATACACTCTTCAGGGCCATGCATGCACTGGATATCGGAGGTTTCTTTAGATACACTAACAGCAGTAGAAAGTCAGTAGTGTTCATGAGGTCTTTCCGGGATTCTATAGTGATATTTCCATGGATTGTGTGCAAATACCTGGCAATAAAAGAAAGCTTGAAATCCACCTTGTCACTGATCTGCTCCATAGCTGGGAGAACAAGCTTCTGTAGGCAGCCTTGTGCATCTGGACATTTGCTCATGATATGGGCCTCCAGAGGAACCCTCGTTGATTTATTCATCTCGCTAGTAACGGGGTATTGGTGGATTCCAGCCTGTTCATTTTCGTTCATGGTAGCAACACCCGTAGAGTCGTCAGTGATCTGGCCTGGAGCCAAGCACTTATAGGTATCGCAAGGTGCACATGCAGGTGACATGCACTGTGTAGGCCGCGGTCTAATCAGCATGTAATATCCAGCCAAGAAACAAAACACGATAAAGAGGCGTCTCAAAAAAATGGCTCTTCGTGGACTTGTCTGTGGAGCCATCCATCTTGGCTCTTGGGGAGTAGCATGGGTTTCACCGGTGTGAATAGGAAGTTTCTCCATATTGTAGATTTGGGAAGCGTAGGTTAGGGAAGCTCGAACTGACGTTTATGTTTGATCCTGATAAGGGAGGCCCGCTGTTTTGGAGTGGAGCCGGGATGAGAGCAACGGCGGGCGACAGATCCAAATGTCATTCCAGACCGCCTTGCCTGTTCGGGACTAGGTCCACCACAGAGAACAGAACATCTACGGAATACTTGTTACTAGAATAGAAACTGTATTTTACAAGACGCGGATAGAACCTTGGCCCGTGTGAATTACACGAAAACCTCAATACATGCCATAGGCCTTTTTACCCCGTCTTCCCTAAGCAACAGGCTTCTTCAGCAGATGACTTTTGACCGACACCATACACTACGATTGCAATATAGCCTCGAGATTGATAAACTTATTCGCGTATGATAGAGAGCCTGTCACTAGACTAGCCACTGCTCAATTAGCTGAAGATGCTGAGTGCAGTAAGGTTACGATGATAAATATTCGCAGAAACTTGCGGCACTATAGATGTTTCCACGCGGCTCTAACTCGTGTAGACCGAACTCAAACCGTATGACCGCTAACAATCGATGCGCTCTGCGACCACCGATCAAGGAAAACCGGGCCTGTACGTCGATGAGATGGCTGTCTTCCCCTAGGGTGAGTTTTGCATGCATGGTGTATTGGCAAACTTGGTGCAAAGGCAGAGAGTGCTAGAGGTCATTTTCGGCACTCGAGCTTGAAAATGAGGTTTACAACAATTGAACACAATTTTGGTGCACAGAAGAAACTATTTATCCTCCACCACGCCACAGAAACTCGCCATAGTATCAAGGTACAGGTTGGATTTTCGAGCAAGTGATCACAAAGGGCTTCCAGCACATGTGGGCTGATGCTTCGCGGCCTACCATCTTCCTTTGGTGTCCCCTGACGCTGCCAAATGTCCGTGTGTTGGAAGAGATTCTCAGGATAGTTCGCTTGCTGCAGCCAGCGGCCTGTGTGGTCTGGCGTACAGATAGTTCTCCATTGCGAATAATGCCATGCTTCAAAGCTACTAGGTTGGGTGCCATCCGTGACCAGTCGTCGTTAATAAAAGATCTGCGTGAACTAAGGGACGACGGTTTCGACGCAGGGTATCAAGGTATCAAGTGTATCGAAGGTACATGTGAATACACCCCGCCGTATGTCCCGATTACTCTATAAAAAAAATACAGGCCCCACTGACAGAGGCAGTCCAGAGATTCACGATATTACCTAGCATGACTTGGCGATAAAGGGCAGAGAAGAAATCGAAGCGTGTAAGTGGTGACATCAGTCATGGACGTTCTGTACAGTATTAAAGTAGCATGCTGTTCATATGTCTACACGGGCTAGGTTAGTATAGCCTAGTATGTTGAGATGACCAACGAGTCCAGCGAAACTAAGATGACGTGGTTCAGATTGATTGATTGATTTGATTGAAGAAACTCGGGTGACTGCTGTTGAGAGTAGTCCCCCTGCCCTTACGGGTGGGCTTGCCGGTCCGTTCGACCGATACTCGGCGGTTACCACGCTCAAGTTCGTGAGTAAGTAATTACATACAAAAACATAAGGAAAGTGATCCTCAGAGGTGACCACTTGTTTGCGGTAGGTTACTCTGTCACTCCATAGGCTGACATCATGATAATCCTCAAACCCAACATAAAGCCGTTGTGATAGACTTCCCTCGCTCCTTCATTCTTATTCTATCACTCCTCGTCATGTAGGCGGGTCGGTCGGGAGTCACCCTCATACGCACCCTTGAAGTTGATTTGGCCACCCCAGATAGTGTACTCTTCTAATCTCTCGACAATATGTCTCTCAGGTTGGTTATCCTCATTCACGACGTCGCCGTCCGTGTAGTGCTCGATGGTAAAACCATCCGGGTCATACCAGTAGTCGAAAATCTGACTGCCGAGTAGATGCCGACCAAGACCCCACATCAGCGACCACTTCCGCCGAAGCAAATGATAATGACCGATCTGTTGGACGTCGAGGTCGTGAACCTCAAAAGATGCGTGATGAGGGCCGGGAAACTTCTGACCTGGGAAGAAGGCAAAGTGAAAGAATGCGTGGTGGTCACTATAATGCTTCCCTAAATCGATGTTGTAGAATACGGCCATGTCCTGTGTCACGGGCATTAGCTTGTGGCCTTTCCTTTCAATACATTGCTTTCTATTGTAAGTAGACGGATACTCACTTCGTGGGGGTTGTATGGATCCCCTTGTATATCGACACCGCGAAGGTTGAAATGAGTCATGTACCAAGCGCTAATTGCCGCTATATTGCTGGCCTTATGGCCAAAATGGCCTAATTTGTGGATAGGCGCGGGACCTGCCTTAATCCGCTGAAAAGTGCCAAGTCTGGGTTTGGTGTCATCTGATTGTTGAGCAAGGTTGAATGGCCCAACTGACACAGGCGCCATACCACGCTCAACCGTCTGATACCCATAAACGATGTTGATTGGAACCCCTTCAGGGTCAGTGATACTAACAATCCTGCCACCTCCGGGGAATTCCGAGTCACGCACTGGACCAGCCCCCGGGAGTTTCGAAGCCCGCAGGAGATCGTCCGCAGAAGCTGCTTCAAGGGAGCCACCGAAGAATTGGGGGGTGGTGGTTCTTTCAGAGATATAAGTTATAGGCTGGTCATTGTACCCCTTGTAAAATATGCGCTCGGGGGAAGATGTGCGGTAGGTTTCCTCAAAGCCGAAATCGAGCAAGAATTGATGATTCTATTCTAGCCACGTCAGCCTGGACAAGCTTTCTGATGACATATTCGTAGAACTTTTCGCCAAAACAGTCATTCGTCATTAGGAATATATCGCACCTTTTCCAGATCCGGATGACCATAATGTACCCAAACAGGTCGCACGACATATACACGGTCAGGGTTGGGCGTGGCCCATAGTTTGGAGGATATGTCAACACGAGGCATCCTTCCCTCACTCAGATTACTAGGGTTCAAATTCGGTAATTAAAGCACCAGATCCAGTGCTAGACAATAATAATCTCCTTGTATCTCAACGTGACTTAGATTCATGATATACTGGCTTTGATGAAGAGGAAGCATGTAGCAACCGGATCGTTCGATTGGGTGGGGCCGGAATGGCCCCGAATGTCCACAACACCCGGGAATCCGTTGATTAGTCCACTGATGACCCGAATATGTCCACAACACCCGGAGCCCTTTAGTAGTCCGTCAAGGATTTGACTTAATTTGTCGAATAGTACTGTGGGATTATGACTTCCGACATATCTGTGCCGACCTGCTAGGTAAAATCGCGCGATCGCTTGACATGACGGCAGATTGGCCTGATTCAATTGTATGTGGGAATCCTATATAGATCATGTTGCATACCATGTTGGTTTACTCGACCTCGTCCGGTGGTTATGCGCCGTAGGAAAACCCCAAGGCGGCGGTGACGTAGCCACTACAGTATTTTGTTTAAATTAAGTTTTACCTCAGCTATGCAGAAGATCCTAAAGAATTTGATTTCACTATCTTCTACGGGATGATGATCACGGGCACGGAGGGGCCGTAGATGGACCGGCCCGCGATTCGAGCCGAAGGTGGAAACAAGGACGTGTGAAAATATAATCCGAAATGGTAACGCGCCACATTACTCGATTGATTCGATCGCCCCCATCTATAGTACCCTAGCTAGCGCGCTTGTACACTTCAGCACTCTTGCTCATAAAAATTCGAGCAGCCTCATTCTCATCTTTGTGAGGTCCAGCTTATTCATTTCCACTATTTTTATTTCTTAGGACTCTCAGTTGAGGGATTACGGTCATAAATTCCGTTGAAGATCAATCTACAGTGCAGTGTGTTCGTTTCCTTTCCTTTGTTAAATTTTTTGGGGGGGAAAAAATGAAAGTAGATTAAATTAAATCAATAAACAATAAAAAACAGCGTTAATGAATCAAATTCAACGCGTTCATGCTTATGTGTTGAACAACGATTAAACAACAACCAATCAACGTAACCTTCAGATCACGTGCATTTGCTAATAGTCGCGAGCCCCCAGATCGACACTCGAAATTTTTTTATCACTCAACCTTGGTACCTGATCTGTTAGGCTTCAATATGGGGTTTGACTCTATCGAAGATCACTGCGGGGATCCACTCAACTCCAATGAAATCAAAAAACCCATCGCAACCCCCTGTAAGCCTTGGGACCGTCTCAGTTCAGGGGGACCTTGATGTGCTATGTGGGTCCGTGTCCTCCGCTTATCGTGTATGCCAATCCTTGACACTCACCTTGCGAGATCTTAGCCTTTTGAAAAATCGATTATCGATAGGAGGCATTAGACATACCCAATGGCTTAAAATTTCATTTGACAGTTAGTCCATATTGTCAAATGCTGCCATGATTTACAGTCTCAAAGCACCACAGGCTACAGGCTACAGCTTGAAGAGGTATGGAGGCATGGCTTACAAAGGATTGACCCAGCCTCAGCGGATTTGCCAGAAAACTGCAGCTTCTTAAAGTGACATCAAGGTCCTCCGTAGAAATCTCCCCTAGTCAAAATCTTATAGCGATCCATGCATCAAATGTATTCTTCGCGATTATAAGGTCCACGCCCGAAGCAATTTATAACGCATAGATGGCCCCATTGTAGTGTTTTCGCGATGGCCTGATCCCAAGTGACGACTTTGTTTTTACCTGCAATAGCTTGGGTATAAGATGAGCACTAGCCCTGCTACCGATCTGATCATTATTTAGGTATAATAAACAAATTGAATATGAGCAAAGCATAATGCTGAATATATCTTACCATACATTTGGAACGCAACCGAATTAGGTATAGTCGTCGATTTCGTGGTAAAAGTATGATTGATTTATGAAATTCCGTCTAACGTTCTGTCCTTCAGACCTCAATTAAATTTGAAACTCGAGCTACGGAAGAATGGGACACCTTGCAGATTATAAATCTGAAACGAAGTCAGACTTTTTAGACAGGAACATGCTACATAACATTGGATGTGCCCATCTACCCGTCATTCCCTTCAACCACCAGCTATCTCAGACATGATATCTACACAAACGAAGAAAGCTCAATCTAAAATTTTGTGATATACATACTGGGCGATTTTTCAACAATGTGAAGCCCATTTCATGTCAAAGAATAGAGGCCAATGCCCATGTCAATAGGATAAAGCAGCCGGTGAGAAATCCCTAAGCCCTAAAATGGCTTAGGGCATGCAGCGCAATCTAATCTTCGCCGATTATTCGGATCTGTCACCTGATGCAGCCAAGCGCCTGACATTGGTGAGGTAATGGTCAAGTTGCGTGAAGCTAGGAAGCTAACGGATGTTTAGCTTCCGATCCATTCGGATTATGCTAGATGGGGGTTTCTTCCCGATGCCCTATCAAATGCACCCTAATGGAAAACTTCAAAATGATAGGTAGATACACTCCACATCGCACTTAGTGCTTCTCTTGTACAGAACACGCATTCCCGTTATGCACAGGTGTTATAGATGAGTAAATGTGCTCAACCAAAAACATGGTATCATACGGTAATTCCCACTTCGAGCCTTAGCAGATTCGCAGGTACAACGCACCTATCCAAGAATTCGAGAGCAGTCATGCGTAGCACTATGATAACCTTCCTCCACCCAGGCACGCGACTGGAGACTGATCCCAATCGACCTTCCTCATACAGTCACGCTAAAAGCTACAAGACCTCACATCCGATGGGGCTTGATTGATAGGATACCATGAGCTCCGATCTCGGAGGCACTCCGCCATAGCGAGTACCATGTTTTCTTTTTTAAGGTTCAAGCTTGAAGGTCTTGAACCAGAGAACTGTTGGGCTTACTAAATCCAGGAAAATTCCCGACTCATGCTAGTAGGTAAAACCCTGGGAAGCATATTTGAGGCTCTCTGGTCAATGCACGAGCACGAGCATGAGCACAAGACACCTCCGCCTTCCGCTCGCATTGGTGACCGCGATGAGCAGGTGATCCCGGAGAGTTTCCGCCCCATATTTCGAAACGAGGTTGAACCACGCTGGTGGAAGAGCTGACATCTGGTGGCTGCGCACGAACGATCGAGGCCCTGCGCGGCAATGACCACGTTGTTACGAACACGGTTAATTCCGGGGCGGAGAGATTCGCGGCGAATGACAAGTATAGAAGCGATCCATAGGGCGTCGGTGAAATGACGATAACCTGGCACGTTTTCCTTACCGTGATCCGGCCCCACTTAGTTATGTTCTTGCAAGGCGTCGGGGGTTGGCCGTTTCGCTCACGCCTCCTCGTGTGTTTTGGACGGCCAAGAATAATGCGAGCTCCACGACTGGAGGGGGAAGATAGACGTGGGATTTGTAGCCGAGTTGTCTAACCGAGCTGGTAAAAGCCCACGTTTTGGAGGCGTCAGATGCTCAGTAGGGTTACATAGTTCGAGGGTCGTATGTGAGAAAGTGGAACTTCTCCGACCGCGATCATCATCGAAGTTTCCCCAAGAATTATGCCCAGGTCGAGTGGAATTGGGGGGTAGGCCAGGACTTATAGAGTTTTCCGCGTAGGTATTGAGTCAGCTCCAATCGACGATATCTCCCGGGATTTCCAAGTCGTCCACGGTCCCGAAAAAAGAACAGCGTCGCATCGCCTCGTGTCCTCCGATGGTCGCATCTCCAATGGCTTTAATAAATCATTCTTTCCTTTTCTTCTCCTGTTTCATGACTCTTGATCTCTTTGAGTGCTTTCTCTTTATTATTGGGCTCTTGGAGGAATCCAATATTAATTTACCCAGGGACTCCCCCCTCCCCCCATAGGCTCCACTTCCGATGATTCTCGCCCGGTAAAAGATATCTCATCCGAACCATAAAAGCATCGCCCTGTGTATGCGTTTCGGATTTTCCCACAGGCATAACTGCCTCAGGCACCACAAGGGATATTTGGGCACTCAGAAACACGACGATCTCCATATATATGCAGGCTTATCCCCCTGGTAGATCCCTGGTCGCTTAAAAAAAAACACAAAACCTGACCAGCTTTTGGTTCCCCCCTTCAGCCATATCACGCATACCAAGATTCCTAACCAGGGTACGTAAACCATGACAGCTGAGATCATGGTGTCCCGGTGATTTTGTTCTGGCATGATCATCTTAGCCTGTTGTTCCTATCCCCCGCAGTACCTCCCCCCTCCCATCACCTTGCAGACCGCGTCACCACAATGTTCTACCCAACCCTGTATGGCAACCTTACTAACGGCTCCTGCGAACTAGGCACTTGGACTTTATTTTTAGCGTCTCCATCTTGGCGCGCATCTTGAAGTTCATGCCGTCCTTTCTGCTCGTACCTCGCATTCCTGAGCCCCCGACGTCACGATTAAGAACGGAGCGGGTATTGTGACAGAAAGGCACGGTCTTTTTTGCTTTCTACTTTTGTTTTGATCCTCATCTCCACCAACATTTACCATAACTACACAGCCAGTGCGAGCTTGAACTACGCCATTGGCTTGGATTGTTTTTTTTTTTCCCTTTCTTTCTGTCTCCGTTTCCCTTACATTTATCATTGGGAAAAGAGAAAGGATCGATTTCTTGCTGCAGTCATTCCTATAATGGCTTCGGTCAATTCAATATCGTCTGAGAAAGACCATGACGAGGAGCGTGACATCATGCATGACGATGTGATTGAGGATGAGGAGCATGAAGACTTCAGCGTGGAAATGGATGCATCTCAGCGGGAACACCTCGAATATTGCCAGGAACTAGATGAATTTCTTCAACCCCTGTGTTTGGAAGAGGCTGTGTTGTACAGACTGGCGCGTCGCTTCTCCGGCACATACCGCCATTTGGCCTTAACATCGGATCAACAGTTTTTGCCAACCCCCGTGACCCAGCTACCAACAGGAGAAGAGACAGGTCGTTATCTAGCGATTGATGTCGGTGGAAGTAATTTACGAGTGGCATTTATTGAGCTGCTGGGTGAGGTCGATGGTTCTGATGTCTCCGCGGATGCCTCGGAGAGGTCGCGCGACACCATTCGCAAGGCTCAGCGTCAACGGGTCAAACGAACTTTGGAGCGAGCATGGCCCATTCAGGAACATTTGAAAATGGATAAGGCTGAGGACTTGTTTGCTTGGATTGGGGATTGCATTGCCGAGGTGGTGGCGGAAAGCCTCACGTCGGATGCAACCAGGAAAGACATCCCTGCGGAACTAGATATGGGTATTACCTTTAGTTTTCCCATTATGTGAGTGTTGGGATCTTGCATTGATCGGACTACGCAAAAGAAAGTCTTTATACAAATACTGACTGCTCTCTAGGCAAGAATCCCTTGCGGAGGCTACATTGATGCCCATGGGTAAGGGCTTCGCCATCTCTTCAAATCTCAACCTACGCGATATTCTTCTTCACGGTTATGAAAAACACACAAGACGACCAGATGATGAAGAGGAGCCTTCATCCAAGCGTCGAAAGCTGTTTGCCTTGCCCAAGTTAAAGATCCAGGCCATCACAAACGACACAGTTGCGACGCTGGCTTCACTTGCATACGCGGTCAAATCATTACCAAACAGCCGAGTCGCCATGGGAATTATTGTTGGAACGGGTTGTAATGCAACAATTCCCATGAAGCTTAGTGAGCTACATGAATCCAAGGCAAAGAGCGTCAACACAATGGAGCCAGGAGCCACGGAGACTATTGTCAACACCGAGTGGACCATCTCCGGTGCTGCCCCGCCTCTCACCGAATTGGAAATCACTACTAAATGGGATGCCGAATTGGATAAAGCCTGTGCACGCCCTGGCTTCCAGCCTTTCGAATACATGACAGGAGGGCGATACATCGGCGAATTAATTCGATTAATTCTATTCGACTATCTGACGACCGTGGCGGGGCTATCAAAACGGATCTTGCCTGCGAACCTCGTTCAAGAATACGCTCTTACCACCACCTATATTTCCGACAATGTAGCCCGATCCCGATCTGACCAGGATCTCGCCAAGGAATTGAACCAATCCCTTCCACCTCCAGAGAGTAGCGACTGGCTCTGGGATGCCCGTACAGCTGGTGCCTTCCGCCGAATCGCTCGAGCGGTACAAAGGCGATCTGCCGGACTAATCGCTGCCGCAGTTATTGGACTATTAGCTTGCTGCCGCGAAATCGAGCTGAAGGAAGACAGCAATGTCAATACTCCAGAACATGCAGCTTCGCCCCAAAGTAATGGCGACGTCTCCGCTGTCATTTCTGCTGCTGCCGCCAGTGTCCAACCAGCTTCTGTCAACCACAATATCCATGGACATGTTGTCCCAGTCCTACAGCCCACCCCGGTAGATTGGCAATTTGGTCCTGAGGAGCTGGTTGTAGCTTACACTGGAGGTATCATCCAACACTACCCGCAGTTCAAAGAAATGTGCCAGCAACATATCGACCGCCTAATTATGCGGACTGGGCCACAGAGGGGAGGCAAGTCAGTTTTCTTACGAGAGGCTTCGGACGGCGGCGTTATCGGTGCGGGAGTTTTAGCTGGTATGGTTGTCAGCAAGTAGACTGTCAACTTCACGACTCATGCAAGCTCGGGGTTTTCGGTGGAAGGAGTTTTTGAGTGAGAAAACAGTCAAGGCCGATTTAATGTCTAAGATTTTTTTTACTGGGATTTGAATCATCACATAGAAATGGATATCACACTTAGGTGTTGAAATGAGTCTTTGTTTTCCGTATTTTTCTCTCTGTTCCAGTACTGCGAGGCCTAGATGGGCGATAAGGGTTATCATGTGATATCACGTGAGTGATTATCCCCGCGATCCATCAGGTTAAGGCAACTCAGCACTCGACACTCCTCCTCGTCGTCACATTTTCCTCAAAACAGCACCGATCGACGCTGCGAAAATGGCTACTCAGCAATCTTACTATGAGCTCTACCGTGGAAGCAGGTACGCTCGACTCCGGGTAGTCGGAGCCGAGATCAGGGCTAACAAAAATGACACTTAGTCTCGGTCTGTCTCTCACCGACACTCTTGATGATCTGATCAACGAGGGTCGCATCGAACCTCAGCTTGCGATGAAGATTCTCTCCACCTTCGACAAAGTTGTCACCGAGGTGCTGGCGGACAAGGTTCGAGCCAGACTTACATTCAAGGTAAGAACAGGGTCTTTTGGATATTGGGTACCATAGAGCGCCAGGAGCTGTTGCGACATGGTCTAATCATCTGTCACTGCTCCCGTGAGACTGATTCCTTCTTGCAATATCCAGGGCCACCTCGATACATACCGATTTTGCGACGAAGTCTGGACCTTCTTGATCAAGGACGTATCCTTTAAGTTGGATAACCAGACCACAGTCACTGCCGATAAGGTGAAGATTGTGAGCTGCAACAGCAAGCGACCGGGTGAAGCATAAGTCAGATACCGGGTTGAAGAATCTTGGAATTTCCGGCGTTTGCATAAGATGGTTGTAGCGGCGTTTGGCATGTCTAACTGGGTCTTCTGTGGCGTTTGGGCATCTTTTATTCCCGTCTATGTTTTATTCCTATTTCTCCCTGTCTCATACACAAAACAGATTGTCTAGAGCATAACAGATACCCAATGTATTGAGGTTTACAGCAATGATGCAGCTTTCTCCAGTATTCCTATAAAGCAGCATAGCGGGTGACCTCATCTCTTATCAGCGCCGATCTCCAAACTTCCACATATTTTCTCCGCAACACTTCAGTCGGCGCGATCCATCGAGATCTGCCTAGTACGATATCATGCCCAGGACATTACCCTGGCTTCTTGAGAAGAAGGATGAGGCACGCGTCAAAAAAGAGTCAACGCCGCGGAAGCGCGTCAAGCGCGAGGCAGATGTAGACCCAGACCTAACGCCCAAAACACCTGCATCTCCCAGCGGAAGAGACTTTTTTAGATCATGTACGTGTCAGATTGCCATCAGGTATTTTGTGATTTATCTGGACTAACAAATGATCGCGATTTACAGCCCAGACTCCGCCTACCTCCCCCGCGCGACCGTGTCCCACCGAAGAGTACGTCACAAGTCCCCCAGCCATGTGAATCAGTCGGCCACTTACACCAATCAGATTCCTTGTGGAAGGCCTAGATGAAGATGATGCTTGGGTCATGGTCGAAGACGAATTCTATGCCATCGCGCAAACCTTCACGCAGCATCTCCATTACGCGGAGTACGTTCGCCGAAAGAAAGAAGCCAAGGAACGGAGTGCAGCAGCGATCAAAGAGATAGAAAGGCCCACAGATGGTCAAACGGCAATTCCAAAAATTCTCCAGATGCGAAAGGACGCGGAAGCATTAGACGCGCGGCAGAAAGATGGTCTTGCCCGGCTGGAGGGGCCAGTGGATGACAACCCGGAGGAGCACACAGATGAGGACGACGGTGCTTGGGCTGGGACGCATCTTCATGGTTTGATGACAAGCCCGCGAAAGTCGCGATCATTGGTCGGCGTTCATGCTGTCAAATCGTCAACCAGAGCTGCTGCGGGATTTGGACAAGCCTCTAGGCCAGACCGCGACAGCGGCCAGGTTCCCAGGTCTGAGGATGCTCTCCCAGGAGTATCTGTTCAAACGAATGATATCATTGACCTCGAGACGGCTTCGGAGGAGGACTCCGATATTGATGAAGTTGTTTACCCAACCATCATGCCACCAGTTACTACACGCCATGAAGGTACACCGAGCAGAGCTCCAGAAAGACCAACTGCACCTGCACCGCGGCAAATAAGTGAGACGCCAATGAGAACTACGCCAAAAAACCCTAATTTGCACAAAGAGAGATTAACGCCGACGCCGAAGAGCAACAGACCAGTAACGGGATTCAAGTCCAGAGTCCAAATGTTATTTGATGACCTCGATGAGCTGCCAGAGCCATCTCAGCCTAGTTCATATCTCTCTGAAAAGAAGGAAGCTTCAACCCCTGGAAATAGTGCAGCCAGGGAAACCTCTAAGACCAACAATTTGGAGTCTAAATCTCGCTATAACGACGTGCCGACTTTTTTGATGTGATTGCGAAAACCCGAACCCTCGGAGACCATATTAAATTCCTGTAGATCAGGCAGGTGATCTATCCAAAGTTGCCACCAGCTGTCCATCGTGATCAGTCGCGCCCCGCACACTCTTATCCAAGACCTGTATCTCAAGGTCTTCATTCTTATCGACCGGTGTCGACTTGAACCATCGTGTCAACTTCATGCGCGATCGGAAGCGGGACTTGACACCTCCACGCTCATCTCCCGCACCTGGGCTTGCATTTTCTCCTCGATCAATGGTTGGAGATCCGTCATCTCGATTGTCGTGCCGTTCCGAATCATTATCGATCCTCGGCGATCCTGATACATCAACATGCTGTAGCTCCTTTGTCAGAATTGGCCGCTCGCGTGGGTTATAGGGCGATATGACTGACTCCGCGTCTGAGAAGCAAGCCGGGGTTTCTTCCTTTCGGAAATCGGTTGGGGGGCCCTGAGGGAGTGACACTGTCAGTTTCTTTGATCTTTCGAACGCCATGGTAGGATGGTGCTATCAACTCACAATTTCAAGCACTCTTTCTTGGGTGATAAACGGCGCCTTCATGCACCTCCAGACCTGTCGAAAACACTCCATATTTGCGGATTGTTTGATTTTTGGCCGATCAAAGACAGTTGAAGGTCGTGTTGAATGGGTCGCGTGGTCAAGAACACTGGGCTTAATCAAAAGCCAGGTCTTCCTTTTTGGTGGAGGATCAAAGGCAACCGGCAATGCTCTGGGAAAAATCAAAATACTATATAAAAGGCAATGCGAACTGAAAGAGCGACAAAAGGCGAAACAAATAATGTGGAAAAAGACCCTTCCAAGCAGGTATTCTATGCCATTGACGCCCGTAGAATGAAGTAAAATTGAGGCCAGGCCGGGATACATATAGGAAATCCGAAAGCCGAGCCTAGTTCCAGGCAGCTCCTGCAGTATGTAAATCCATACTAAGCACGGCTTGTCAAGGACTGATTGAATTCTCCGCCGTCCTACTGACCCACTTATGCAGGTTGAACTGGGCGACAGCCGGCTGCTCCTGTGGCATGGACTGCGGGCCAAGTTGACAGGCTCGGCAGGGTTCGCTCGTGAATCCCTTTGACGAGCCTGTGACACATTCCAACTCGACTAGATTCTCCTAGCGGCACCAGCGGTTCTCCACTGGAGATCCCGGAGATCCTAGATCGTCAAACTGCCAAAGAACGTAGACCCGCTTCTCGGGGCCGAGGACCCTTTCAGCCCGTGAGGCATTCTCGCCTGCTGCTTTTTACTCCGAACCCGGCATGCAAGATTGGAGGAGGTAATGAACCGATCCTAGGCAGTAAGGCCATAACCTGTAGGGAACAAAATGCAAAACCCGTGCATCACCAGTGGAGCTACCCAGAAAAGGAAAAAGGGAGCCTGCTAGCTCGATAGGCTATACTCCATTCCTCGACCACACTCCTCCCGATTAAGGTTCGCAGGACACGTCGATCGTGACGTTTCCTAGGTACACGCATGAAAGGAACAGCCGAATGCCGGTACTTGGGCGTGCACCTTGGTTTCCTTCTGCCAATGAAATGAGACAACCCTGTACCCATATCGGATTCAACTCTTGGCTCCTTTGTTTTTCTGTACACGCTAGACTAGTCCTTTGGCACGTAATGCCAATCTTACATACAGTGCGGACGATCGCAAGCTTGTCGATCGATCCTGGATGTGTCACTGACAGGGGTCCCTGATCGAGACATCACCTATACTCCTCGAGCTATGTATCTTTATTTCGTGACAAGGCTTTAAATGCACATACTTGCTCTCTTTAATCTTCCAGACGGGCCTCGAACATTGTGTCCGTTTGGCAATTGTCCCTGTATTCGTATGGCCAGTACATAGCGTCCCAAATTACGCAGTTAAAGTGTAGACAAAAGACAATTCCCTTAGCACAAAACCTTTCCTATCCACAACATCGGCAACTATCTCCATGAGCACCAGGAGGCTTGCTTTCCATTCAGGCTTAAACTCAGTTCGAACCTAACGAAGTCCTTGCGCGTAGAAAGATTGACTGTATTTATGTTTTCCTCCCTTGCGTCGGAGCTATGCCGTGTTGAACGACTCCCCCGATCGCGGGCTTTGCCGATGACTGTACACGCAGGCACACATTCCAAGATAAGAAGAGAAGGGCAAATGAAAATCCAGAATCGGATTCGTTTTCCGCCTTAATGTATCTATTGCGTTGTCAAGTCAAGGCTGGACATTACCCATGAATCTTCGTCGAACAGGGATCAACACCAACGCCTTGTAAGGAGTACAGGATCAAACCTTTCAAATAGTCTTTAGCCACCGCCACAAAACAAATAATCGTGTCAGAGTAACAGTAGGTACTTTGTTCCTATGCTATTCAAAGTTCAACGACTTGAAATCTCGATTCCGATCTCACGGCATGTTACGGGAGATCCTCTCACGCAAGGTCCCAGATATGCTAGAATCCCATCACCCCGTGAAATCACCCGAGAAGCTGGACTACATTCTTCCCTCCATTCATCGAAAGTTCCAGGTTCTTTAGGGTTTAACGCTCTGGGATGTTTCCTTGCGGTCGATCCCATTCTTGGCTGATGATTTTCAAGGTGGGTCTGTTGGTCTTATCTGCTTTACGTTCATGCACTCTACTGTACGGACTATGTTCTGTGTGATGTAAAAGTGATGCTTTATAAGAGATCAACGTTTAATTTTGGCAAGTATTTCCAACCCTAGTGATTTCCTAATTTCAGTACTTAGGTGTATTATGTAGAATGTGAAGAATTAACATGCACCAAAGGGCTGAATGAAAACAACCCAGGCGAAGTCATTCCATTCAGCTTCTACTTCTAAATCGTCTGCTTGAACCCATTCCGGGAATCCCTCACCAGACGTGCTCCAGCCCAAGCATAGACATAATTGTGTTGGTACCAATTGACACTGTTCAGTCAGCAAAGGGTCGAGTAGATATATATCCAGGAGACTTACAATGTAGACCGGCCAGCGATCCTAGGTAGCGTCGCCCAGGAGCCACCAAGTATAATGTTATGCTTCCCGTCAAAAAAGTCGGCTATGATAATATTAGCATCTTATTGGTTGTTGCAGGGGTTGCACTTACAGGTATAGCCTGGGTATATTTCCATGGCCTCGAAGCCTTCCTGAGGCAACAACGGTGAACTGGTCCACTCCCAAACTCCACCGAACTCACCTTGTCCGGCCAGCTTGTCGCCGTTTGGAGTAACGGGAGTAGGATGCCAGTGCTTGAAGCCCACATTGCAACCTGTGAGGTCGCGAAACACGGGTGGTGTTTGTGTCTCGCTCACTGATTTGGCTCCATTGCTGGAGAGGATTAGTTGATTGCTTCATTTAAACAGGTTCCTTGACTTACTTTTGACCATTAGGCTTCTGGCCAGCAGTACCTTCTTTGAGTCGATCCGAAAATTGGTAGATACTCTTGACCTCCTCAAACGTGGGGATTCGACACTCCACCCACTTCGCGTAGTTCGCGAGCTCGTCATAAGAAGCGATAACAGGCCAGTCTTGCGCGAGTTCCAAAGGAACAGATCCCAGTACTGTGCGGACGGCAAAGTTATTCAAATACTCCTCAGTGGCACCAGGGCTGGATCGACTGGTCCCCTTAGCAATCGGATAGGCCTGCTCCGGGTCTACAGGTAACCAAGATGCAGGGATTGCTCGGGAGCGATTGGCTTGCAGATATTTCGCATATTCACCATTGGTGATAGGTTGGGCACGTGCTTCAAAAGCATGGACGTTGATTTTCATCTGAGGTTGTTCATTGTCCCACCCATACGAATCTTTGGGCACAGCATCCTTGTCCGAGTCATCCAGACCGACAATTATGGTTTGTCTGGGGATACGGAACCACTTATTCGGCTTGGCATTTCTTTTTGCGTCCCGGGCCATTTGAGTGAAGTCGGGGGTATCAATGCCAGATGGTGGTTGAGTTTTCTCACTCTGCAGTAGCATGTAGAGGAATGTCTCCAGATGCATTGCCTCATGCTCAAAACCTATCCACAGCGCCTCGCCTATAGTTCGATCCTGCAACGCTTTGCTATCTTGGAGAAGAGATCGTGCTCTACTGCGAACACGCTCTTGGTAATCCAGAATTTCGTCCAATGGAGGCCACTCATCGGGGGTTTCACTGTGTGCATGACATTGTTCCGGGTCCTCAACATCGGGGTCAACTCCACGTTCAAAGATCGTTTGGTAGTATTTGGGGTCGGTGGGCTTCCCGAGTGTTGCTCGAGTCAAATGGATATCTGTATACCACCATTATTAGCCTTGGGAATAATATTCCGACAATGATGTCGACAAACCAAAGAATGTTGGAATATGGCCCAGATAAAAGATCAACTCATTTCGAAGTTTGATAGGCTTTGACAAAAGGTCTCCACGAGGTATCATGGTTTTGGTCACAAGATCCCATGAGGTCCATAGATTTTGGAAATCTTTCAATGTTGGGATAGGCCGACTAGCGTACTGCGAAGGCTGAGTCGGGATGTCGAGGGCCGCAGGCGAGAGAAGATGAATATCTGAAGATTGTCACTGTCAGTACATGGGAAGCAAAATGATGAGATATTAGCTGTTTTCACGCACGATAGTTGTCCTCGGTATTTCCATATTCCATCTGAGGGATCAAGCCTGCGCTGCGGCAGAGTTCATCCCTCTCATCTCGACTATATTTGTAAGCTTCTTCGAATTTGAGCTTCTCTCCTTTCCGAATTGTTATGTCTTTAATCACAACATCGACTTTGGGGGAATAAAATGCTTGATGACACCCATTTTCGGTGTCATAGCCAGTCACCACCTCCCAATCGACAGGCCGGAAAGCTTCGAAGCCCAGTACAGTGTTCGCATGTGCCAGTCCGTTCTCATAAAACGCTCGGGTGACACCTTGCGAGTCATTGTAAGCACTGTAAACCCTCTCTGGGTCTTTACAGGCATCTACTCCGATCAAAAGAAAATCTGACGGACCGAGGAGCTTCGAAAAACCACCGAGAAAATCTGCTGCTTCGGACCGGCTAAAGTTTCCAATGGAAGATCCCATCGAAAGCACAACAGTTGGCCTAGTGCGGTTTTCTGGGTTCTTCAGCCAGTCTTGAGCGTCATCATAGGTTCCGTGAAGCCCATGAAATCCAACATATTCAAAGCTCTTCGGGGAGATCTCGGAGAATGTCCGTTGTAGCTCGGTCAGTGACAGGTCCAAGGCGTAATAATCTACCCGCTTTTGCATTCGCTCGCATTCGCGGAGGAGAATCTCTATCTTTCTCAGATTCCTGCAGTGAGGTGTTAGAGCTTGACGATACGACCAACTCCAAGGCCGTCTGGGAGGCGTAAGGAAAACCTACCCACTACCAAGCTCTACCAATTGTGCATTTTCCGGAATCCGCTCCACCATTCTCTTTGCATGTGTTGTCAGGAGTTCAATCTCGGCATTGGTGAGATAATATTCGTCCAAGTAAGTGATCTTCTCGAACAGCTTGAGCCCTTTGGTGTCATAGAGCAGGAGAGTGGGAAAAGAGGGCTGTTTTCCCTCGGGTGGGCTCAAATTTTTGTAAAGCTCATCAACGAGGGAAAAGTCCATGTCATCTTGGTGGATGTTGACAATGTCAACACCGTCACCATTCGGCTGTGTTGAAGGGGACATTTTTGGCTCGGAATGTACGAGAAGAGACCCAAGGGGACGGGAAACACAGGGAAGTAAAAAAATGAAAAGATCAAAGGGGGGGGGGGAAGAGGGGGGGTAGCTCGGAATTTAAATCCAGAGCTATGCGAAGCTCTGGGGCTTTTCAGGAACATAAACTAGCATTTGAGTAAGCCGAGCTACCATTGAACAAGGATCGTAGAGCCAAGTCTATGACAAATCACCACAACAGAGGAAAGTACGTTTCGGATGCGAAGCTTCAGTAGCCAGTCATGGTTGATCGTGCCACATTGTATTGGAAGAAAACAAGGCAGAGGAATGGAAATGAAAGCCGCAATTAACAGCAGATGCAAACCTCTATACAGGGTTGATGACCGGCATCGACGCAAGATTGGCTGCTCAGACCCGGTTTTGATCCATACTCCTTGTATGACATGTTTGCATTGGGCACCCCGCAAGTCTAGAGCACCCACTCCAGCCAATCACGAGACAGCACAGTGTATCAGATGAAATGACTCAGCCCGGTCCTTCCGCACAACGTTGCAAATGCTGTTTGCATCCCACCTCATGCCGGTGGGATGTGGGGCCAGCCACTAGATGTTGAGGTCATAGCGTGGATTTGCTCTGTTTGTCTATTTTGTCTGATTACAGTTTCAGGTTCCAAGGTTCTTTGCGATGAACGCATTTCTTAGTAATTGATGTCTCGGGTGTCTCCACAAAGACACAAAGCCCATTGTTCGCCCTGGAATATGAAATTGGGTCACCATAGACAACCTTTATGACCATCTCGAACAATAAACATCTTAGAACAATGACCTGTCGAAGCTTTGTACTTGAGTATATATAGTTCGGTGACCCCTCCCGAAAAGACACCGGTGACTTACTCGTCTGCTACTACCCAGAGCAATTAATCGTTTCCAATTTCAAGACGGCAATAGTTTCTCTTCTAAAACTAACATGAATATCTTTAAGATGGCTTCCAGGTTCGGTATTCGACCACCTGCAATTCGACGACAGCGCAAGAACAAACTATCCACTAATCCCAAGAATGAAGAATTTAGTCCTTACGTTAAGATCAAGCAACTGACAACTCAGATCTCCAACCTTGAACAAAACCTGCAACATTCAATGCATACAGTAGACTCACTCAAGGCCCAACTGGCAGAGTACGACGTCCTTTTGGCACATGCCCAGTGTCGCGTTGCTGAACCTACACCTCCAGCATTCCAGGATGAGACCCAAGCTCTCAGTCACACTAGTTGTGTCATGAGCCCTAAGATGAAATCCACCCGTGTATGGTTTGATGATCTCTGGCTCTGCAATGCCTCTGAGAACACACCACTCCAGGAAGCAGAGGCATATTGGAAAAATGGAACCCCGCAATGCGCGCTGGAGATCGTTACCCAAGCGATCGATTCAAATCCCTTTCTGTCTCCATCGGAGGAATTCCGTTGCCGAATATTTGCGGCCGCGGTCTTCCACTCCACGGGACAGTTTGAAGAGTCTAACCGTCGTCTAGGTATTGTGCTGAAGACGATCGCAAGATACACCCATCTTGACGAGCCGCGACCGGGAGATCTTATAAGTATTGCTCATTACATCCAAGGAAGAAACCTAATGGAGTTGGGAGAGTTCACTGATGCTTACTATTCACTTTCGCGGGCTCTCGGCACGCCTGGATATCATACCAAGGCGCGTGACTATCAAAAGAATGCTGTCATTGAGTTTACTCGACAGGTGGCTATGGGGGATAACGCGTCCATCTCTTCTTCTTTACGTCCCATTGTGAGTCGCACTGAATGTATTTCTGATGAATACCTGTCGTAAGTTCGCTGATACACTTTCCTTAATTTAGGTAGTAGCTCTATTGACTCAATGGTTAAAACTAACCCGACTTACTGTCAATTACTTTTCACTTGCCAGGTAAAGAATTCATATACTGTAGATGAAGTTTGATTAGAAGAATATAATACCGGAGGCATCTAGGCTATGTTTTCTCAATAGAGGTCAGAAAAAAGAAAAAGTGTACCTTTGTTTCTTCATCTAGTTCAATGAAAAATGACAGTGAGAGTTGACAGTCATCGATGGGTGTACCAAACCACGCTAGTCTACATTGGGTCGCCCCATCCAGCGCGTCTTTTCACATCATTGTCTTCCCGTTCCCTTCAGATACAGACGTGATTTCACTCTTGAGAAAATGACCGCCGAAAAAATCCCCGCTAAGATATTCCCAGTCAAAACCTTCATTTCCGACATACCGGATAATCTAATTCCGCAGTCCTTCACATCTTCCGAAAATGGCCCTGCTAGCGGACGCTTGGTCATTGTAGGCGATGTACATGGAATGAGAAAGTCCTTAGAGGCACTCCTAGACAAAGTCGGCTTCGACAAACAGAAAGGAGATCATCTCATACTAGTCGGCGACTTGGTCAATAAAGGGCCCGATAGTCCTGGTGTTGTTGATCTGGCTATTAAGCTCGGGGCCAGCGCAGTGCGAGGCAACCACGAAAATGCAGTTCTTAATGCAGCTGCGCAGATAAGCGCTACTGGAGATAGCCTGCATCATTCCGGAGGCTTAACTGGTAGACCGGAGGCACCTGAGGACCCCGAAGCCGATACTGTCCGAGATTCCGAGGTTTCTGACAAATGTGCATCCGCCACAGCTGGCATAAGCAAGAAACCTAGCCCTGCAACCACAAATACTGCATTGGCACTTTCGAGGCCTCAGCTCGACTGGCTTGCTGCTTTGCCTTTGATATTGCGTGTCAAAGTACCTCAAAACCTAACATCTTGTTTTGGTGACCTTTTAGTTATGGTACATGCGGGTCTCGCTCCAAACATCCCACTTGAGGACCAGGACCCACATGCTTTATTACATATGCGGAGCGTCGCTCGCACACCGGGTGTCGAAGAAAGATTTATACCGTCTGAGACTGCTGGAGAAGAAAGCTGGATTACGGAGTGGGACCAGTGGCAGGATAAGCTAGCGTCAAAGACTACGGTTATCTTCGGGCATGATGCAAAACGTCGTTTGCAGCTGGGCCGATATGCGATCGGGTTGGATTCAGGGTGTTTATACGGCAATAAATTAAGCGCGGTTGTAATTGGATCTATTAATGGCGAAGTTGGGAAGCAGATTGTTCAAGTCGAATGTGTTGATACACCTGTGGCTCCAAAAGCATCCGTGACAGAGGACGTCAAGGCAGGTGCTGAATAATCGTCATACTTGGAGAGTAACCCAGAGTACCTCGCGAACACAAGATGAGAGCTCATCAATCACTGCTCACTCAAGTTCATCAAGAGCTTATAAATATGATTTTGCCCAGTCAACAACCACATCTGCTGGCTTCCTTGTTGGGGTCCTCGCTCAAGATTAAAGATAATATCTTCCGGGGTGTTGATCTTGCCCAGCAAGATTCCAGAATAGGGATCAATGACATCCACTCCGCCCAATACTGCAACAAGAATATATCCATCCCGGGTGACTTGTAACCCATCCGGCCATCCACTCTCCGTCTGGTGGATGAGTCGCGCATTGCTAAGGATCGAGCCTTTCACATCAAAAGCCCAGACATTTCGCAAGCTAGCAGGATGAAATCCTAACGGCCTACCGGCAGTGGAGTTCGAGTCAGCGACATAGAGTGTGGACCCGTCGTTTGAGAATGCAAGTCCATTCGGTGTCGTAACGACCGAGTTGGAGACCGCCACTAGCGCTTTTGTTTTCGTGTTGAAAAAATAATTCCGTTTGGTAGTTCAGGGACCTGAACATTGGGGAAGCCTTGATACCATCCATATGGTGGGTCTGTGAACCAGATGTTCGAGTTCGAGTCAAAGATCAGATCGTTGGGACTGTTGAAATGTCGACCGCGGAAGTTGTTAAGAATTGGTGTCGCGGTGCCGTCAAGTGGGTTGAGAGAATAAATTCCTCGAACTGGTCCTCCGTTTGTAGTTAGATAGATACGGCCCTTGTGATATCTCGCTCCGTTCACGTTTGCCAGCGGTGGCGTTGTCTCAACTTTGCGTGCCTTTGTTGACATGGTCAGCTTTATCATGTTCAAGTAACGAGATCGTCAGATTCACCTCATGGGTGTCCACATTAAGTGCTCAAAGCCATCCTGTGACACTTGTATCGGTATAGAAGAGCTCATTTGTTTCCGGGAAATAGGCAGGCGCCTCATGGACATGCGGAAATTCTCCCTCGAACGACTGGATTTTCTCGAGCTTTGCCTGCTGTCCAATGATGTTGAAAAAAGAGTAGTCCCATGCAATAAAGTCTTCGGACTTGATATGTGTCATAACATCTTGGAAATCAGACTGGTCTGACCGAATATCATAGAACGGTGTTTCTGAAACTGTTTAGTTCGAAGTCCTTCTCAAATAGAAGATGAACTTACTGATGCCACTAGCCTCCCATTCACCGGGGATGACGGCAAGATTGTCTTTCACAAATGAGACCGAAACATTCTCAAATGTCGGTGGAATGTTGTTTAGAAATTCGTTATCGCTTGGTAGTATGTTTGTATTGACATGCAGACTGGCGGGTTGTTGGGATAGACCAAGGAAGCTCAGATAGGAGAAGGCATTTTCGTAGAAAGACGGTAACAGCGAGTTACCGAGATCCATGGTACTGTTCTTCTCTTTATATAAGCGTATGTCTCGATATGAAGTTATGAATTTTCTCAGAGAAAAGTCGGACCAAGTCCGAACTCCCTAAATCTTGCACCGAACCCCGCGCACAAAGCCTTAAAGGGCCCACCCACAAAAGCAGCGATCGTCTCCACTATTCCCATGAATTATGGGATACAGGAATGCACGATCCGAGTCTCCTTTCCTCACGAGAGGATGCCTCTATGGTATGGGAAAATTGCCATCTGGACTTACAATAGCCTGTGATCGAGAAAGCCGCTGGTGGTATTACAGGCATCTTCAAGTACCTATATATTGTTTGTTGATCTGCGAGGCTAGTAATTATCTAAGATGCGATTTTTAAGGAAGCCAGTCTCCACAGAATCATAAATGCAATCATCAATTAGAGAACAAATAAACAAAGGCGGTTGGATCAAGGCCAGGCGAAAATACGCATCATGAAGGTAATCACCTGGACATACAATTTGATAACGAAGATGTGACTTCTATTCCCGCAATGGTTTAGCATGGACAGTAACGTGGGACTTATTGATTGCCACCGCGTGATCCAACCACTCCATACTCTTCGCATCAGTCTGGTGAAGCGATAGATCGAAATCTGCGAAGAAAGTCGCGAGGATTATGTAAATCTCCATGTAAGCAAGACTGTCACAGAGAGATCAGCTCAGCACCCTCGATTATGTAGTCATCAGATGTGAAACAAATAACACCACTTACTTGATCCCAAGGCACGCACGTGGACCTTTGGAAAACGTAACATTCCAGCGCTCAAGCTCTTTACCCTTATCGCCCAACCATCGCTCAGGCTTGAATTTCTCTGGTTCAGGAAATAGTTCTTCATTGTCATGGATAATTCGAGTACTCATAGATACGATTGTTTATATCTCATTAGCAAGTCAGGAAGCTTTATCACAGCACAATATCACTTACACCTCCTGGGATATGCTCTCCCTGTACATTGGTCCCCTGCGGAGGGACTACTCTGGGCAAAATTCCCGGGATAGCACATGATAAGCGTAAGCTTTCTTTTATGACACAGGTCTGCCGAGGTTTGTTAGTGGGACAAAGGAAATGGCGAGTAAGGCATTCCTACCAAGTATGGAAGCGATTGAAGATTCTTGCAATCTAGGCGGCCGTCATCGTGACGAGGAATTTCGCTGAGCTCAGTTTTCAGTTTTGATAAGACATCCTCATGAGTCAGAATGTAGTAGGTTGCACAGGCCATGGAGTAAGCGGTAGTATCGCTGCCAGCGATAAGAAACAAAAACGCCTCGTCTACCAGCTCGGTCATGTCAGGCACCTTGTAGTTCTTTTGATCATTAGACTCAAGAAGCAAGTCAAACACAGTGTCTCTACCATCCTCTGTTTGAAGTATACCCTTCTCATGACGAGCCTGACCATGTTCACCCATTTCTCGCATTGCTAAAACAAACAAAATTAGACCAGAGATACACACGCGGATTGCGAGACTTACGTTTCGGAAGCTAAGGTATCCTGGGGATAGCTTCTCAGCGTACTTCTCGGGTAAATTGAGGGCGATCTGTTGAAGGATTGGAAGATGCTTCGTGAGCCACAGGTTCTTGGTGAAAGCATCGACACTGGCCAAGAAAGGTAGGTAGATATCATATCTATCCTGGGATGTAAGATCTTGAGTTTGTCCAAATACAGCCATAGAAATGATATCAACCTAGTATATCTTTGAGAATCATACTCTCCGGGCTTGGAATGGGGCGAGCTTTTGACATACTGTAATACATCGAAATAATTTCTGAATATCCGTACATTTACCTTCTTGATATCGCTTTCGATGTATATTGGCAGCTTGTTCCACAGTATCCTGCACTATAGGCATGACTTTATCCAATGACTGCTTTGAAAAAAGAGTACTGACAATTGTCCTCCGCACTCGGTATTTGTGCGGATCAAGGATCGACACTAACGATTCGGAGACTCCCAGGTTGGCATAGAAATATGGGGCTTTCATAAAATCCGTCTGCTGTTTGAAGACCCTGTTCTCAATTAGCGGGAGCTTTACTTTCTGTTCGGGGCAGCTGAAATCTTACTCTTTGTAAAATTCGGGATCGTCGACGTGAACATGGTTTGGTGCAATACGCACAACCGGTCCTTCAAAACTGTTAGCTACCAAGTTTCTTTGAGAGGAAGGTGTTCAAAATACCATATTTGTTATGAAGCTCTGGATAGTATTTTACATAAGTTCCACCACGAATAACATCATGATAGAACTCATACCATCGAGTCAGAGCCGCAATATTAGGGCCCTGAAACTTGCTTAGGGGGTGCAGATAGAGCCTGGATACTATAAAGGCTGCAGTGAATATGACAGCGGTAGCACCAATTATGGTTGGAGTAATAACTGTATAAAGATAAATGGCAGCATTAATCAGATTCATCATGGATGAGAGCCTTGAGACCTGAAGCAGCAAAATCGAGACTTTTCTTTTCCCTGCATTGGCTCCAAAGCGCTTTTCTATTATGTAGATGACTTCACGAAGAAAGAAGCTAGCTCAAAATATCTTGCAATATCCCACCAATCTGGTTTCCCAGATTAGAAAGCCGCTGGATCGCGCCGTTCATATGCAAGTGATTCCCACCAAGTCCGTGTGTACCGCCCAATCGAACTTCATGATACTGTGATTCCTTTTATCGGAATTTCCGTGGAGCAGCAGCGTTTTACAATTGGTAGAGCTCTCGCGTAGATTTTCATTATATATATGAGCACACCATGCAGCCTGCACGTAACCTTGTTAGCGCTTCACTAAGAGAGCCCAGCCCCGCATTGATTATTATGTCTATAAATGGATAAGGTCTTGTGATGCACCATCCAGGTATTAGACAGTCTCAAATGCAGCTGGAATGCAGTTCTCTAATAACTGATATCCTATGTGCTCAAGCCATATTAAAAGATGAATTGAAGGCTACGCTTGAGGTATACAGATATCGCCAAATTAGGCATGTCCACTAGGCAAATGCGGGGTTGCTACCTAAAGTAAGATATTCCGAAGTGAAGTCAACACTTATCACTATGAAGTCTGGGCTTCCTTGGCAGGTATGATGGGAAGATATCTCTCCTGTCAAGCGATAAGGCCTAATGCACGTCGTAAATGACAGCTGAGGGGTCGATTATGTATGGTGTGGTGCAGCAGATAGTGCAGAATTTGAGAGGTATTAGATGCTGCCAAGGTGTTTAAACGTCTGCAGCCCTAAAAGACTGACACCGTGCCCATGTCACCCACAAGGGCAAATCTTTACCGCAACAATTCGGGTGCCCTTTTGTATAAATCATTTGTCGCGGAGAGAGCGGCACATTCTTTGCCGTGTGCTATTGGTAAGGCATCGGAATCAACCAGTGTGTCTGGCATAAAGAAGATGTCACATATCTCTTCTAATTCTATCTGCTGAGTGCTGTATGTTATGATTTCTAAGAAACTTCTAAGGAAGGCTTGAATGTTTTCTCGATATATTTCCTGCCTTCTTCTGCACAAGACGGTCAACATCATTGAAAACCTCCCACAAATCCTGAGTCAAAAAAATTATCGCAACACCAGAGCTCCATGGACAATATCAAAGAGCTTGGAAGATTAGTAACTAAGAGAAACTGAAAAAGATTGCTGTGAATAACTTCCCTGCTTTTATGCTCAGTCACGTGCATACTCTGACCCGTCCCACTAGAGGAAAATTCTAATTGTGGATCATAGTGACACAATTCCCCACTCCATATATCAATTGGCCGGATGGTGTAGTTGGTTATCACGTATCGTTAACACCGATAAGGTCCTGGGATCGAGCCCCAGTCTGGTCATTTCTTTTTGCCCCTTTTCTTTTTGCCACAGTTTGCTTGTGGCACCAAATTTATTTGTGGCACCAAATGATGAAAGTGGTTATACAGAGTGCCATCATATGTAACAGTAATTCCTAGGCCATGATTTTGGCATGGCCTGGAGTCGATAAAACGCGGGTTTTTCCACCTAGCTATTATTTGCCAACAGTGTCTAGCTCCAGTGTCCGTTCGGTTTGCCTAGGTCAAAACATCAATTCGGCCGCGAAAGAGTCTAACTATACCAGAAAGAATAGCGCTGTGTTGGTATTTCGAGTTTCGTCAGTGCCATTGTTCTTCGGCAGCAACTCGCTCGCCCATGTGATGTCCTGGCTAGCCACATTTCAATTTTTCTTTTTTACTACCAAGATACTTGGTCTCCTTTCCAGGTAAATTGAGTGTTGCCCAATCATCTGCCACTGAGCTATATGGCATCGCAAATTTCCATGTATTAGCGCGAGGCTGTATCACGATCACATGCAAGTCCTTCCACAACCCCATCTTCGTCTCACCATTCCACTAGTGCCAGCTACGACAGGTATCCGTCATTAATATAGGTAGGCATGAGGTTTAACTGTCGGATCAAGCTGAGACATAATTGGCTATCCGATAGGACAATCTCTACTTAAGTTTACAGATAGTAACAATAAGCAGAAGAGAGAAGATAAAAAGTAAAGAAGATTTAAGAAAAAGAGTACGAAATCTCCAACGCATTGAATTCTAGTACATCAGCCAGCGTTAAGTAACCGCAATTGCCTGGATATCATTGCGAAGTATCTTAAAGCCATCGCTGTTTGGCGTAAGAGTTTTTCCAGCAAGATGTATACTTGATAGACATTGTAACGAACCCTCAAAACCGACTGCGGTGTGCATGCCTGCTTGATTTGCACAGTGGCCGCCCTTGCCACTAGAGTTCGAGTTATATGTAGGGATCTTTTGGGTCTGGATGGCCCCCTTACAGTGTGGCAGCCAGATCGAGGGTCGGAGCGCAATTGCTATCCGAAGCTGTGGCACCTCGACAGATTCCTCGAAGGCGCCAATCCCGAGCACCGCCAGAAGACCCTTTGAACTCCGAGGCGTAGGATCACTCTGCTGATACATTTGAAGAGATCATCCTATTGTTTTGACACGTCCTGGATAGGATCGACCGTGTACACATAGGCTTGAAAATTTACCATCTGGCTCAGCCATGAAAAACTTCCCACGAAGCGACTGTTTGCCCTGGCCGGGAGATTTCGAAGAAAGGATCATAAACACTACCTATCAAGATATTTTTCTATCAATCTAGATCACTAAGCTTCTAAGCTCCGCTTACCCTCTTAGTGTAGAAATTAATTGTTATTTTCAAGAATTCATATTTATATCGAATGTAGATAGTATACAAATAAAATCTCCTACTTTAACCTCGCTAGCACTTGATCGAAGAGATTTTTTTCTTTTCTTTCACTTAGACCAAGTGAGAGAAACGAAAGCAAAGGGCGGAAATATAATTATAGCTCGTTAATCAATATCAAGAAGTCCCATTAACTATTTGACTTAATACCAGAAAAGAAGGCCTGTCGGTTTTTTTACCAATGAATATTCTTGGACAATTTCCCCTGCTTTAAGGGCCGAAACCAGGAATCAGTCACCTTACGCCCCATTTCAACATCTTGTTGATCTTCATAAGAAATCCCGAGGTCTTTCAGGCAGCATCCGCAAAACATGGTACAATGACCCACACCCGGGCTCCACCCTTCTTTAAGTCCTCGTTTCTGGCAGCATTTACATGATCAACCGCAGCAGCCGCCGCTCCTGGCACATTGATCTGTGAGGGTTGGATGAAGATACCACAGCGGATCCTTTCTCAGTGAAAGATAGGCTCTTTTGACAGGCCCATCCGGCAGGACCTCTTCCGCATTGTAAAGTGCCCGGCGCAATAATACGTGACCTTGAGCAGCGAAGCTTTGGTTTCCGGCAAGGAGGTCAATATCACTCTTTCGGACGTGGCTTTTTTGGGCTCAGCACAAGTTCGTGCTGCGAAAGATATTCCATCGCTTGAACTGCATCTCGCAGCGCGAAATCAAGTTTCCAGTTTCCGAAAAGAGACTTCTCTAAACTTCCTCGGCCCAGAATCCCGTCATGATGCCAGCGGTAATATTTGTCAACCTTCAATATAAACTCCTGAATAGAGTTGAAATGGCCCGATACCACGATCCTGGCTTCACGGCGGTCTAAGAGTCATAGGTACAGCTCGATGGACATGTTAAGCCACGCGGAGAGTGAACTAGTGGAGTACAAAAGGACCAAAATGTAGAAGACCAAGTTAATATTTGGGTAAAAAGTATGTTGAAAACAAGAAATTGTTGAATCGTCCTGGCACTGACTAAATCATGGCTCTAAGACCATCGCCGCGCTAAAAGTAAATAAGATTTGTCCTGTTTAGGGAAAGTCCAAAACGTAAGCTTCATAATTTATTCAATCTACCGGCTAATCGTCATTGTACATTTTTAGCTCAATAGTACGAGCAGCCGTGCTATAAATAGCCTCCGGATGCCCAGGTCAATCAGAATGCTGAATTATGATATAATACCATTTGCACGATATGAGCTACCCCAGTTCGTACTCAAACACATACGACCATAGGGTGTGGAGAACAGGGTTTCCCGTCCGCTCAGCCGTACTAAGCCACATTATATCCGCATGGTTAATTCTCTCCAAAGCCCTGATAGATTAGAGCGGCGATAGGTTTATGCTAGGTGAGTGTGGGTGAGATAGGTGAGAACTTTACAGACTGGGTGATAGAGGTGAGAACAGGGTGAGAATTCTCACATAGGGGGTGATCGGCCTCGCCTAATACACCGATCTTACCTAGGTCTAAGAAGATATATAGGTTAATAGCTTAGGGCCCTTTGATTAGTCTGCTATGAATCCTCTACTACTTTAATTTAGGGGCCCGAGACTAAAATTAATTTTCTTAGTATGAATAATATGAATAACGACGGTGCACTACTCTAAACCTACGGGGCTCTTAGCGGATGCCTAAACCAAGTATAAGTATCGCCCTGCCGCCTCAGCAAAAAGTCATATTCTCTTGTCTCGTCACCACTCCAACATGTCTAACATCCGACCATTCAACTTCAACTCAGATTTTTTGAAGCCAAACGCCAGTAGCGCCAGCAAGATGCCTGGGTCTCAGGAAGCCACAGACGCATGGGTCCATAACACCCATCCACCCCTCTTCTGGGAATTCATCGCCGAGCACCCAATATCCCAGAAGCTGAAAAATATGAAAGCCGCACTGAACGCCGGTGCCGATCCAAATGAGATGGACCACGAGCGTGATCGACGTCGCAGTCTCGGTCGGCCTCTCCATTGCGCCATAGGGGACTGGGGCAACCCTGACTTTATCAAAGAAAACATCCAAGCGATCAAGCTATCGCTCGAACATGGTGCTGATCCCCGTCTGCCTGGCCCAGAGGTCAAGCCTGCACATTTAGGGCTGCAGTCGCCCTTGGAGCATGCAAGGCGACTAGCGATGAGCGAGTGGCCGGGGGTAAAAGAACTGTTGGAATGCGGGTATTATGCAGAAGCTTATCGTGTTATGAAAGAGGCTGCTGATGGTTTGGATCGTAAGTGAATCCTTTGATTTCCATGGGTTGCTTTCCAGTTGCCGATTGATGGTCTTTAAAAGGGCGTGATGCACCGATGAAGGAAGAGGATGGTGTCCAGAAGAAGAAGGAAAGACAGGGAGAAACCGTGATCTATCAACAATAGAGGCGCTAGTCACCTGACTCTGATAAGCAATCTGACAGAAAGCCCTAAGGTTTTCAAACTTTCTTTTTAGTATATGTACAGTCAACTCCCGCTTATAGTACACCCCACCATCCAAGGAAGATTGTGTACAATAAGTGAGAGGTACAATAAGCAAGAGGATGACATAATACCCATAAATCTCATCTTTAGATATGATATCTTCCTCGAATAAAGTCTTAGAATTGATCAAATTATACAACATTATCATTACGAACATTATCAATTAGGTACTTCATTATATAGAGCTTTAGTGGTGGTGCTTGGGTGGCCGGCCTGATATACTTTGGCAGGGGGAGTTGTAGAGCATTCAGGCATTCTGATTGGCTAATAGAGCTGACTAAGCGGATGACAGCAAAAATGGGAGTATACAAAGGTGAGTGTTCTATAAGTGAGAGTTTTGTAGGGGAAAACCCGGAAAAGTGGGTCTATCCAAGCGGATGGTATACTATTACCGGGAGTGTTCTACTATAACCCGCCGTACCATAAGCGGGAGTTGACTGTACATCCACGTCGAGGAGGGCAACGCTTGTTGACAGCACACTCGGAGACGTGCGGGTCAACCTAGCAATACAAGACAACAAGCAAGTGCAAGCTATACAAGGGACCCAGGACAACCGCTCTGCATACTTCACCTTCTCACCCTAGGTCGCGCGATGCTAAAGTGGCACTTATCCACCTCGAGATGCCATTTCATTCTCTGCACTATATAGCTCGTCTCAAAGCATATTCAAGTACATACGACCATAGGGTGTGGAGAACAGGGCTTCCCGTCCGCTCAGCCGTACTTAAGCCACACGCCGGTTAGTTAGTAGTATGGTGGGTGACCACATGCGAATCCTAACTGTTGTATGTTTTTGTTCTTCATGTTTTCTTCTTTTTTTGGTCTGTTAGGGAATTTAGGCTGACAACGATATCGCCTAATCAAATATTGGCATCCACCGATGGTATACCTCCTCCACTTCAGACGAATGCACCGAAGCGAATCGATGGAAATGAAGAATTTCACTCAGCAGCAACTACTGCAGCGTAGTTGATACCAATCTTACCCTTGGGCAGACAATCGACCACAATGTTGTGTTCGCCGAACTGCGGGAGCCGCTGTTTAGGCTCTAGGCTAGGATAGTAAGGAAGGTGTCCGAGGGATAAAAAAAGAGGAGACAGAAACAATCTACAACTTGCGTATGTTCACCTGGCGCTCTTACAATTCCGGAACCAGTAAGCGTAGATGCTGCACCCTGTAGAACATCGCTTCTGTGCCATTTCTCAGGAATCCACTCCTGTACGTTGGACATAGTCTTTCCTGGCCAAAATGCGGTGGTTGATTCCCAATCGCCACCCGTAGCTGGAGGCACTGTAGCCTTTGAAAATCGGGATCCTTAAAAACCAAAATGACACCTTCAGCTCGAGCTATTAAGGGCGTATAGGAGGGATGGAGTTGTATAAAACCTTGGTCCAAATTCGTTATTCACGTTGCCCGCTTCCAAAACCGGTGTAAAAAGAAGCCATGAGGCTTTGGAGCATCACCCGAGATAGGCCCCGGAATAATAAACCCGCTCCAAGAGATCTAGTAAACCGCGCCTCTAGGTCCGAGGCGTTTTTGTTCATATCCTTGTCTTTAAATTTGTGTGCCGATTTGAACTTCACCATAGAGACGGTTTCTGGAGGTTTTGTGATCTGCTGAACGGAAAAATCTCCACTATGTTGTCCTCGTTCATATGGTCTGTCACCTTTTTCGGAATGTCTTGATATCCGAGAAAGTTTGGCCCTGTCATGGATTTCCGTGGCCCTTCATACATCTCACGAAAAATGCGGTCTGGGATCTTGCCCTCGTCGTAGTATTGTGGATGGTGTCTAGAAGAAGAAAGGAAAGATAGGGAGAAACCCTGATCTATTAACAACAGAGGCGCTAGTCACTGAGCTTTTAAACCCCTTCAAAAATCATCTACATATCATTAAAACAAAGACTTCTTAAATTGTATCTAAAGCTTATCTATAGAGGAAGATATGATATTATTTAATAGTACCTTCAGGGGTATGTGCCATAATTATGGTGAGTATTACTAGACGTAAAAATTGATTGACCACTCGAGATTCGAAGTTCTTGGGGCATGATTAAATCCTCCCAAGGAGCTATGCCGCTCCTTGAAGGATTTCGTAGTGTTTCTGTAAGCTATTTTGGTTCCATGCGCTTCTAGCGCTTCACGCCTCTTGAGGAGTAACTCACTGGGTCGAATACTTTTTTTCCACTTGTTCAATAGAATCCCACCAGCCAACTTGCAATTAACGAGTAGCTTAACCAGTACTCAGTCCACTGTATTCCAGAGCCTTTCCAATGTCAGCACTAAAAGTGGAGCCCCTTCCACCAAATCCCAGCTTTATAGCTTGTTCTTATACTCTCGTTTTCGTTTTATCTCTGCTAGTTATAGGAGCTTACGGCGATGGATGATCAAAACGATTAAATTGGGGAGTAACATCGAGGGTACGCTGAAGGTTTGAAACTATAGAGCGTAATTTACTAGATCAGAATCTGTCAGCGATGTAGGCAAGCGTTCAAGCCAGGAAGATAGCGTGACAGCGCAAGACAAGGTGTGACATGGCAAGCGCTAAGCAGCTGTTGCAGGGCATGAGGCGCACAGTGCGACCGTATCGTAAATTATACGTAGCTCTAGAGACATTGCGGTATGACATTGCGTTATCGTGTGCATGTGGTATTACTGAGATGTATTTTATCTTCCGGTTCTCTTATCAAGAGTATCTAGGTATTTTTAACGGCATGACACGTGTTTCGCGCTCTCAGTGCCCTCTATCTGGCTATATTCTCCCGGTGTCTTGGCTCCCATCCATCTTCAACATTTGAGTTCTAGATTGTACGCAATTCAGACATGGATTCTTCAGTTTCGAAGAGTCCTGAGATGTATTCGTCAGATGATTCTTTGGGACCTGCAGTCCGAGGTTGTCGGGGCAACTTCGATTTTACGCTCCGATTTGAACACATTTTCCTCTCAATCGTCCTATCAGCATTGTTCATCGCCATTTCTATTTGCAGAATCAAAAGACTGTCACGAAACTCACGAGTAGTGATGCATCAACTTTAGGTCGTACGTGTGGAGATATGATGCAAGCAATCTGGTAAAACACACAAACTAAACATTTATTATTAACTATAACATGCAAATGTACGGACGGCAGAGATAATCAGTCCCCACCAAGGAACGATCGAAATGATCCAGCGACTAATTGTAATAGCACCCCTGTGAACATATCTTGTGCGAACAAGAGCTACAATACCAGCCGCCCGTCAATGTAGCTCCACCAGTGGCATTACCACCGAAGCTGCAGTTGCACTTGGCAGAGTACCTCGCGTTAGCAATTTTCCACACCGCAGGCTTCGTCGAGTACTACCTACACAAGTCCAGGTACCGTTCAGGTTGTCCGCTGGGGCGTGGGGGTAACATTGCTTTCCGAGGATGTCCATTTGTTCTGGATCTTGGTAGTGGTCAGCAGGTACGGAGTAGGTATAACCTCATTCACCATATAAAGCCAGCAGTTCTGGTACTTACTTAGTGAGCAGTGAGACTTCCTAAATAATTTATTGGGTGGACTATTATGTAGGAATAGGCTTTTCATAGAATTTAAAGGCTGAGCTGCTCGAGCGAAGTTCCCTGGAAGATTCATAGAGCTAAATAGTCAAAAAATTATGGCTCTAAGCTGCGCCTCTCGAAGTTTGCGATCGGCATAAAGGCGAGCCTTGCCCGGAGCCCCGGAAAGCAAATTTGAGGCCGTGACTGCAGCCCATGAACGTATGATTAACCTTGTAATGATTACCTACCAATCTAAGAGATTTGCCGGTTTGGGTGGACAGCGATGCGCTTGGCGTTTGCTGCATGTTCCCTGCTAGCGCTTACCACAAATGCAAGTCGAGACTTGTGGAGTCATAGCGCTGGTCCTTGCTTCACAGCCACAGCTTGGAGGGTCTAAGACTCTCCTAATCCGCCTGGTCTGCCTTGAGGCATACCGCCTGTGCAATTCGAGCCTTGTATTGCGACACTTGGACGGTCTACGGTTATATTATTTGAGCGAACGCCAGGATTCAGAGACCAGTGGTCGTATTATTGGATATCACTATCAGGCTGGCCAAAGTGACGTGGCAGGTGCCTCCAAAACCAAAAACTAAGCCATGGCGCAAGACTCTTCAAAACATGTCATCGTCGTCGGGGATGCTCCCGTACGTTTGTTCCTATACCCGTTCGCCGATTCGACTCGAAAGTCTGATATGCACAATGCATATTCGTTCCAGGTCGGCTCTAATCTTGTGGCCACCCTTTTGGAGGATGGCTTGGAGGGTGCCGAGCCTCGCATCTATATTCACAAGCCTAGTCTCGTGAACCCTCCACAAGACACGATCCATTCTATTGTCAATCTCGAACGCAATGACTTTGGTTCAAGCCCAGATTCTCGCGGGCAGCACCGTACAAGGTTCAAGCCCCGATCCATACAGGAGATCGTTACGGCGAGACGCTGGTACGCGCCATTGCATTTTTCTGCCTTGGCAATTGATCCTTCAGCAGTATCTATTGTCGTCTTCCAAGAAACCAGAACTGAAGTCGCTGCCACTGAAATCGATACTGCCGCTGCCATTTCAACCTTCCAGGGATGCCGCCCTTGCTTCCTCGTTTACCACATGGCAAGGCCCATGTGTAATGGCACTATCTGGGAAACGGTCCGGCGAGGTCCACTGACAGGCCTGACGCCTGGGACCCCAGACCGCGAGCGACTCATTGTGGTAGTGGACGCCAATGATCTGCGCGCCGAGGGGATCAACCTTTCGCGCGGCCTATCCTGGGAGAAAACCTGCGAGGACTTCGTCGAGCAGCTTGGCTCTGTAGGGAAGCTGACGTGCCTGGCAACGTGTGCGCATCTAGTCGTGCTCTTTGGGTGCGCAGGCGTAATCTACCATCAGGGCTCGCGTGTTTCAAAGCCGGTTCTCTTCTTTGACCCATTCTCGTCCGAAGAAGAATTCCTACAGAGAAATCTAGGACGAATACCCGGTCTTTCGGAGACATTTGTAGCTGGCCTTGTAAGCGGATTGATCCAGAGCCCACAGTTGAGTGTCGAGCATGCAATTGAATTTGGCTTGCAGGCTGCGAGAAAGCTTGCAGTGGTTGGGTTAGCTGACCCTGGAAATGAGGTACCTTCATTATCGACGGTCTATCGAGCCAGGGAGGTGATGAGAGACACGAATAAGGAAAAATTGATTCGTTTCGCGATCCCATCTGACGACATTGCCTGTGGCAACTGCGGCGAGAACTGGTCTCTGCTCGATGACATGATTGGTGACCCTGCAGAAGTGGCACGTCAGGTTGTACGGCAAGGGCCTCTTTTACTGGCGAGCCAGGTACCGCTGGCTCAATTCAATGAGCTCGTCCTCTTCGATCGGCACGAAATTGAGTCATGTCGGTCCATCTTCAGTTTCCTACGCGAGTATCTCGCCGCACCAATGAATAGGCCGCTCAGCATTGCGCTCTTCGGCCCCAGAGGGTCCGGCAAGGCCTTTACAGCGATGCAGCTTGCCGAAGCGGCAGCGAGGGGTAAGAAGGCATCGACCCTCCGTTTCGACCTGTCGCAGTTCACAAGCGTCGACGACCTAGTCGCGGCCTTCCACTCCATCCGCGACTGTTCACTCAAAGGCTCTGCGCCCCTTGTCTACCTCAGGGGCTTCGATACCGACTTCGCCGGCTTGCCGCTGGGTTGGCTACCGCATCTCATACATGTCATGTTATCTGGCTCCTTTCCCGACCACGGCGTAAGCAGACCGATTGGCGCCGCTGTGTTCTTCTTCAGCTCAGCCTCGTCCAAAACATATGAAGGCTTTCGCGATGGATCCGCAAAAACTTCTAGATACCCAGATAATCGAGTCCAAGAATTCCTCGCCAGTCTCCACGGCTTCGTCAACATCCTAGGCCCTGATAAAGTCACTCGCACCGCCAGCGGGAGCGAAGACAGACTCTACCCCGTCCGCCGCGCCGTCATCCTCCGATCACTTCTCGAAAAGCGTGAAGTAAACCTTACCTCATCCACTCAAATCAACATCGACGACAGTGTCCTCAACGGCCTCCTTCTAGTCCCCACATACAGGCACGGAATCCTGTCCCTGAAATCCATCATCGCCATGAGCCATCTAAATGGACGTTACCACTTTGACCGTTCCGCTCTGCCCCCTCAAACGCAACTTGACCTACACGTGGACTACAAAATCTTCACCCAATACCTCAACGGCATCCCACTTCCGGACCATCTACGCGAGAGACTTGCGCAGGAAATCCACGCCGTCTATCTGGCCATCCGTTCAAAAACAGCAACGGAGTCAGAAAAAGCCGAGCTGAAGCCCTGGCACGAGACCGACGAGGAATTAAAGGAATCATCCCGTGCGCATGCCGAGATGATCCCCTCCAAACTCCGCGAAATCAGGTGCTTCCTTGCCGAGAAGCAGGAACACCGTAAACCCGTGCGGAGCTTTATGGCAGCGCAGATCGAGCGCCTCGGTGAGATAGAGCATGAAAGGTGGAATACAGAGCGGCTAAAAAACCAGTGGAAACGCGGAGATGAGCGTGACATCGCCAAGCGCAGCAGTCCGTTTTTGGTCCCTTGGTGTGATCTTGAGCAGAAGTGGCGGGATATAGATCGCGCGATTGTGGCGAGTTATCCCAGAATCTTGCCTGAGGAGTATGAAATATACCCTATAGGACCTAAGGAGGCAAGAACAGATTGAAGGAAAACAAGAGGTACATCCATGGATATTCTACATATACTATACTATCTTCCCAGCCCAGATCTTCTTCCGCTTGCGTTCCTCGCACTGAGAGACCACTTTCCAGATGATGACCACGATGAGAGTTAACGCGACCGATAGGGCAAAGTACAGCCCGATCCAATTTGAAACGACAGCAGAGCTGCCACCATCCTCTCGACTCATGTTCCAGTTGAAAAAGCCCATGCTAAAAATAGTCTGTTGCAAGCACTAAGTGTTGGGTTCAAATTTTCAAGGAAAGACAAGATGTACTGCTAGGGATGTGGCAGGGAGAAATACTAGGGTCAAAATTGCAATTATCTTCAGGGAGACGCGGTCACGGTGTTCCATCTATCTCTATTTTAGTCTCTTGCTAAATAATAAGACAGAGCGATACGTACCACAGCGTTGGTTTGGTCGTCAACCTGCAGTTGCCTCGGTTAGAAAGAACCCTAAGGCATCCTCAAGGCTGAAGGGAGCGGTAAACTCACCAGCTTCTGCTGTGACTCAATTCTCGACGCCGTAGTATCAATATCGTGAATGACACTCTTCAGAATCGCCTTCTGGTTTGAGACTCTCACCATCAGTGTCGGCGAGTAAACTCCTTGTGCCCCGATCATCTCATGGTAATTCGAACCTGGACCATGCAAGTATCGTCTTTCGAGCAGCCCAAACGCAATAAGCAGATTACCAGCTAACTCCTGAGCAAAATCCCACCTGCGCTTCAGAAACAAATTCTTTTGCCACGTTCTAAACAGCTCATCCCTCGCCCTCCTTAATTCCTCAAGCTGCACAATTTCTCCAATCACCAACGCCCGATACTGTGCCACCAGCGCGCGCTTGATATCATTCACTTCCGTCATGATTTGCTCTACCTGCCAGCTCAGCAAAACGACAGGGAGGACCATGAGATCAGCCGGGATCGGCGCGGGAGAATCATGTGGAAATGGATCGTGGCAAAGCAGATGCTCCGCAGAGTCGTGCCAGAGACTGCTGGGGCGGACAAAAAGTAAACATTCCCAGTCGATACCGCGGGAGTGGGATTCTTGTGGTCGGTGGTTGAGAGATAAAGCGAAGAACGGATATCCGTCATCCTGCGGGGTTTGAGCGATGAAATTGATGCCTGTTGCGGGATCTTCGAGGATCGCGGAGCCCGCCGTGTCGTTTTTGAGGAAGAAATCGAAACGCTCAGTTATGTAACCGACTGCTTTTGCGGCAGTTGTGATGGTTGTTAGTTGGTAGGAGGTTGTCGTGTTAGGAGTTTCAACTAGGCTAGCTATAATGAGCACTGGATATAGAAATGGAGAGATCAGCGCTCATGAAGGTACTTACAGGATTCTGAACCGGTTGTTTTTGAGTAATTTGCGCTTGTCTCTCTGAGTTCAGGTTCTCAGTCAGCGTCAGCTATCATAGCTTTCTACGTCTTTACAGCCCTACCGGAGAGGGATCGCTCAAAAAACTAATTGCTCCCTTCTCGGACTGTTTTGTCCACGGAATGGGCTGTTGGATTCGCCATCCTGTTCTCTAGAGATTGTTTAATCCTATTCTTAGTACCAATAATCTCCATAACAATAGGGTACGTTACTCACCTCGATAATCGCGACACTGGTTTCATATGTCTTGAACTCAACGGCAGTTGCAAGGTCGTCGGAAATGGCCACCGACAAAGCAGGGGGCTCCATGGAAATCATCAGAAAATAACGTAGCATATGAAGGTCATCTGGACTTACCATGGAGGGTTCAGCCGCTCAGGGAGGCGGGGGCGCCAGGTTTCTACTAGTACATACGCAAGAATAGTGGTAATTCAAATACTCCGTACATTAACGCATCTTGTACCCTCTCCTACTAGTCTACATTTATAATTAGTAGGAATTGATCAAATTTGGAGTATGAAGTAAATACCTAGGTAGTTCAATACCAAGCACCGGATTATTCTATGAGCACCCCCTCCCCTCTGGCAGTAGCTTAGTTCGATGGTAAAGATGGGTCACTCAACGTATTCCAGGCATCAGTCTCACCACGCCCGAGTCATGGCATAAGCGCTAGCCTCGCTCACAGTCATTATTTAAATCCGAGCCGCATAGTGGCGTCCAGGGCCATTATGGCTGTTCCTGATTGAACTTCGCGAGTACCAGAGCCTTGCGGAGGCGTCAAACGCACCCGGGCAAACGGCTGCAAGTATCTGCTTTATGGCAATTTCGGCTCGGCTAGCACTTCTCTTGGCTAGGTTAAACCCAGCCTGGTAGCGCAGCGCCTTTTTATCAATATCAGGCAAAAAGCCAGCTAACTATGCGATTAGTTCAAATAGACAGAAATAACATCGCACTCTCCAGCGATTTATCATCATCGTCCTTTTCCAGGACTGCACTAGGCTGTTACATTTGATCTAACAATCACCCAAAATCGACTCAATCAAAATGCCTCCTACCTCCTTCTATGGTATCCTTGTCGCCCTAATAACTCCCTTCACTCCTAACCAATCCTGCATCGACGCCTCCGCCCTGCATTCTCACATCGACACTCTCATCACTGCCGGCATCCACGGCCTCGTTCCCGCTGGTAGTACAGGCGAATTCACCACTCTCTCTCGCCCCGAACGTAAAGAGCTCCTAGATCTTTGTATCAAATTTGCCGCAGGCCGGGTCCCTGTTATCGCGGGAATAGGAAGCACATCAACCGATGAAGCGGTTGAGCTGGCAGCGCATGCAGGACAGGCCGGCGCAGCAGCGCTAATGGCTGTTCCACCGTTCTATGACCCTTTGAACTATACGCAGCTAAGGGAATTTTTGGCTGCGATTTATGAGGCCTCGGGCTCCTCTTCTTCGTCCAGGCTGCCGATTATCTATTACCACATCCCCTCCGCCAGCGGGGTAACGCTATCCCCGAGTCAAATCGCCAGTTTGTCTGATGTTGGCGTAAAGTATGTCAAGGATACTTCTGGCAACGCACCTGCATACACGGAATTGATATTCGGGCTTTCGGACAAGATCACTACATTTAACGGTTGGGATACGCTTATGTTCTACGGACTTGCTGCGGGGGCTCCGGGGGCCGTGTGGGGTGCTGCCAATTTCATCCCTGAGCTGGCGGTTGAGCTTTGGGAGGCCATGGCTGTGGAGAAAAACCTGGACAAGGGCAGAAAATTGTGGTCGAAAATATGGCCGATTTGTAAATTCCTGGAAACTCATAATTATGCGGCGGCGGTTAAGACAGGGGTTGAGTTGAGGGGCCTGAGGACCGGGGGACTGAGAAGGCCGTTTGCATTGCTTGAGGGAGGCCTGATAGACGAGTTGGCTGCATTGATGGAAAATGCCGGGGTGAGTGTTGTCAGACAAGCCTAGTACTTAGCCGTCCACGGATGTCGAAGGGGGCACGCTCTAGGCTAGTCCAGTACGATCGGCCAATGGTCGACTAGGAAGCGCCCAGTTACCCCAATCAAGAGATAGGATAGGATAGCAGAGGAATGTGTATTGGGGAGACCCCTTTGAGAAGTGTGTAGATAGATGCTCTTTGAGGCCTACTGTGATTGAACTGGATTTGAGCGTACAATCTAGGATACCACCAGTCCACAGTAGTCTTTGGCCCTCGTAGCATCCAGGAAGTCACGAAATGCCTTTAATCCACCATAATAGAACTTGACTGAAGGCCTTGCCCCGGGGATATTCTTTCCTGTGATCCAAGAGTCGACCCTATCAAACAATGTTTTAGAAGCAGCTAGCTGATCACAGACGTCCACCCACTCGGCTTCGGCTTCTTCCGTACACTCAACGATGCAACTGTCGCCTTTCAGCCCATGCAGATCCCTGAGCATCCCCGTCAGAAAGTCCACTTGTGCCTCGATCAGCGTCGGCGCATTGCTAAAGGGGCCCTGTGGGCCAGTAATCATGAAGAGATTCGGGAAAGATGAGAGGAACATGCTGGCGTATGTTCTGATTCCATGTTCCTTCCAATGATCGCTTAGTAATATACCGCCTCGCCCGCGGAACCCCCCCCTTGACGGTCGTATAGCTGCCGTCGGCGCTCTTGAAGCCCGTAGCGAGCACTAATATATCGAGCTCATGTAGCTTCCCGTCGCTTGTCCTGACACCGTTTCGCTCGATCGCCACAATAGGTGTTTTCAAAATGTCAACGGCAAAGACGTTACTCTGGTTGAATTTCTCGTAAAACCCCCGATCGCAGGGTGGGCGACGTGCGAACAGCTCACTTGGGGTGAGGACGTCAGCCTTGGAAGGGTCCTTGACGATAGATTCAATCTTTGCGCGCAGGAACTTGCATGCCTCCTCATTTGCCACGGCGTTTGAGCAGAGGTCTCCAAACCCACCGTACATGAAGCGAAAGCCGTTGCCCTGGCGCCAGAGTCTCTCGAAGACCTGCTCACGTTCTTCGGGAGTTAGACTCATGGCCTCCGTTGTCGGCTCTTCAAATCCAAATGCCGTTACCGAGTTCAGCTGCGCGTTCCAAATGTCGTCGTAGCCAGAGTTGATCTGAGAGCGCCGAGCCGCCGTGACGGGCTGTAGCCGCAGGGGCACACTGAATTGCGCATGGCGGATGAAGCAGTGCAATTCTGCAACTTTGGGTGCAATTGCGTCGCTGATCTGAATGCCGCTTGATCCGCAGCCGATAACTCCCACGCATCTACCGCTGACATCAACACTGTGATCCCACGCTGCAGTGTGCATAACGGGGCCCTGGAAGTCCTCCAAGCCCGGGAAGCTGGGAATGTTCATGGTGCTCTGGATCCCGACGGCAGTAAACAGGTATTTTGCAATGAAATCACCGCAAGTTGTATGAATATGCCATTTGCGTTTCGACTCATCCCATGTCGCGGACAGCAGCTCCGTCTTGAACTTGAACTTGTCGCGCAGACTGTATTTGTCGACGATATGGTTAAGATAGGTAACGATCTCGTCTCGGGTCAAGTAGTTGTTTGGCCATGGGTAGGTCTGCAGGTCCTCCTTATCCCACGAGTAGCGGTATAGAAAACTCTCCGTGTCGCTCATCGCCCCTGGGTAGTTATTCCAGTACCATACACCGCCGACACCTTCAGCTCTTTCTATAGCTTTGACATTAAGACCTAGTTTCTGCAGAGAGTAGAGCTGGTAAATACCGCCGAAGCCGGCACCGACCACAAGAGCGTCAACAGACTCAATGACGACTGGAGGCATGATAAGTGAACAGATACAAAGAGTAAGGAAGTTAACAGATGTTGACAACTCAAATACCCCACCCTTTCAGCCTCTAATCTAGTTCCCCATGGCGATGATGTGAGAACGCTCATTGGGGAAGACGACAATCCACGCAGTGGGGACTTGGATGTTTGCCTCCATGAGAAGTTTATACGAATACCTCCACAACCTTCTCTTGGCGTGAGGGGATAGATACCTATCTGGGCGCCTACAGGATCCTTCAATCTCTGATTTGACGGTTGACTCTTCGCGTGCAGGTGGCAGCCTTTTGTCCGCCCACTCATTTCCTTTTCATTTTTGCTTTTTATGCAGATAAGAATCAACAATTCAGCCGGCCCCCTGGCCAAAGTTCATTAATTTATGAGTGAGTTATCCTGTCGGCGCGGGGTAACGGTGGATTTCTCGATCGCCGCACTAACATCACGATTGACTTTTAGGGCTATCCGAACTCCATTTGCAGCTTCTCTAAATATCAAAAGTGAAGCGTCAGCCATATACTGAGCTCCCCCATGCCGAATAACCCTCACTCTTGATACCATGGAGCCATACCGATACGAAAGTCTGTCATCGAGCGATCACATTCGAGTTGCTACTATCCACCCAGGACGATTCAGCGACGACATAGTCATCGACCTAGATCATGTCACCCTGAAATCCGCCCCTAAATATGAAACCGTTTCTTACAAATGGGAGCGGTCACAGAGTCTGCGCCCAATCTACGTTGGTCACGACAAATTCTCAAATATCTTTATTCGCGAAAACCTCGTCACCGCGCTGGCATATCTCCGGTATCCCCATAAGCCCCGAGTTATGTGGGTAGACGTCCTCTGCATTGACCAGTCCAACAGCATTGAAAAGGGCCAACAGGTAGCTCTCATGGGCAAAATCTACCGGCACTCCACACGCATCGTTGCCTGGTTAGGCCCAGAGAAAGACGATAGCACACGCGCACTCAACACAATGAGCTGGATCGGCGTTCAGATTGAGGCTAACTACTCTCACTGGATTGTCGAACCGTCAGCAAACTGCATCGATCCTAGTTTCCGCGATATGGACGCTGATATTCCCCTCCGTCCAGAAGATACGAAGGCAATTTTCCATTTGCTTAGCAGGAAATGGTTTGAAAGACTTTGGATCAGACAGGAGATTCTTACGTCAGAGCCGCGTAGTGTCATCCAATGTGGCTATTACCGCGTTGCTTGGCCGCTCTTTCGGCGTGCCTTACTCTGTCTCTATATGAAGCGGCGGCCTTGGTCGGCATACGAAGAAAAGCTATATGATCGATTGATCTCGCTCCGTGGCCTAATCGGACAACCGCCAACTGTTGATCTCGGCTTTATACGGACAGTCTTTGGTCAGTCTGGCTGCGCCGATCCGCGCGATCGAGTTTACGCCGTTCTAGAATTTCTTTCAGAAGCCGATAAGGCTGTTGTCGGTGCGCCGGACTACACAAAAGAAGTTGTGATTATTTTCCGAGACATTTTGCAGCGATGGGTGACGCGCTTTGATTCTCTCAATCTCCTCACCCAAAGCGAACCCGGTGCTGATGAAACCCTTTCGTCACCCTTCGGCCCAAGCTGGATCCCAGACTGGTCCAAAAAGGAAGTCATCTTTGGGCGCAACTACTGGCGTGGCTATGCGTCGTCGCAGTTTGCACCAATTGCCTCGTTTTCCTCGGACAGTCGCGTTTTAACAACCTCGGGAATCAAAGCACTAGAAATCCGTCATCTCCAGGCTATACCCACCATGAGGGGTCGAGATGTCAAGATAGTCGAGGATGCACTTTGTCAGCTGCTTTCTCGCGTTGACAAACTTGATGGTACCTACATAACGGGCGTGAGCATGCTTGAGGCATACACCCGGACTTTCCTCGCCAATGCGCTAGCGGAGAACGCAGAGCCCTGGCGAGGGGAAGAACCAACTCTTCAAGAAGCAATGGGCATTGTGTCTCGGTTAACCCAGGCCAATGACAATGCTAAGTCTCACCAGCCACGAGCTATAGGTCCCTCGGACGCATTCTTCAAAATATCGCGTGCAATGATCGGAGGCAGACAGCTGATGTTTGACACTGATGGCTATATTGGCATCGTTCCCCGTTTGGCGCGAGAAGGGGATTTCATCTGCATCCTTTTAGGCTGCCACTCCCCGGTCGTCCTACGGCCAGCAGCCGACTATATGAAAAGCAATGAAGGCAGTATGTTCCATATAGTTGGCGAGTGTTACGTACTCGGCCTTACGGAGGGAGAAAGCCTGCTTGGTCCACTGCCAGCGAACATCCGAAGGAAGTTTGGCACGAATGCGGACTGGGGAGTATACTCATATTTCGAGAACATGGATACGGGGCACGAGTCCCTCGAGGATCCCCGGCTCCCTTCATCCCTTCCTCTGGCTGAATTGGCCGATTTACGTGATAGGTTGCGGGTTAATCCTAACTCTAAGTTCCGGCTAACTCCCCAAGACCGGGATATATTGTTTCCTCGAATGTGCACTTTCAACCTGGTTTAGGTTTATATTATTCAAGAGCGGTTCCAAGGTTCTTCTATTTGGCATCTCTAAAATTGGCTAAGCTTTCTCTTTTGACTACTATTTCTCAAGTTATTCTATACGCTGGTGACCCTCCAATTTCGAGATACATTGCAAAACCCCACGATATCGTCGAGGATTCATTTGATCCAATATCTGTTCATTTCCTTATTTTTTTTTAAACTGTAAACTGAAAATAATGAAGAAGACCCTGTTCATAAGTATATAAGGGATGTCCCCAGGAAAAGTGGGAGTGACCTTAGCCATCCCCTTTTTTTAGAGTTTCTACTTGTTCTTTCCGCGTACATGTAGTAATTATCCTGGTAAATGCTGAGGTCAAATTGCAGAGCTCAATGCCTAAGGCCAACATATGCGGCCCCAATGAAAGCTTGGTATTTTGGGGGTCTTGAACATCTCCATTTCTGTAACATCCCCGAGTTAGAGCTTTGATGGGCAGAATGTTCTCTTTTTTTTTTTTTTTTTTTTTTTTTTTTTAGAAAAACTTCTTAAATTATAAACCATGTACTGAGTGCCTTTGCCCGGTCAGAAGTCATCTAAACCAGGGGCATATTTGTTGAAAGATGAATTTCTGTGCAGTCTGCTGAATAATGGTTGTGAACGGATAGTTACCTGCAGCGTCTCCAACGTTGCCCCTTCTTCTTCTCCAACACACATTCTGCAATTTCGAGGGACTGGAATCAAACATGAGCTCTCCATCAACTGGAATATTGGACAGCATACCAGGCAATCGAAAGCCACGAACTTGCCCCATTGAGAGAAGCGGCGGAGATGTCTGTCTGAAAATGGGTTTGGGGATAGAATAGGTTTGAGAAGGGCAAGTCTCGAGGTTAAGTAACGTTCCTCTCAATGACATCGTTGAATAGATCTATGGAGGTGTTTGGAGTACCTACTGGAGTACCTACTCCAAACACCAACAACAGTAGGACGAGCACTATATCGGATCGATTTAAGCATTTGTGGAGGTTCATCGAGAAAAATACTCAAATAATCACTGGGAATGAGCATCCTCCCATCCGTATACCTCAGGGATTATGATTGAGGGTGGAAAAGCGGGGGCTTTTCGTATGAGAATAATAGCGGCGACTTCATATTGAACGCGCACTGAGATTGGCGTCAGGGTCTGGCAGACGCAGGATAACCTTTTTCGAATCTGGAGGCAGGATCTGAGTTCCAAACTTCGGTGACCAAGCATCCTTTGAGGATAGTTTGTCAAACAAACTCGATAGACAAAGTTATGTTTTCCACCCCACAGCCTTGATACGCATCCCCTTAGGTGAACGCCAGGGAATTTTATACAAGAAGATGGAGGATGTTTTCAAACCTGGCGCGGGTAATTGTGCATTAGGATTGCCTTCGCCCAACCCTTCCTGTTTATTTCGGATTTAACCATCTTCGGAGTCATTTGTTACCAATGGAACATTGATATGTACAAATAGCAATAGCCTCTGAAATTCCAGAGTGATATACTCCTCTGGTGAGAGAGCCAAAGTACTTGATATCGTGAGCCTATCGAGATTAAGCTATCAGAGTGGAAGATAAGAGTTGGACTAGAAATTATGGAGCCGTGGCATTGATCCTGCAATCTTGTAAGTGTTCCTAGATCTACACTCTTGTTCGCGGATTGATATTGCATTGTGATTCAAGCAATTCATCTCAGGCAAATTGGCTTCATTCATGCAATCTCCACCGTGCCGGGGTGTAGCCGCTATTCCCGTCGGTACACCGGCCCAGCAGACTACGCAACGCACAGACGTCTCAGTGAGATAAGACTTTCTTAAAGCTGGAGTACGCAGCCTTGAAGACCTTGAATGCAGTTGAACCTTTGATTGCTACATTTGATCTATTTCAATGTGGGAGATCTCGTCCCTGAAGGCAATAACCTTGGAAACCGATGTTGTCGATATTTAGCCCTTGAAAGTGGAAGTCGTTCTCTATGATATGCCATGACGCATCTAGATATTTGACTTGACAGAAACCGAGAACTCCAATCAAAGACAAACTAGGCGATGAAAATACGGGCAGTGTGAAGAAAGAGGAGATTTAGACATACCGGAAAATGCCACCACAGCAGCGGGTCATACCAAAACATGAGTCACGTCTCTGGAGCAAATGTTTCCTCCGGACGTGTTGAGGTAAATGAATATGACGCTTTCTCGTGACTAGAAATACCTTCTATATGTCTTCATTCTTTACCCCTTCTGAGACCTTGTGTGTACTCCACCCCCTGTCCAGCTGATATTCCAATGTAATATTCCGGCTCGATACCACCTTGATAGTCTTTGGTCGCGTCCTCTCACAAGGGGTTGGGCTGACAGTCTCACTCTACTTCATCAGGTCCAATCCTTCAGATGTATCCTTGGTTTCTTCAGTAATCTAGGAAGTGATAAGTCAGCGTCAAGTCGTATTTTAAGTTTTTGGCTGGCATGTCTAGCTAGTATTTGGACTGATAGTTTCTTTTGGGGGGTTCTCGTATTGGTCTACCTTGATCCTTGTTCTCGTAAGCCGAGCAGCAGATATCTTTTCCCTCCTTCGAGGTGATCGACTCCTAGTGCTACACACTCTCTAACTTACTTAAGATGCAAAATGATAAATATAACATATGGAAATTCATACTACCACAACCCAATCTTGACTCTATATAATTATGATTACAGCTTTGGGCATAGCCAAGGGTCTGGTTGCCCATAATGAGTTTTCACCCGCTCAACCAGAGAAGTGAGGGGCGTTGAGGAACAGACCCATCAGGCAACCACCGAGGGTACCAGCAATAGGAATAGTCATGATCCAAGCAAGCAGCAAGAGACCAACACGCTGGAAGTTGACAGCCTTGAGGGAACCATTGCACAGACCAACACCGACAGTAGCGCCAGTGATGCACATCGAGGTCGAGACGGGGAGGGAGTACTGGGAGAAGACAAGGACAGTAATAGCAGCTCCCAACTCCATGGAAGAACCACGGCTGGGGGAGTGGTAGGTGATTTTGTTACCCATGACTGAAGAAAAAGTTAGTATAGATCAAGGCCAAGGGGGAAGGAGAGGTGCTTACCCTTCATGATGTTGTAACCGTAGGTAACCAGACCAGTGGAGATACACAGAGCCAGAACAGCAAGCTGCCAGACAGGAACGACAGACTTGGAAGCGGCGGGATCACCAGTGGACCAGGCAGAGTAGATAGCAGCCCAAGGACCAACGGAGTTACCGATATCGTTAGCGCCGTGAGCGAAGGAGGCAGTGCAAGCAGTAAGAACCTGAACGAAGGAGTAGGTGTGCTCGACCTCGTTAGGGTACTTCTCAGCAGCAGCGTAGACACGCTTCATACGCTCGCCCTCGGGGGTACCAGCAATACCGCTCTGGGCAGTGTGGATATCATAGTGAGCACCGTAAAGAAGACCGCAGACGATGGTGGGAGGAATGCGCTTGAGGAGGATCCAAATGTTGCGCAGCTCGTAGAGCTCACCAGGTCCCATGGGGTTATCACGGAGGAAACGCATAGCCCAGCCGAGAGGACCACGGCTCTGCAGGAGCTTGTTACGGTGGCGAGCCTCGGAGGCAGCCATGACCTCCTTGTAGCTGGGCTGGTGAGCCTCAGCGTCAACGATGTTCTTCTCACGGTCCTCAGCGGGAACGGTAGAGGTCTGAGCATCCTTATCAATGGAACCGACTTCGTGAGTGGAGTCGTCATCGTACTCGTCCTGGACAACGGCGTAGTTGGGAACCTTGGCCTCCTCGGCATCGGTGGGAGTAGGACGATTCAGGAGGAGAGGACCCATGATAACCATCCACCACTTGACAGAGTGATCCTTCTTGATAACCTTGGCGTGCACATAGGGAACGAAGAACAAGGCCGAAAGGAGACAGACAGCACTGCCAGTACCAAGAGTCACGGCGAGAATGTAAGAGATAGGCTTCTTGCTCAGGCCAAGGTTAGGAGAGCCCTTGTAGACAATGGAGAGAGTACAGATGGTGGCAGCGACAAGGAACCAGAGGGGTGCACTGTAGACAGCCCATGGGACCGGGTTGCGACGCATGTGCACAATGACCTTGATCAGCATGAAGATGATAGCACCGAAGCAGCCCGAGATAACAGGGGCCATTCCCAGACCGGCGAAGATAGCTCCAAGACCCTTGCCGTCGTTCCATCCCCATTGGACCTGGGAGGCGCCGACAGTTGCGACACCGACACCAGCCACAGCCGAGATCAGGGAGTAGGTTGAGGAGACGTGAGCGGAGTGGCGGGTACACCACATGACCCAAGAAGAGGCGGCGGCCAGGGCACAGGTGAAAGCCATCATCTGGACACCGGCGTTGTTCTGGAAGGCTGCGATGGGGATGATACCGTTCTTGATCGTATCTGCGGTTCGGGATCCGACAGTGACCGCACCTAGGAACTCGAAGATGGTACCGAGGACCATTGCCTGTCGGTAGGAGATGGATCTCGAGGAGACACTGGTTGCCCACGAGTTGGCCACATCGTCTTGCAGGGGTTAGTATTGTCTGGGGAGCGATAGGACCATCATGGGTGCTTACTAGCGCCGTTATTGTAGGCATCCAACATGGCAAACAGCGTGCCGATGGCGAAGATATAGTCATATTGATGAAGATACATCTTGGCTTGAGAGGGCAACAAGGGCCGGATTGAATTTTCAACGGTTGACTGGTACGAATGAAAAGAAGCAGGGTGCGTCCAGAGGTCTTATATGTACAGAGATAGAATGAATCGATCAAATACGACGTTACGCCCCATCGCTTGCCACCAAGAACTCATGCTCAAAATAAACGACCTCTCATGATCAAAAGGTCGCCCCCAATCACCCATTCCATCGATATCAGACACACGTGGGCTTGCGACTCGCAGTACGAGCTGCAGTTCTCGTTTCCAGTTCGACTTGGCAGGCATCTAGTCGAAGTCAGACCGTGGTGGCTGTTTCTCGGCGTTGGCCGCCTCTTGGTAGGCGTAAGGAAATCACGCAATAAGATTGCAGCCAAGCTGAAGGGCGAGCATTTCCCATAGGCGATGGTTAAAAAGCAACATTGGCGACCTTGGCGGGGCCTTGGCGATGCTATATATCCTCGGTTTTTATACTTCGTCCCGCCTTGGGTGGGTCTTGGCATGTTCGGGGGCGCTGGGACCAAGCCTCCCTATCAGAGAGTGGATGGACCCCACGTGGGAACATCAAAGGCCATCGTGGAGCCGCGACTGCGATTCTAGAAAAAGACGAGAGACTGCGCATGTCCTCCGCCGTTCTTGGCGGATTAGGTAAAACTCCGATTCAGTATCCTGTCGTGCATGAGAACCACCTCGGCCCAAGATACACAGTATTCCACAATTCCACCGCAAACTATACATCCATGCAGTAGATCTCCAAGGTATAAGCTTCCAAATATCAGGTTAAACAAGCAGCTCCTGCAGATCAACCTGCCAAATCCAATGTGCAATGCCCATGGCGCCCATGCTCATTAGTAGAGCCATAAGGACGTTCACGCCATTGTTATCCAGCCAATCATGTCCACTCTCCACACGTCGGCTCTCATGACTATCTTCCTGGCCAGACTGCGTACCCACAGACGTACCCGTCACACGTGTTCCTCGTAAGGAAGCCGTGTTCGCGACGCTTTCCATTTCCTTCAGCTGGGAGCTGCCAGTCGACTCTCCAGACGGAACCACCGAAAGGCCGCCCGCTTGCATCGAACCAGGGTGAACCAGGACCTTTCTACCGCCATCCCCTTCTACAACCTTGCCACTTCGCTTGTCCACCACGCTGGCCTGTAGCAGTCCGCCGAGCACGCTGTCCAGCACACTTCCCAGTAGACCCCAGCAGGACATCGCAACGACCCACAGTGCACGATCTTGTAGCGACCGTTCGGAACAGAAAGGTAGGGAGATGGCGGATGTCAGGGCGACGGTGAAAGAACCCAAGAGACCGGCCCCCAATCCGGTGGCGGTCACGCCGCCGTTGGTGCCTGGCGGCACTTCACGCAAGGTGAGCGAGGTTATCAGACGAGGTTTGGATTTGGAGAGGATGCCCAGCTCAGAAGAGAAGGTGTCAGCAGCGACCGCAGCGTAGTTTCTGTTTCTGTGTTAGCTGGGGATACTAAACGCAATTCAGTGGGGGTCACGCACGCGACAACCCCGACCATCAAAATATCTGCTGCATTGTTTCCAAGAGAAAAACAGGAATCGGTAGAGGGATTCTTCGAGAGAACGTATGCATGTGCGATACTGAGGACAGTAGCGACGACCGAGTTGGCCAGCACTTGAATATGGTTTCGTGCGCCTTCGCCGCCATCGGTACCGGTCGCGGAGAGCGTCAGGCGAGCTTTGATGTCGTGTTTAACCTGGCGAGGAGAAGGTATATCTTGTCAGCTTTCAAACTCGAGACTGGTACATGTTTCTGTCTTCCTTTGTAGCATACCTTAGTCGCCTTGGTGCCCCCGAAATAAAACACCGCGAGTAATGCAAACGGTGTGTACCATGGGTGCAAAGCGTGAGCACTGGCCGACAAGCCCGCGACGACAAGGCCAAGTGGAGTCAATGATTTTCTCGACCAGGCTCGGTAGACGAGAGCCCCAACGACGGGAATACCGTAAATAGCCTTCATGGTGGTGTGGGTTGGAGATGGGAAACTCGGGATTTTGTTTGGGAGATCTGGATCGCGGGAGCTTAAGTGGGGCTTGACAATGACAGAACAATAGTATGTGGGGATGACCCTAGGTCTTAGATCATCAAACTAGAAGATTTCATCTTATCACAAAATAATAAATCGACATTGATTCTTATCAAAACAACTGGGGTATTTCATATCTGCCAGGTCCAAAATGGAGAGGCTGCGTTCCGGTACGCCCGGGGTATGTCCAACGCTTCACGAATAACAATAATGTACACAAACCAGATGACAAGAACTGGCCTCGTTCCTTTTCCCAGTCCTATACTCCATCTCCAGTAAATCCAGCTGCAAATAGTGCATGTGACCAATTAATTAGATTCAAAACAAAGAGACTGGAACCAGTGAATGAAAAGATGACCAAAGTCAACAAGTTGATTAGTTGATTCCCAACACGGGTTCAAAGAGCAAGACCACTGCCGTCTCCACTCCAACGGTATAGCGCCAACACTTCGCGTCTCCGTTGTTGTTGTTCACCAGAGTCCTCGGGAACACGGCCGCGGACCTGGGCAAGAGCTGAGCGCATTACTTTGCGAAAGGTTCTCTGGAGGTAAAAGTCAGCACAGAAGTCTCAGAGGGGATTCAATAAATCGAGGCGGACGAACCTGATACTCTGTATTCAAAGTTACAACGCATGCCTCGTGTGCGCGCACGATGGTCTCACAGGCTTTGACAACACTGGGACTAGCGTCTCCGGCCAACTTATCTGCGGTCAGGAGAAGGAGGAAGCTGCCCTGCAAAAGATATATGCCAAAGAAAAATGGCATAAAGCTCAAGTCTGGGTCATACTCTAAGATATCAGAGGCTGCCTCGGCGGCACTAACAGCATGGCCCATGGTGGAGATAAACGAGTCAGAGGAGATCCAAAGGTCATTGTCATCAAGGAGGTTGATGGGATCCCACTTGTCTGCCACTAAGATGTGAAGGACATGCATAATGTGGGTTCCATAGGCAACAACCATTTTCGTGTGAACAACAGACTCGTTGAATGACCCAACAGTGCTGCTGGAGCGACCAGATGGACTAACATGATTTGGATGCCCTCCTTCCATGGCAATGTCATTGTCCCCGGCTCCCATAGCGATTGTGCTAGTATACCGAGCCTCAAACTCTTTGAGGCTCTGAGCATACACATCCAATTGTCGAGTGATCTCTAAAGCTTGGCTTTCCCATTCCCCACTGTTGCGGAAGTGAAGCCCAAACCGAGGGTGGTTTCGAGCATGATGCAAATCCACAATCTCACCAAGAATGCTCATTAAGGGAAGAAAGTAACCAAACATGCTATGACTAGTGCACTCAAAGGCCGGACCCGCTCGTCGGTAGCTGGCAGCCGAGAAATCACCCGCCTGCCAGAGATCATCATTCATGGGTTGCAACAAGCCTTCACACTCCTTGTCCAGCAAAGTCAGAGGGCGATTATAGCAAAGCGACAAATGTCGATCCATGACATATAGCAACCACCAAATGCGCCGTCGCTCCTCGCGCTCTTCTTCCGTAAGATTCACCGCGGAGCTTCCAGGGCCATGACCCAAAGAATTGAGAAGCGACGCAGACTGCCTTTTGTTACCATTCATGTCCAGTTCTGACTCCCCCTCCAAGTCTCCGTCCTGACGGGAGGCGGCGTTTGGTGGCAATTCTCGACCAAGTTTGAGCTCCCGCGCAAGAGACCAAGCAGCAGTCCACCAGCGCATGCTGGCCGCTTTGTACTCGCTAGCCGAGACCACGGTGGCCAGATGCACATAAGTAGCAACATCATCCACGGCGCACGTTGCGCTGCTCTGGGCACCAAGCTGGTCCATAGAGACGCCAAATCCTCCGAGAGCCACACCGTTTATGACCATATTCGCTGCATAATTTGGAGATGCTTCTCCCGTGGCAGGCCCATGGATCAGCGGCCGAAGCAAGCCAACTGACAATTCGAGCAACTTTTGACAGACACGTCCTCGCGCTGACGGAGGAGAAGTCAAAAAGGCAGCCTCGCTTGTTTGTGCTGCCACCCAGAGCATGCTGGCCAGAAGACCTGGGCTACAAACCCTTGGTTTTGTTGGATGGAGGAAAGACTGCTTGCGGAAAACAAAGCCAACAACGTACGGCGACAATGGCGAAAGATGCGACGACGATGAGCTTGTAAAGTACACATCCAGAAGGTCGCATGCTAGAGATTGGGGGATTATGGAGGCGATATGGGGAAGAACGGGCTGCAGAACGGGGTATCTTAGTGAGCCTGAAAACGGAGCGATATTAAACGACGGAAAGTTTGCGGGAGATGGTGACGGGAGAGGAAGCCAGCTTGGAGATTGTGCTGGCGGAGTGAACCCCAAGAATGAAGCGGACGGGTTTTCCGCAGAGGCGCCCATGCGAAATTGGTTGATCGACGAATTGGCTTCATGATTGTTCATCACCGGATATGAACCATCGTTGTAGCCTGGTCCAAATCCTTGGTGTAGCATTGCAGATGGTGACCGTGGGTTCCCATTAGAGTGCTGCATCATCTGCAATGAGCGAAGATCTGACACAGACATGGGAGGGCGATTTGAGTCGGTCACATTCCCATAATTTAAGGACATGCCGTCGATATTTGTCCCTAAAGGTTCTGAATGTACCGGCTGAGCGTGTTGGTTCTGCTGTATCCTATCCATGCCTGCGATGCTAGAATTGCGCAAATGCGGTTGCGCTGACTCCGGCAGTGTGCGAGCGACCGGGACATGAAACGCCGGGTTATAAGAACCATTGTGATCGTGGGGTGACTGTGAAGGGGGCGAGTGATCTTGTCCGGTTGTGCTATCTGGGATGATTTTTTCACCGTTCGCTGCGGCCACGGCTAGGTCTTTTTTCGAGGCTTTCCCACGTTTCTTGCGTTCTCGTGCATATTCGCAACTTAGTCCAAATTCTAGAGATCATTATTAATTGGCAACCAGACCCGTATGTCTAGAAAGGGTAAGAAAGTACCGATGCAATGTGAACAGGGTTGCTGTCCGTCGCATTTGGTGCGCAGCTGGTTGCATTGGTCGCAAGCGCGACTTATTCGCCGCCGCACCGGCGTCGCAGATGAATTTTTGCGAATTGCCGACCGAGCTTCAGCTAGCACATCTCGCTGCTGCACAGGAACCTTCCCACCAGACTGAGAGCCGTTTTGTTCGCGGTAGGACGGAGGCGATTGCGTAGGGTCGGCATCGAGATGGTTGCGATCCGGATCGATTGATGGATTGGCCGGCGGGCCAGCTTGTCGCGCAAGCTGCAGCTGCTCTAGCGCATACTGTGACCCTTCCGCGAGCGTATCCAGCCCGGGGGTTTGTGACTGAGACATTCGAGCGGGTTGCGATCGGGACGAAAATGGAGAATAGAGATCGGCAAACGATTGGAGGGAGGTTGTCGACATGCTTCTCTGTGTCTAGGCTTTCAGCGACATCAAGCTGGTCAAACGAGATCCCAGGTCCCCAATACGCCTTAGGGATTCGAAACAATGGAAGAGCCAGGGCACGTCAGGACTCGAGAGACATTGCAATCGGCCCAGACAGTGGAGACCTAATCCTCCGGGTACAGATGCCGAAGCTCAACAGGTGGATGCCGGGCCCTATGGAGGAAATAAAAGCGGGAGTGCCGGTGCGCAAAGAACGAAGAGGGGGAGCGAAAATCTGGGGAGGCGGGGAAGGCACGTGGTGACGGAGTCAACGGTGTCCAGGTGGAACGACCATACACGTTGCAGGCAACGTTTGTTCGCAACTTGCTTTTACCCCGTTAATCAGGCGGAATTGCAGGGGCTTGTCATTCGCGAATCCCGGAATGTTTTACCGAAGCCCGGGATCGCGATCTATATGGTTATTTTGCCGACCACGGCTTAGATTTTATACATAAGAACCACGATAGAAAAAAGAAAAGGAAAGAAATTAACCACATCAAATTCTAGCCACCAAATATCACTAAACGAAGAGGACTCATCAAATTGAAGAGCCATGGAACGTTGGGATGGGGAAAATCAATTAGACTTCCCCCCGGACCGGACCCTTGTCGCCTAAAACAGCCGAGGCCAAATGAGACCCCGTCTTTGGGGTTTCAGTATTCAGCTCGAACCTTGAATCTACCGGACTAGGTACTCGATAGGGGAATCCTGAAATCCTGAAATTCAAGCCGAATCCAAGAGATGAACCTTGCAGTTCCTGTTCCTGCTTCAGATCATCATAGGTGATCAGCAGGGACATCCTGCAATTGCCCTTCCGGTTTAGTGCTGACCGTCGCTTGTTCTCAATGGGCTTCTTCCACCTGGGCAGGGGCCCAAGGTTTATGGTGCAGAAACTGGATCTTACATTAACCTTGGATGGCCTCTATCGAATAGCTAAGTAGAATGGCTACTCTGTGGTTCTTGGCTTTAATCAACTTGCTTCTTCCAAGCGTCTCATCCCGCGTGATTTTGACTCGACAATCGCGGGGCCCTCGGGAGGTGGAGGAGAGTGGCTGCATGCCCAGATGTGGGGTAAGCCGACGGGCCTGGGAGATGTGTTTAGAAGCTATTTGAAATTTTCTGCACATCATGGCTCAGCGCGTACAGTTTTGCCAAATTGAAACCAAAAGACAGGGATTTGTGATGCACTCAGCTCACAGCCGACATTTGCTTCAAAGATTGCATGAAGCCTCTTCCATCTGTGGTGTTCATCGTATAGCACCTGGGCGCCCAAGGTGTGATGAAATGCTGTAGTCACCCCTGAATAATCTGACCCTGGCAGCGAGTGGGGAAGTTCATGCGCACTTAGAGCCCAAAGCAAACCATGCTAGTACTACACGCTGCCTTCCCAATAAGATATGATTTTTCATTTTCGGGGCTCCGAGCATCTTCTTCCCACCCCTGAGTCATGGCAATCATGACTTGCACGCCTAGCGAGGATGGTTTAAATTATCGTGGATCATAGACTAGTGAAATGACGAGCATCATGAGACGAGAGATAAGTTATGCTTTACCAAGGAAAGCATCGGTACTCCATGCCAGATACGTCAGAATTCCAAGTAACAAGTCGATGCTTGACTGGACTTTGAGCAAAATTGATGTAAACAGTAGACGCTTCAGCTCCTCGATCAAAAAGCTATAACAAATGGTTTAATGATATGTAGATGTGATCAGGCTTCATATAGACAGAGGAGAACTCTAAGGAGCCAAGGACTTCCTTGTTGTCAGTTATGCACCTGAATCATGACCGAAAGTATCAGACACACCTTACCATTTGAAAGTATCCATCGGGCTGTAGCCCCTTAAATAAAATGACTAGTCCAATGTTCTAACGTCAATAGCATACCCCATGGAGCCCGGCCTCTATGCAACGTCCCGGGTGATTGGTATTTAGCCTAAATGCTTGGGGAGCTGGGATCATGAAGACACCCCTTTGCCACATATCCCGACTTTTAGCCAAGGTTTGATTCATTTAAGTAAAACATGACTAATAGTTCTTAATATTCTTCATCTCTCGATTGACAAAAGTAAATAACGAATAAAATGCTGAGGCGTGGTGGAACCACCGTAACCTAATCTGGTGCCCGCACTTGCGATAAAAAGCGGAGTAAGCGATAAGCTAAAGCTTCATCCCTCCACATTATTCAATTGCAAAGATGGCCGACAAGCAGACAGTTCAACAAATCCTCGATACTATCCCGCTCCGGTATCGTGGACCAGGCGGTGTAGCTGCAGTCCTTAAGGATGGCGAAGTGATCGGGCAGCGCGTCTGGGGTTATGCCGACGTTGACCAGCGCATCCCTCTGACGCCTCAAATTCGGATGCCAATCTGTTCAATCACGAAGCAGTTTGTTTGCGCTCTGCTGATTGACCTCCAGCGCAACCCGACTCCTGCAATGCTTGCCAAGGGAAACATTCAAGCCCAGTTCACAGAGACGTTTCGGGAATTGGTTCGTCCCGAGTTGATACAAGATACCGGGTTGACTCTTCAGAATTTGTGCGATATGCAGTCCGGTCTACGTGATTACTGGGCCATGACAGCCCTTTGGGGCACCAAGCCAGAGGACGAGTTTCTGGTAGAGAGGGATTGTCCGCCAATGGTGGATCGTACTAGATCATTCCATTTTAAGCCCGGCACTGAGTATTCTTATTGCAACGTCAACTTTTACCTCGTCGCCCGAGTCATTGAGCATGTTACTGGTGAGACTCTTGGGAAGCTGCTTGCGGAACGGATCCTTGGTCCAGCTGGGATGAAGACTGCATTCCTCTGCCCCGATAATTCTAAACTTCCACCGCCGTGTGTCGGCTACGAGGGGACTGAAGACACTGGATTTGTGCCAGCCGTGAACCGGATGGAATGGTCTGGTGATGCTGGATTAACTGCGTCACTCATTGATATGATTGCGTGGGAGAAGCATCTGGATAGCCTGTTCGCTGACTCGGGAAGTTGGTACCATAAAGTCACACAAGGTACCACTTTTTCTGATGGCACTCCTGCCGATTATCACTATGGAATGAGTCGTATCAACATTGGCGGCGTTGTTACCTTGGGCCATGGTGGTGCGCTGCGTGGCTACCGAATTCACCGACGCCATGCTTTGCACGAGCGTCTATCTGTTGTAGTTATGTTCAATCACGATGGAGAGGCATCCGCCGCTGTCGAAGATATCATGCGAGCTTTTTTGAATAAGCCCAAACCTGTTTATGCCCCCGTGGAACCAGACCCCTCTTGGTTTGGCAGCTTCCTTGACCAGGAAACTCAGTTGTCCATCACAGTGACCAAAGGATCGAACACAGGAGAGCTAGCGATCGCCTACGAAAGTGATCCCGATACCATCAAACTGACTGACGCCACCCATGGTGAGAATACCAGCATAAATGCAAGCATTGACGGAAAAGTTTTGTACATGCATCGCATTTCGGAGAACAGAAAGCTCGTCGCTCGACGAATTGTTCCGTGTGATTCTAGCTTCAAAGACAACTCTATCCAGGGTGATTATAAGTGTGAGGAAGTCAAGTCTGTATTCCATTGTGTGGGCGAAGCAGGAATGCTTTATGGATCATTTGATGGATATCTTGGCCAGGGGACTGCAACTGCCATGAAATATCTTGGGGATGATGTTTGGGTGCTTCGCTGCCCCCGAGGCTTGGATGCCCCAGCCCCAGGTGATTGGACGATGGTTTTCCGTCGTGATGAAAGTGGTGCTATCGTCGGGTTCAAGATTGGATGTTGGCTAGCCAGGGGTATTGACTTTATTAAAGTTTGAATACCTTCCTGCCCCCGCTCTTGCTCCCACGCTCTTCCTCCTTAGACAGAAATAGGTAAGACATGGATGAGAACGAGATAAATGAGCACATAGGGAATTTAAAGTGGAAGGGGTGTGTGTATTGGAGCAATATAATACATAAGAGGAGATTTGAAACATCTTTCTTTTCCATTAATCATGACCATAAAAACTCATTAGTTCAAAGAAGCAGCAGTGCTCATAGGTAACCATGACATCGGGCCTTTTTTGCAACTCAATAGCTAAGCGATCCTCAACGCGCCGTCCGCTCCGATGTCAGCATCATTGGAGCTGTAGCCGTAATCTCAGCCTGTCCCATTTCAACTGAGCTATGTTGTCACAAATATCCTGCATATAATGTTTGCTCTTGTTTATTCATTTTCACTGAAGCAGTCGAGAATCTCTTCACTCTTTAGGTTCGATGGTAGAATAGTCATTCTCCGTGTCTAATAGGGATGTAGTCAACAAGGGGAGGAAGTTTTATCCGAGCCGTTCTACCCCGTACTCTGACAAAGGCTGCAATGCCCGCCCATCAAGGCTTGTTCAAGTCTGGAGAAGTTTATGATGAGACTCAAATGCTCCATCAACACCGGCTTTGGCTTTGATTCAACCTGTGGATATTTCAGTGTCAATATGTAAGATGATATGAACATGAGTGTTGATCTTTTCACATGTTCTGGCGATATTTCATGAATCGACAAATAATGAACAACCGCATTTCCTCTACTGTATGGCAGAAATATGGGCCAATCAACTCCTGGCGATTTGTGACGACAATGACATAGTGCGTCCACTTCGTTTGGGGGCCATCTGTGGCGTCGGAAACCTCCCATTGAGGAAATCCATCTGCAACACGCAAGTCAGCACCGGCAGAATGCAGAATGTAGGGTCGCACAGTAGCAACACATCGATATGATTGGCCAGGAAAATTCCCATGCCAGGCTGCTTGAGCTCATGTGTCCAATGAGGACAACAAGAAACATTCCTGTTCCAAGTTCTCGACTTAGATGCATCTGGCCCCCACTTTGCATCGGCAACGCATCGGAGGACAAAGTACTATACATATTGCAACATCTATTATCCGGCCATATCCTTGCACGCCAAGCTGTCTGAAGCCCCTAAGCACGAGGGGGACGTGGCTCAAACCACCTAGCTGAAGACTCTTATAATATTTGCACTGGGGAGGCTCATCAAGGATTTCAGTCTATACAGACGGTGTTTTCGAGTTCCAGTCAACTGGAAATGGCGTTTACCCTATCAAGCTGGGTTTCAGACCCAGCGCACATCGCATTCAGTTTCTCTTCCTTGGGAGCCTTGTTCCAACTCAGTATTATTCCTTTTGAGATCGACTTATTAACTCACTATCTCTTGGGTCTATATGCATTAGTCTGGATATGTCTCGTCACCGCAATGGTGAAGGCCTTCAATGTGGCTATTCATATCGCAATCCTTCAAGCGTCTTTCGCGGGCACTTCGTTTCTAGCAGGATTGGGTATTAGCATGGTTACTTATCGCTTGTTCTTCCATCGCGTGCGACGATTCCCTGGTCCTCTCGGGGCAAAGATAAGCCGTTTTACAGTCATGTCCGACGTTAAAAAGTCTGGTATGAAGTATCACCAAGAGTTGGAAAAATTGCATCGCCAATATGGTGACTTTGTCCGGGTCGGTATGTATCACCTTGTATCGATCTTCTATCGATAATCGCTCATCGCTCTAAGGTCCTCGTCATATATCAATTAACAGAGCTTCCGCTGGACTTGCGCTACATGGGCCGCAATCCCAATGTGCAAAAAGTGCGTGGTATAGCATCATCAGTGGTAATCCAGATGTTATCAGCCTCATCAGTGTTCGTGACCATGATATCCATCGCAAGCGTCGTAAGCTCTGGGAAAAAGGACTAGGAATGAAAGGTAAAGCTGGCCCACTGGCCCCAGACTTGCTGAATACTAATATTCTGAATATTTAAGCTGTCGCGGATTATATACCTCGGTTCCAGGGTAAAACGAATCTGTTTATGAAAAGACTCAGTGAGCATGAGGGCAAAAGCATCAACATCACTCAATGGTCCTTGTTTTACACATTTGACATTATGGGGTTGGTTGCGCTCAGCAAAGATTACAAGCAACTAGATGATTCTGTCGAACACACTGCCATTGCCGCCATGCATAGTCAACTTGACATGGCTGCCCTGATTACTCCCATACCTTGGATCATGAATCTTCTGGGCTGCATTCCCGGCTTAAAGACACCAATTGATTTGTTCGCGGATTACTCAGCTTCGCAGATAAATGAAAGAAGAGCGGTACGAATACGGAAACTGGACAGCTAGAGCGTCTAGATTTGCTAACTGGTATAGGAATGGCATTCAAACACGAAGGAAACCCCGATTGACATCATTTCTTGGCTAATTAAGGGAATGGATGATCGTGACCCAGCGGCTCCACCAACTGATGCAGCATTATATGACGATGGGAAGCTAGCTATTATTGCTGGAAGGTATGTAATTTGTTTCCTCGCAATGTTGTTTCAAAACTAATCCTTCCAGTGATACAACGGGGGCAACATTGGCCAATGCTTTATACTTCCTTACATCGAATCCCAGCAAATACCAAAGACTCCAAAAAGAGGTAGACGAAGCGAACTTGAATGGAGGCGATGCACCTCCCATTCCTTACGTCGATGCCGTTATCAACGAAACCCTTCGCCTCAAACCGCCTGTTCCTGGTGGAATGTCGAGAGTTACCCCACCGGAAGGTCTAACCATCGACGAAGTTTTCATCCCAGGAAACATCGTCGTGATCAGCCCACAACATGTGGTTCAACGCGATGAGCGCAATTTCGATCGAGCCCTGGAGTTTTTGCCGGAGCGATGGATAGATGAGGGCAAGGAAATGCACAAAGATGAGCGCGCATTCTTTCCGTTTAGCTTAGGTAGGGAAAAGCAAACTTTTTTTACATTTGTACCAGGCAATGCTAACTATATCAAGGTCATCATGGTTGCGTCGGCAAACAATTGGCAATGGCACAACTGCGTCTCACTTTGCAGCGCATTGCGAGCGAGTTTGATCTCGAGTTCGCCCCTGGAGGAAGTCAGGAGACGTTTGACGAAGGTGCTAAGGATACTTTTACCATTAATTGTCCACCCTTGGATATGATTTTCAAGAAACGACATATACCTAACTAGCGTTCGTGTTATCTTGCCCTCTACGTCTGATGCAATGGGTTCTTCTTGGAAATTGTACGATTGATTGGTGGAGCTGCTTTCTTAGGGCCGCATTATAACTCAACCAGACTGGGACGAATTTCTAAAATTCAATATCCATTTCATCAGCTTTTATGTTACGATAGAAGAAACAGTAGTATAGACGCGATGCTTTAGGACCTTCCCTTGAGCACGATATACCTCAAATCTTCTCTAATCTCTCTAGTATGGAAGTCTCCACGTCCTTAATTTAACGCCATGAGTTGGGAATACTATGATCTCATTATATCCATATTTATACTGTGGTAAAGTAAACCTCGTGCGCCTAACTTTGCTTCTGGCTTTTCTGCTCTATGCTATGCATGAGTCTCACAAGCTTCCGGGCATCATCGCGAGTTCTTTCTATTAGCTCATCCTGTTCACTGATCCATTGCAGCCGCTCTCTCCAAAAATCCCATCGCTTTATTGAAAATAATGAGTCTCCCTTCTATAAATTCCAATCAGGCATTTTTTTGATGCTTTCAAGTGGAGATAAATCCTACTTTCCTACAAACTCGAAGATGACAGATCCTGCAATTTCGGGAACCATGGCATTTACAACGGTCTAAAGACTGAAGTTAGCTAAACAAAGCGCAGTGATTGTTATGCCTCTTGACCAACATTCAGCATAAGAATATAATCCATAGCCACGCGTGTATCTCGGAGGTTGTGGCGCTTCAAGTACGACGGAGAACGCTGCGGGCCTCGCTCTGGCGCATGATTCCAAGGATCCTGCTCTAGCGCAAAGACAGGAATTCGCAATGCCGGGCTTAATTCGTTTGACCTAGGGTTTTGCGGCGGATACGTGGCAAGATGATGGGCATAGAAAGGGTTGGCATTGGCAACGGCGCACCACCCCGGAAAGGGATATGTACCGTATCTAAATTGCCAGTAAACTGTAATCGGCACATTAGCCAGAGACCAGGCCGAAATTTGGCCCTCAAGCAGGTAGGCTGAGGTAAGTCCCGTCCCCGAATATTGATCAATAAGTCACGACCAATATGCTTTATGCTCCTTAGTGAAAATGAAGTAGCAAATCACTCACGGGTATCATTATCTTGCCAAATCTTTTCAAATGCTTCCAGATTTCTCCACATTTCTAGCGTATCTTGGAATCTTGATGAGCGAAACTGTTCCTCGGTTCTATCAAGCTCTGAAAGGGCTCGTATAGCCTCCACCAACTCTAAGATAGCAGGCTGGTAGCGCGGCATCTCGATAGCAGCGTCCCACAGTAACCAGGCAACGCGCTCGCCTTTATCGACACCTTTAAGACGGCGCTCTTCGATCACGCTGTCTTCATCTCGAAGTGACATGAAGCGACGGGCAGCATCGCCTGCTGGAATCATGTCGGGCATGCCATAATGCTCAACGAATTCCCGAAGTATTTCTATTTCATTGGCAGTTGGGGGGCCTGCCTCATCTGGATCAGGATGTGAGGATATCTCCCACTCGGTATAGTCGTCTCGCGTCTTTGGCGAGATTAGATCAGTGCTTTGCGTGAAATATGGGACCTTTTGTTTTCTTCGACAAAGGGTTCAAATGAGACTTGCGAGCAGACAAGCACAGGAGAACGTAGCAGAGTAATGGCTGAAGACACTAGTCTTGAAGGGTCAATGAGTCAAGATGAAGTATGGAGTAAATCCCGGGCGCATATCAAACACGTGAATAGTGATTTCAAATCTATTGGCTTACAATACCACTTATATGCGTACTGCGTCTGAAATAGCAACCTCAGATCAATAAGACAAATGGATCCTGAGGTTAAAAAGAAGACGCTTGGACCTTGGGAGGTAGGCCGAAATGTCTTCTTAGGTGACGACAGCCAGTTTACCATACAAAAAAAGCAGGGGAAGGTTATTTTCTTCGAAAATGGGTATTGATCATTTATAAATAGAGCATGTAGTACATGAATATATGCAGAGGTAGCCATGTATGGCAGTAGATATACAATCGGCGAAACCGATATAGAACAAGAATCCAAAATATTATACAACGCCCCAACCACATGCGTCCCCAAAACTCCATGCACGAATGATTTTGTTCAGGAGAAGAAATATTCACTCTCCCGAATGCGGGTGATGTCCCAATCGCCTTTGGCGGGAACATTGCGGAAACGAAGGGGTAGCCATAACCACACACTGCTGGTGGCCGCCCTCTTCTTAGGAGCAAAGTCTTCGGTGGTTTCATCGAAGTCGGTGATCTCATTAGCGTTCACCTTCTCGCGGAGGTCGAAATCCTGGAACAGACTTCCAATGGCCGGGTCGTTAAGATCAATGTTCGAGTCGGCTCGCCGTTCAGCGGTCGCCAGATCATCAGGGATTTTGCCAATGTCCGTTGCTCCCAAGCTGTTCATGATAATCAGGTCATCGTCGGTGCCGCCCATCGACTCAAAGATGCTGGCCGTTGTCTTCATGGCACGACCCTCCGCCTGGTCCTCGGGGTCGTCTGACCGCAAGAGAATTTGTCGCTGGTTTTCAGCAATAAGCTCAAGGAATCTCTGGTTCTTCACCTGGGTTCCCTTGCGATGCTTGGTAATGGCCTTTCCGATCGGGCTGCTCTTCTCAACCTTAGCCAAGAAGAGGTTCTTGCCATACCGGACATTGAACTCCGCATGCAGTCGCCCGATAACATCATCCGAGTGCATGTGAACGAAGGCGTCTCGAAGAATGCGATTCATGCTGTCGACATCACTGGCGTGAGACCAGAAGGAATCGTGGACGGCAGAGAAGGTGAGGCCAGCCCGGTCACAAGCATTGGCGGACAGCATCATGTGAGTCGCATCAAGAGAGTGAATGAAGTTCGGAGGGAAAGCTTGAAGCTGCTTGCGTCTTGAGACCACATCTTCAGCATTGTAATCAACAACGCTCAGGTCCTGCAGAGTGGTCGAAATACGTCGCGCCTTTCGGGTACGGTAGGGTTGAACAACAGGGAGACCAAGCGGCGTGGTCCAAATGACAGTTGACCGGAACTTTCTGGTTGGATCAACAGTCTTGGGGTCGTATGACTCAGAAGATTCGGGGTCGGGCAATAATGCTTCCTTGGCAAGTTCTTCGATACATTCAGGAGACACAGACTGAGTAATGCGACTCGCACAATCACCTAGCCAGTGTTGGATATCGGAAGCTCCATTGAACATAGTTGACAGAGCCTGGAAAATTTTGCGTGCAATGTATAAGGAGCCTTGCTTCTTTTCTTCGAGGCTCATCTCCGGGTAGTGATCAACGAGCTGTTTGCGGACTTGTCTCATCGCACCCATGAAAGTCACACCATAAACATTAGTCATGACTGTCTGTTTGACAATCTTTCGAGTGATCTTCCCATCAAGAACAGCGGCCAGCTTGTGACCGCGGGCAGCGTCCTCCGCCACAGATTTCTTCACATATTCCGAGACACCAGTATAAACATCAGATGGTCTGTCGGAAGGCTCAAGATTGACCTGCTGGGCACCAATCTTGTCACCACCGAGGGCGGCATAGTGTTGCAAGCCATTGCATGAACCATCCTGGTGAATCGGCAGACGAGATGGATATTCGAGAGGGTTGGGGTGCCGAAGAGCGTTACGGAGTTCGCAGCAAGCTGCCAAGCATTGCCATGGGTCCTCGGCCTTCAACCACCATCGCTTTCCGTGGAGGCCATTGTTGGCAGAGTCGAGGATATTGTCAAGATTGTCCATGGCAAACTGCTCACGCTCAGCCATGCTCGCTTTGTCGAACCCAGCCAATCCTGCCAGGTGGATCTTCAACCAGCGCATACCACTAACACCTAGTGGCTTTGCTTTACTGAACAGAAGCAGGCCTCGGGCGTTGTCGGCTCCCATCTGATTGAGATATGGCGGAAGCGGATAAGCTCTACCACGGAAGTCCATGTTGTGAGGGAGGTAAAATGTCTCTTTGCGGAAAGCACGCGCAACTTCCATCTGGAAGTTCTGGAAGCATCGCTGTGAGTGAAAGGAAGACCGTTGGTTCTCCATATCACGCATCTGGTTTTGCCACTCCTTTTCTGCCGCCACACCAGCCTTTGGATCTGGTTTTGGGGGAGCTTCAAGTTTTGGGTCAAGCGGTGACAAATTTGCGATTACTTCGCCAGTGTTCCAAGCTTCGAGCATGATGTCAAACACATCTCGGTTGATCACCCAGCCGGTGCCGCCGAGAACATCAAGGCCGCGTCGGATTTCCTTGAGCCCATCATTCTTCAGAGCAGCCTTAATATAAAGAGGCTGTAAACCTTCACCAGGGGTGGTGCGGACAATACTGCTTTGGTAGAGCAGATAACCTCCGTCTTTTGGTCCCATCCAAGGTCTCGGTTCACAGACCATAGGAAGATGACGACCAATCACATCAGCCGGGGGCTCTGCTTTGATGGTTTTGACGATTTCTGGATGCAAGTTAAGGAGACCCAAGCGTTTACCAAACGAGATCTGATAAGCATGCTGGAAGGCTGGCTGCATGGTCGTAAGGATTTCACCAGTTTCCTCGCTCTTAGTGAAAACGGGGACCTTGGCAACGTCAAATAGGAAGCTTGTCAACACTGCACCAATTCTGACTTGAACCCGCGTACTCCAGGCCAAATCAGTGTCATCCTTCTGCGCGGTCTCTGACAGATGCTTCCACGCTGGGCGTCCATCATTATGCTTGCGATTGCTGAGGAGTTGTTTTAACATTTTGACGCGTTGAGTGCCTTGGCTTTCAGCCTTCTTGAGACATGCAATGGCAATTAACTCATCCTGAACATCTCGGCCAACCGTCGACGCGATAGAAGAAACTTTGATACCCATGTCCATTCCTACGCGAGTGAATGTGCCAATCGCCGCAAGCATGGTGATTGCAGCGAGACGATCGGCATCAAGGCAGTCGAGGAACACCGCGTACTCGCAACGGGATTTCTGTTCGGCTGTACGAATCGGCTTCCCTTCTTCTTCAGCGGCAAGCCTCTTCTCGTCATTAATTCTGGCCACAAGATCCGTGTGCCATTGGCTCATGAAGTTCTTGATCTTCTTCTTCGAAGACGCCACGTCCACACCAACTCGAGTCATTTGTTCGAACTCGACTTGCCAGCGATCATGGGCTGACTTCATGGTATCGGTCTCAACTTGTCGTTGCCTAAGTTGTTGGTATAACTCTTTCTTTTGTTCTTCGCTGCCTTCGAAATCGGCGGGCAAAGAGATATGATATTTATCCGCAAACAAAGCAAGCGATTCCTTCAGGGATGAAAGACCAAGACCCTTTTGCTCACTAGACAGCACTTCCGCAACTTGGTCAAGGTTTTCAGGAGTCAAATCGAGATTGGAAGAGGTCTCAAGTTCTTGAAGATCGAATTTGGCATGACCCAGATCGGAGGAGCATATCTAAGAACAAGCAAGTTAGATTAATTCATGGCATGGTAGGGAATCACGGGTGGCAGCAAATACGAACCTCAGACAGTTCACCCAAATCCAAGTCGGTTAAAACTTCAAGAGCCAAGAGCTCTTCATGGAGATTCACCTCTTTGGCAAGTTCCCAGTAGCGACGAACCGTTCTATCTCGCTTAGAGCCATGAAGCATACGCAGCGCCATGCGAATCATGGCTGCGAAGGTTGTAGCATCAGGCCGCACACCTCCAGCTGGCATATCAACCTCGAACCATTTTTGCACTGGCCAGATCATGTCATTTTGTCGAGTCATGATCATATGCGCGACCATATCTTTCAGGTACCGATTGTGCAAAGCCAGGAATTCAGGAGAATCGGGCGCATGAACGGAGCTCAGCCGACTGATCAAAGACGCAGCCCGATCGAACCGGCCGACCCTGAGTGACATATCGAAGTTTGCCATCATCTCTTCCGTGTCACCGCCAATACCTCGGATTTTGCGAAAGGTTTTCAGGTGGGTCTGAGGTACTTCATTGACGACGATCAAAGACGAGAGGTCAAATGGTTCGTGGGCATGGAAGGATGTTTCTTGGGCCTTGGAGTGATCCAAAGATTGCGGTAGAGTATCTTCGATGGACATATAGGATGCATGATTTAGGACGGAAGGGTCGGCGGCGGTAGCGAGATTGCGATGCGATTGGAGAGAGGGCCTCCGCTTTTCTCCTGTTGTGCTTGGCAAATTCCCAACTGAGATCGGTCGAGCTGAGCTAGAGTGTAGGCGCAGCATCGAAGATGTGCCTAAAGCCCGATGAGCATTCGCCTTCCGCAGATGGAAGATGGCATTCTTCTGCCGGGCCACTCGAGACAACATGATGCAAAAAGAGTCGCTTAAAGACGAGATATTAAATCAACAGTAGTAGGTAGATCGAAGGTGGGGAGGCATTAAAACAAGATAAATCGGCGTAATATGAATGAACGGAATGCAAATAGTCGATCAGC